AGAAACGGCGAAGAACAATCAGACCAATGCAAAAAGTGCTTTGAGAGATATTGCTGGGACGGAAGCTTGGATTCAGACGGAACCAAGTACAACTTCACCGAGACCGGTACCACTAATGGAGAAGAGAGTAGTTTGGAGAGTGGAACTAGTTCGTCAAGCTCACCTAGCTCCAGCAGCTCGACACACAGTGGAAAGAAGAATGGTGCCAATGTTCACACATTGACTTGGAATTTGTGGTTTGGATTGATTACTTTGGTTAGTCTAGTCGTTGTTGATCAATTTTGAAACCTTTGATAAACCTATGTAGACGTTGTATAGTTTTCATTTTAACTAAGGTTAGCGGCCCCTTTTATGGCGGCGGATTTAATTTCCTTTTTCAGTCACAAGTTCCCGAGCGCAACAAAAAAGATCTCAAGCTACCTCTCCCCCTAAAAAACCAAGCAAACTGCAAATCAAATCAACCTGATTTGTTTTTCTTTCATTTCTTTACAAATGCATCATTCCAATCATGTCATTCAAAACTAATGCATCAATTACTCAATTTGGAGGTCAATTGTTGAAATTGACTCATGAATCGAAAGTTACAAAGACACCAATGAATGTCAATGTCTTCATCCCACCCACTTCCAAACACTCCAAGACTCCGGTATTGCTATACCTTTCTGGATTGACTTGCACACCAGAGAATGCAAGTGATAAGTCATTTTTCCAATACTGGGCTAGCAAATATGGATTTGCATTGGTTTTCCCTGATACGTCACCAAGAGGAGCCAAAATTAAAGGAGAAGATGATGATTGGGATTTTGGTACCGGAGCTGGGTTTTATGTTAATGCTACTCAATCTCCTTGGTCGACCAATTACAACATGTACTCGTATGTTCACGAAGAATTGTTGGAAGAATTGAGCAAAGAGTTTAAGCAATTGGATTTCGACAATATCTCAATCACGGGCCATTCAATGGGGGGTATGGGAGCTTTGGTTGGGTTTTTGAGAAAGCCAAGAGACTACAAATCAGTCAGTGCATTTGCCCCAATTTCAAATCCAAGTGTTGTGCCCTGGGGTGAAAAGAATTTCGGTGCTTACTTGGGCAATGATCAAAACAAGTGGGCTGAATATGATCCAACTGAATTGATCAAACATTTCAATGGTGATGACTCGTCCACTATATTGATTCACCAAGGATTAAAAGATAATTTCTATGAAAGAGAATTAAAACCTGAGAATTTCGTTAATGCGGCCAAAAGTTACAAAGGTGAGGTTGATTTGAAATTAGTTGATGGATATGATCACTCGTATTATTTTATTAGTTCGTTTGTCGAAGAGCATGCTAAACATCATGCTAAATACTTGGGGTTGTTATAACTAAACACGGTTGAACCGAGACTCTGATTGTATTGCTAATCATACTTAGTTATCCAAGTGGAATACCAAGTGGCTTTTTTATCAGTGTGTATAGATTCGGCTAGTTTGGCCAATTTAATGGAACTGGTAGATATGTCGTTGGAAATCGATTCTGTTTCTTTGGTGATTTGTCTGTTTAGCATTAAGTCAACAATTAACTTGTCAATCAGATTGCTGATATTTCTTTGTAATGTATCAATTTCATCTATTTGAGAACCAGTGGTAGTTTTAGGTAATGACTTTTTAAATGACGCGAGAAGTAGTTTGACCAACTCAATTTTCTTTATCCACTTTTTAGCAAAGGATTTCAACTCTGCCGAATCTTCCTCATTCTCATTCTCGTTCTCTTCCCCCTCATCAAAGTTGTCCCCGTCACCATCTTCTTCATCATCATCGCTAAATCCAAATGGATCATCATCCATATCTACCGGATTCTCTACCCACTCAACAAACTCATCAAACCCATCATCAATCAATCCGATACTTTGTTTTATTTTCAATGTGAGTAAACTGAATGCTCCATTACTGATCAAGCTCGCAAGTGAATCACAGTTTGACCAAATCTTCCCTATTGATACCAATCTCTCTGAGTCTTCTTTCTCATCATATATATATATAAGTTCATTGGCCAATTCGTGATTTGATTCTATTAGTTGTGTAATTTGATAAATAATCTCATTGTAGAACAATTTCGAAACTTGCTTAGCTTGGAGTTGAGATATAACCGACACCAACAAAATAAGTGATTCTGATAGTTTCTCCAATGTATTGTAAGCTGTGGGTTCTTGTTTGGCTAATGTTTCCGGCTTGAATATTATTCCCACCTTTGTTACATGAGCTTTAATCAACTTGACTAATTTCAGTAGCTCATCCAACGGGTTTTCCACTTTCGCCGCTTTGATTTGCGAAATTTGATCGCTCGTCAAGTTGGCGACCCAGTATTGTGTGGCATCTTTGAATGATACCAACAAGGCTTTTAAATCTTTTGACATTGGAGGATGGATAGACTCTACAATAATAATACACACATACAAAGTTTTGTTTTTTATATTTTTTTTTTCTTCTTCTCTTCTACTTTCACCACTCATCATCTTCATCATCACTTTGCGCAACTTTACCTTTACGTTTGTTCAATGCAGCAGCTAACGCGTCTGCCATAGTAGCAGGTGGGGCTCCTGGTGCATTTCCACCACCCGAAGTAGAATTGCTCTGGACTGGTTCTCCTTTTGCCTCTTGTATTAAAACACTTGGTCTTTCTAATTGAGATTTGTCAGTCTTTTTCAATGAGCCGACACCAGCGCCTCTAATTGACGACAATAGAGCATCTCGACCGGCATCTCCTGTAGTCTCAGTAAATTGACCACCCGACATATCTGGAGGGGGCGGTGCTGGCGGAGCTGGAGTTGGCCCGGTAGACATTTGTTGCATTGTTGGAGGCGGTGGCGGTGGGGGAGGCGGTGGAGGAGCAGCACCTGCCGACTGGCCGTATGCTTGAGATTGAGGCTGCTGTTGCGTTGGAGGAACAGCCACAGGTCTTGGCTGAAGAGGTGGAGGTGCGGGAAAACTTTGCTGTTGCTGCTGTTGCTGCTGTTGTTGTTGAACTGGCTGTTGAGGGAACGAATTTCGCGGAGGTACTTGTGGAGAATTGTTTGCATGAGCAGTTGCACTTCGAGGCGGCGGAGGTGGTGGGGCAGCCCCTCTCGATGCTCTTGGAGGAGGTGCTGGGGGTGGATTTGAGCCATTTGTTCCCGTACGTGTTGGTGTAATAGGTGATGCTCTTGGAGGAGGTGCAGGAGCATTTGTGTTGATTGAGTAGTTTGCTCTAGGTGGTGGTGGTGGCGCATTGCCCCTGTTTGGAGGCGTAGGTGGTGGAGCTGCTCCTCCATTTTGTAAAACCGGTGAATTTTGCTGTCCTTGTTGTGCCTGATTAAACTGAAATGGCGGCGGAGCTTTATGCACAGTAGTAGTCAAGGGTGGAGGGACGGCAAACTTTCTCTGTGTATTTGGTGGTGTTTGGTTTTGCGGTGGTGAGGGCTGGTATTTATCCTGCTGATGTTGTTGTTGTTGTGACGGTGGCGCAGGGAGTGGTCTATCATTTGAAGACACCGATGTGGTCCTAGCAGGCAGTGGTAAAGCTGTCGCTGGTGGCAATCTAAATACCCGTTTAACAGGCTCAGAGACAGGTTCGACAGCAGACTCAGATGTAGGTGTTGGTGAAGGCGAGTGCCCATCTTCTGACGCTGGCGAGTTGACTGATTGGTTTGAAGATGTGGGCAACGAAGGTGAAGATGTTTGTGGTGCCAGCGGAGGTGGAGGTGGCGCCTTTTTGTGTTTGATACTTGGCTTTGGTTCGGGGATGGATGCAGCTTCTTGCGCATTCTCAATACCCACAGCCCTTTCATGAGCTTTTTGGTACTTTCTAGGTATCGGTGGCTCTAATCCCACAAGTGGCCCTCCTTGTTGTGCAATGTAGTCCTTGATAAATTGCCTATTATCAACAATCATATCCTGAGTTATACCCGCCGACTCTAATTCGGCATAAAGTGATCTCCATTCTGGAGGTGGCACATCATCATAATACAATACTCCCTTTGCCCTCCTTTGCCGTTGGGCTGTATTGACATCCATAAATTCACCTCTTGGACCTGGTGCATTGTGTCCCTTTGGTTCAGCTCTTTCCTTTAAAGCAATGGCATTTTTATTCTTAACTGTTGCACTTGATCCATGTTTCTGACGATGGGTGACCCTTTTGTAAAAATGAGAGGCGTCATTGGTATCTTCAAATAGTAAACCCACAAGACAATCCTCAATTTCAAATGTATGGAAATATTTCCGGTCTTGATTATACTCAAAATCAACGTAGAGCTCTTGATCCCATAAGACTCCTCGGTGGTCAGTTATATCAACAAGTTTGAGGAAGAATGTGTGGCCCACTAAATCATCAACAAGGGCAATGGCACCCATTAACCCAGTATAAATCCATTTTGTCGGATCAGGGTAAGCAATGTATAGGCGTGCTACTGTGGCATCAATAATTTTATTGCTTGCTTTGGGAATCGTCCTTTTGATTTTCTCTTTATCTGGAGTTGTAAGTATACCCATTGTTGCCTCTTAATGGTTATGGTCTGGGGTGTGTGTAAAGTAAGTAAGTTACAAGAGTGCTCGAGAATAGGAGGTAGTGCGAAGTTGAACAAAATGGAACATTGCTTCTTTTAACAAACCAAAAGAGAAACCTAAAATAAGGAAGCAAAAATTTTCCACATCTGCACGAATATTCATACCTCGATAAACTAATAGATACCACAGCTATGTCAGGGCGTCAAGGAGGAAAAGCTAAGCCATTAAAGGCTCCAAAGAAGAAGCAGCACGATGAGGACCAAGACGATGCCGCATTCAAAGCCAAGCAAAAAGCAGACGCTGCAGCTAAGAAGGCCATGGCAGAAAAAGCCAAGAAAGGTGGTCCAATGGTTGGTGGTGGAATCAAAAAGAGTGGAAAAAAGTAAATGGTGTCTAATGGGGAATGTGAGAGGTGGTCTATCTATTTGTTCTATAGTTCGAGGAGTTTGTTAACCTGGAAAATCCGACAACCACATGACTCAGGAAGGACAATACCCACAGTTCTGGCTAGTTTAGGTGTTTGGTAATATAGAATTGACGAAACTGCATCAACTTTTCTTATGGTAGTCCATCTTTTCTTCTTTGATGATGTAGGTGTTTGCCAGTCATAGCATACTGGGACTCTAAATCAATGAAGATGCATTGAACTTTAACGAAGTAGCTTTCCTATAGCATTCAGAATCGGTATAGTCTTAGCATGTCTCTATTCCATACTGAATTTTTACAACATTTCTTGTCTTAGCATCTATTTGTACGACCTTCAGTCCTTCAAGTTTCTCCTATGCTTTGTTACTTGAAACCAATTGGTAGCTTCTTCTGACTTTCCTTCCTATTTAAGTTTAATTAATACGATCTTTTTAAGTAACGCGTTTTAATTAATTAAAATATCACAACACAAAGAACGAAAAATGATTTCTATCATTAAAACCCATCCATCATATATTGCTAACTTCAAAAAAAACTCTCATAAATGAAATGAAATAAAGTTTCTATTAAGTGACTTTTTCATACATTCTCCACCCTCCAGCTGAACCAGCTATATAGACTCAAAGTTTGCTAATTACCAAGCATATAATGCCATTGACTCCTGTATCCACTCCGACGAAAAAGAGAACCATCAGAGATATATCAAATACATACAATGCTAAAGATGTTCAACTACCTTTGACGCCTACGAAAACACCCACCAAGAAACAAAGACTCGACCTCCAATCCCCTTCGCAAGATGAACCTTCATGTAAAAGGAAGTTAGTATTTACCCCAACATCATCACCAACTAAACCACCATTGACACCTAAATCATCATCATCATCCATATTTGGCGAGACCTCGATTTATTCACAAGCTAAAGCATTGTTTCAGCGAGGTAGTAAGAATGGCGAATTAAATAATAATTTACAACTACCTAGCCGTGAGCAAGAAGCTGCTCTCATCAATAATTTCATTCTGAAAAATTTGCAATGCAACCAATCAAATAGTTTATACATATCGGGGCCACCAGGTACTGGGAAAACAGCACAAGTAAATTTGAGTTTGCAGAAATATGAAACTAGTAAAGAGGTAAAGATTGTTCGAATCAATTGTATGACATTAAGAAATCCTGAGCTGATTTTCCATGAGATCTATGCATCATTAGTCGATCAAATGAGTATTTCATTCACCAAGAGGAAAACATTTGATGACTTTTATCAAGTTATTGATAAAAAGAATAGCTTCAAACACGTGGTATTGTTTCTTGATGAGTTGGATTCACTTTTAACTAATAATCAACAAGTTTTATTCAAATTGTTTCAGATATCGAATTCACAAAGTAAAGTACAAACACCAACAAAGGTTGTACTAATAGGAATTTCAAACACTCTCGATTTAAACAACAAGTTTCTCCCCAAGCTATTCACCAATAACATGATCCCGGAATCAGTCCAATTCTTGCCCTATTCAACAACACAGATAAAGTCTATAATTATGGCTAAATTAGCCAAGTTCCCCACCAGTATATTCCACCCAGTTGCATTACAATTTTGTTCACAGAAAGCAGCTTCGATATCAGGAGATTTGCGAAAGGCATTTGATATTTGTTACAAAAGTATAGAATTAGTCGAATTGGAACAGAGAGGTAAGCCCAAGGATGGCGATACGAATGTGAGACTAGTGACTATTTCTCACGTTGCTAAAGTGTGTGCTGATTCATTCAGTAGTAATACAACATTGGCATCACTTAGTGTGTTGCATAAATCAATATTGTGTCAGTTATTCAATTTTCAATTGATCAAGCCTAGTATTACCATAAATATGTTTTATGACTATTACCAAAAACAGCAACAAGAGGAGCAAACGCTGAATTTATTGGGTAGTGTTAAAAGTAGCGAGTTTTTGGAGATATTGGCAATGTTGGAAAGTAATAATTGTATTACAATGGAGTCACAGGGGTCCAAGAATAACAACAATGATAATAATAAAAAATTAGTTAAATTGAATATTGATTATGACGAATTGGTCAAGTCGATTGAAGGTGTTGGATTTTTGAAGAAATTGTTGAAGCATTCTAGGGAAATACTTGTAAAAGAGTAGTAGATATAATAGAAATAATAGATAATATTTTTATAAAATAGGATAACAGAAGTACAACACAATAGTCAATAGTCAATAGTCAATACTAAATAGTAAAAACTTGCCAAAGGAAGAGTGGTTCTTTTTCTTTTGTCTTTTAGCAAGGACCAACAAAAGCATATTGTGTATGTCTTGTACAATATAAAGCATGTATTACCTAATTGTGCTGGCTGTTGTAAAGTAATATATTACGTAATCTAAAAGAAAGTTCAGTGTATTGTGTGCAGGAAAAGGAACATTTTAACAAAAAAAATAAAAAATAAAAATTGAAAGTCGTTTTTTTTTATTTTATTTTTTCTTCTAAAAATTTTCTATTCCCTTCAACTTCCCCTTATTAATAACAACAGACAACATAAAATATACTACCATTACCTTCACTACACGACAGTAATCATACACACACACACAACAACACAATCATAGCTAACTAGTACTGTCTTATTCATCCTACATATACACTAACAGACACAACTGTTTGACTATCTTGGTTTGATTCACAAACTTCAACTAATACACACACTGAGAAATTAAGAAATTTTTTGAAGTTTATGTTACCCTACATTAGTCATCTACAAAGTCTATCACATTAATCATTCGAATATAACATACCACCCTTCATCTATCTGGAATATAGATGTCTTCCTCAAATTCCAACAGAGGAGGCGGCAGGTTGGGATATCACGGAAGCAAGGACTGGATAAATAACAGCAAATCTCGAAGGAAAAACTTCTATTCTTCTTCATCTGCAGCAGCAGCAGCAGAAGCAACAGGAACAGGGTCCATACCGAATCCATCTGCAACTACTTCATCATCCACTGAAGCCACAAACTTACCAAATTTATCGCGACGAGATTTTAAAAGCAATGGACCAGGATCATCATCTTTAACCCATCTGAAAGACTCACAGCCTACTCGAAATGGATCATCTTATTCATCAAACTATTATTTCAACCTGGGATATGGTGGGTATGACAACGGTCTGTATCGATCAGATAGTTGGAGGAAAGCAAGTGGAGAGTCACGACGGCTGGCAGGAAGTCAGAAACCAACATTATCTGGTTCATCTTCTGGTTCATTAACGTCAACTTCATCTCCGGCCAGTGCATACAAGAATGGGCGGTATGACTCTTACACTACAGACACCGGTGCTTATGGACCTAATCGATGGAAAAGCAGCCGCAATTTTGGCGCATCATCGGCTAGATATTCAGCTAAAGATAGGATACGAAATGGTAAATCTTCCTTGACTAACCTGTACTTACCAAGTAGCAATAGCGTACCATTGGGCTCATCTACGGCAAGCAACCCCGATTCATTCGGTCCAGCCGCAAATAGTACTGGGTACAAATACTACGATCCTTCGAAATCTTACGGGTCTTATTATTCAGGCTCGTACGCCAAAGATAAAGGCTCTTCGCTATCTCAACTGCGTGTGCCATTTTCAAACCCTCGAGACTATAAATCGAGATACGGGAATAGATATGGCGGAAGCACTTTGATCAACCCTGCCGAAAAAAGAGCGAAAGAAAAGGAACTTGTAGGAGAACAAGATAGTGTGAATGAATATGATGATAGTGATGATGTTGGCAGCAACTCAAAATTGAAGCATGAAGATGATGACAATCAAAGTGAAGTCACTGAGAATGGTGAGCGCGATATCCATAATAAAGAACGCATGACTCGCGAATACAATGAAGCCGATGAAACTCAAGACGACATATCACAACAAGCTATAGAGGAAAAACTGGTGGAAACTTCTGCTGAACCAGAGTTGAAGGATGTCTTGGAAGATGAGGTGTACTTGAAGAAGGTGCGAATTGAAACGCCACCGGTGATCGCAGAGGCTGACACTAAAGTAGCCATTGAGTATGATGAAACCAGCACGATTGACGGAGTGGAGAATGTTTATCGGTACCCACTTCCAGAAATACCACACAAGTATGAGGAAATGAAGAAAGAATTTCAGCAATTGGGAGGGAGCTCATTAAAGTACCTATTGTCCACGCCTATTAGTGATTTTTCTGATTACCCTTTTTTCATCAACAATTATGAAGAGTTCTATCAGCAGAAACGGACGGCACTTGTAAATATATTGAAAGAGAAGAACACTAATGTGCAAACCAAGACTTTAGATTTGTTAAACGAGTACAACGAAATGCTGAAGAAGTGGGGTAAATGCAGGCTAAAGATGGATCAACAGCTTCGAGTACTACACCCTCCTGACGATGAAATGAAGAGAGAACTTGACTCTAGTGATTTGAGGAAGCAATACCAACAACAGCAGCCATCTGTTGGCAGTACAACCACCACGTCACCACATGTTGGCTCATTTGATTTGCCTACCGTATCTAGTCGACGCAGTAGCAGAAGACATGGGGATTTGGTTACAACCGAGGCGGAATTTCAGGAGATTCTACTCACTTTGGGCCAGCAACAAGAGGACCCTCTTTTGAAAGCTCAACGAGTGGCTGCAGATATCCCTGACATGATTATGGATCCTGTTGAAAAAAATGAAGTCAAGTTTATGGACTCCAACAATGCAGTCAATGACAAACATGCATGGGCCAGCAGAATTGGGTCAGATTTCCACAATACCTTTTCGGAAAAAGAACACGAATTATTTACTGAAGCATTTTGCTTATTTCCAAAAAGATTTGGCGCTATTTCTAGGTATATGGGTGGCTTGCGAACTGCTGCTGAATGTGTTCTTCATTATTACATGACTAAAAAGCAATTGAACTACAAGCAATTGTTGGTTCAGCGTCGCAAGGCCAGCAAGAAAAGCAAGCGCGTCAAGAGTTCAGGACGTCCGAAATCTACCCCACAACAACCAGCTGATCAACCTGAAGGTTATTTGGCAGGTCCCACCAGTGCGGTATCTGATGGCAGCCAAGACGTCGTGTCAGCAGATCTTAGCGTGCCAAATGAATTAGTAACCCCGAGCATGACACCTGTTGCTGAAGTTCCAGGAGCAGAAACAGTACCCATTATTGAAACCGGTCGCAAGAAACGCGCTACAGGAACTAAAGCCACCGAGAAGCGAAAACAAAAAGCTGAATTAGAAGCCTCTGAAGATGGACAAAAGCCAACAGAAAAGAAACGGAAAAGAACAACTAAGAAGCCAGTTTCGGCAGATGGTATTACAAAGCCGGCGGAGAAGAAGAAAAGAGTCAGTAAAAAGCAAGCTGCGGAAGAGGCATTAGCAGCAAGCATGGCTCAGGGTGTTCCTGCCACTAATGCGGAGCTGACTAAAGTCTCTATTGGTGCATTGACAAATGTCCTGAATTACCCCTCCAATATCATACAGCCTGAAATCAATACAGGAAGCTCCCCTATTATGCAACAATATGCTTATCATTTGCAACAATCAACCTCACAGAATGATCGACAACAATATGCACAACCGATTGAGCAGCAAAAGGTTCAAGTCCAGCAACAGTATGAGCAACAACTTCGATTCCAACAGCAACAGCAACAGCAACCGCAACCACAGCAGCCACATATTTACGCCCAATACCAGGCCCAGTATCAACCCTCTTACCAGTCACAACTGCCATCATTTGCTCCTCAGCGCTCAGCTCCAGTGTTCCCATCAATCCGAAATCTACTTACGGAGCAGGATACACCGGTCTATCAGCAAAGCAATTATGCACCAGCTCCCATCGAGCAACACCAAGTACACGCTCAACAGCAATTGCAACAGCAGCAGCAACCGTTACCTTCGTACCAACAACCAGCTCCTCACCCACAATCATCATCTTCTCAACCACAATCACACCGTACGAGCTCAATCATGAGTCTTTTGAACTCAGACGAAAAACCAGCTGTTGCACAACAAAGAGCTAAAACCAATTTACGTGACTTGCTAAATTAATGAACCTTGGCTCATTTATTCACCATAGTATCCTTCATTCAGTTCATTTCTGTTTATAATTTTAATGATGTATTATGTATCTAATGATAATCCAACCCGAAACTCGTGTATATAATCTTGTTGCCATTGTAGAGAAGTGATAGGCAGAAAGAAATTCACGTGATTGATATCACGTGCAAAATTTACAAAATTCAACCGAAAGGAAAAAGTTTTTCAAGTGGGCCTTTTATAGCACAGACCACCAGGACAACCACTAAGCAATGTCGAGGTCGTTGATATCACAACTTAATGGGTTGAGCCTACGTATAGGTAAAAGATGCTTTAGTCAAACTTTTGCAGCACGGGAAGAGATTGTAGTTACAACAACGACAACTACCACCACCACAACAACGACTGGATCAAACGACCATGTCACATTTGATGAACAAGTACCTCGTTCCAATTCGTTCAGCCAGTTTAGAAAAGGCAAAGGCCGTACTACCCAGTCATATTCACCTCATCAAGTGACTGAAAACTTGACTATGCCTGAGCTAAACAGAATACGTACTACACCAACCTTGATGACTTTCTACGGCGGTAATCCAATTCATGAAAACAACATGAACCATTTGAGACAGTTGTTACGTAAATACCAATATTTACCTACAAAGCCACTAAGTGATGAGGACTTGCAAACTAGGAAATTCTTGGGCTACGAAGCTTACAAGGAACGCACTCAATCTGGTACAAGAGTCAAGAAAATCCATTATCGAGATTTAATATCGAGCTTGAATCGTTTAAGAGTTATTGATGCCCAATTAATGCCTGTTGAAGTGATAAATACATTGGATAGTTATTATTCCGCGTCAGTCAGCAAGACCGCCTTGAGCAAGAAATTAAAACAGTTGGACGAATTTGGCCGAGCAAGAAGCCAAGCTAAACGTAAAGCGGCTTTGGCCAAGATTTACCTTGTTAAAGGAGACGGTTCAGTCTTAGTCAATGGCAAGAGTGCTGTAGAGTATTTCACCAATGTATATGCCAGGAAGAATTTGGTTTATCCATTTCAAGTTGTTGGTCAAGAAGGTCAATATAATGTATTTGCTGAAGTCAGTGGTGGTGGATATACAGGCCAAAGTGAGGCCATCATGTACGCTATAGCTAAGGCCCTTGTTGTTTTCAACCCATTGTTGAAGCCAAGATTATCCAAGGCGGGATTGATGACGAGTGATGCTAGAGTTGTTGAAAGAAAGAAGCCAGGAAAGGTTAAAGCTAGAAAATCGCCAACTTGGGTCAAACGTTAGAATAAATAAAGTTCTTGTGTATATAAATATGTAAATAACGTTTATCGTTCTATAATGAGTCCAAGTAGGACAATACCGATTCGATTTCACCCTTTTCATATTTGGTAATTTTGCCTTGAAATAGGCCCTTACCACCACCTTTCAAGTTGGTGATCTTTTGCTTCAATTCTGCGGCAACTTCGTTAGTTTTGGGCCCTGATATTTTCACCATACCTCCATTTGATGTTTGATTACCATTGATTAAGACGAGTGTGTGTTTGTTGGTGATATCAACCCCACTTTCTTTATCTGCATTGATGATTGTTGCAAGTTCCTTTTGAACCGTTGTCAAGTAATCTGGATTGCTTTCTTCTCGATACACATAAGCTACACCATGTTCGGTCGTTTTCAACTTGTTGAAAATTTCAGTAGCTTTCAAATTTGCCAATTCTTTGGTTAGATTAGAAATAGTGGAATTTGCCTTTCTGTAATTCGTGCTCAACTGATCAACTTTTGTAACGACGTCATCAATCTGACACGATAATTGAGTTCCTGAAACGGTTTTCAATATGTCGAAATATTCAGAAGCAATTTTGGCAACTCGTGATCCACAAGTGAAGTACAACCGAGAATGACCACCACGTATTGAAGTTTGATTCAACAACACAATAGATCCAATCTGAGCAGTATTGGACAAGTGTGTACCGCAACATGGATTGGAATCAATATCGTCTCCAATTTTAACTATACGTACAACACCTTTACTTTGATCATAATCATCTGGCAAATGACTCGTGTCAATTTCAACTCCATGATCATCACGGGTGACAACATGGATTGGATGTGATTCAAATATAAGTTGATTCACCCGCTGTTGCACTTGCTCAGCCGTTTCATTGGATACTTTCTCTGGCAACTCGATGTAATTGATCACATCGCCCATGGACCAGGATAAGGTATCAAGTTGCAAAGTGTCAAATACGGCAGAAAGTAAATGTTGTCCAGTATGCTGTTGCATTATATCTAATCTCCGATTCCAATCAACTTCAAGCTTAACTTGAGTGCCTGGTTCTATTGGCTCATCAACAATATGAACTGCCTTTAGCTTGTCACGAAGTATGGCATTCACCTCCACAGTCTTGGATTCAGAAGATGATGTACCGTTGTTCAAAACCGTTACGGTACCTTTATCAAATGGTTGGCCACCGCCCTCGGGGAATAAAACGGTATCTTCAAACTCAACGCCATATTTTAATTCTTTGGCTGCATTATTGTTCTTGTTTTGTTTCTCTTTTGACGTTGATGGCGGAATAAATTCGTAGCTGGAGACGACTTTGGTGTTTAGGGTTTTGAGAAACGAGTTTTTCTGACATGCTAAGGCTCCAACGATAGTTGATGTTGCGGTGGACATGGTTATTGGCCGATGCAAAAAGTACAGAAGCTTTGTTGTTGAATTTTCAAAATTTCAAAGACGCTTAGATAAGCAAAATTTCATATTATTCCGTATTTCGTTACTCAACTCTCTATAAACTATTTCCTACTCAAAGTAAATCCAACGATAATGGACGAGGCAAGCACCGCCAATATACCAGGAACTAACACTTCATTGGCAATACCAGGTACGAGTGACTCCGACTGGTGACTCTTTTTCTTTGTGGGCTTGATATCATCGACTGATGGATGTTGGTGAGGATTGTGTAAATATAAATCAGCTTTTTCATTGCCCAATCTCTGGTTGATACGAACACATTCAACCAAGTCATTGTCGGTGGTTACGGACACCACATCGCCTTCGTCGTCAATATAGCTAACTGCAAGTTCCTCATGAAGCGGAGTTGACTCGTCGTCATTTTCATTTGGCCTGGATACATTCAACACAGCAAAATCTTTGTCGTGTAACTTAGAATGGATCAATTTTCTCAAAATGACAACACCATCACTTGCTTTCAAAGTGATACGGTGCACTCTACCTTCCACCGCTGGTGACTTGAACTTGAAAATGTATGGGGAATCTTCTTCAATAGCTAGTGCCAAACTACTACCTGCCGCAGTCGATCCCTTCGTTGGCGACGCATCAACATAGGATATTGAGTCGGAGGGCTTGATGTCAATGTTGAACGATTGAAACTCAGATGGGGTAACTTCGGGGGCGTTTGCAACTGCACTTTCATCCATTAATGAATCTGAATGTACGGATTCATTGTCTCCCAACGATGTCCAAAACTTGTTCCAAGCAGGACCTTCGTTACCTTGCTCGGGCGCATCAAGAGACAGTGGTAGCTCTTTTGCCTCCAATTGTCTAATCTGGGTTAAAGTAGCGTACGTTAACTTCAAAACATCCACCATGCCAATTATATCACCCTCGTTGTTCACCACAGGCAAGTTCAAATAATGACCATCAAACATCTTCCTCAATGCTTCTTGAATTGGCAATTTCGCAGATGCGACATCTGGATGCGATGTCATTACTCTCACCACTGAACAGTTTTTGGGATCCAAACCGGCTGCGATTACTCTTAATACCACATCTTTAGATGTGAATATCCCGGTCACTTCTTGATTTGTATCCTTTACCAAAACAGCGGTTGTTCTGTTTTCCTTCATTAAAACAGTAGCCTCATAAACTGACGTCTTAACACCAACGTAAATAGGCTCAGTAGATTCGTCAAGGACGTTATCCAATGTTGGACCATTCATTTTATTTTTCAATGTTTCAAAGTATTGGAACACATGTTGAGGCTGGTCTTGCACGCCAATCTCATCATGTACTGAGTTCCATGCGTCGTATAAGGTTTTAGACTGTGCATGCATTCTCTCCAACTTTTCCATCTGTTGGGCATAGCATTTAGTGATGTCTAGGACGCCCACAATTTGGTTATCATTATCCAATACGGGCAAATGTCTAAAGCCTCTTTCCACCATCAAATTCAATGCTTCAGAAGCTGGGTTATTCGCATTGGCACAAATAGGATCAGCAGTCATAATTTGGTCAATCGTGACCGAGTTTGCCGTCAACCCAGACCCAACTATACGAAACGCTAAGTCCTTGGCAGTGAAAATACCCAAAAGTTCACCAATGTCATTAACCACCAACACACAGTTTTCACGTGTTGCAGTCATCATCTGTGAGACTTCATGGACTGTAGCTGAGGTTTTGCAAATAATTGGATCACTGGGTTTTAATGATAACACAGTGCCCGGAATGGCCTTCTTATGTCTTGTAATGCGACTGCCATTTTTCTTCTTTTTACTCAAGTCATGTTCAATTCTTCTTCTAATGGCTTCGTCTCGCTTTGATTGCCTCTTTCTCAAGTCCAGTTGGTGGTAATTGGTGGATGTGGTGTTCAATGAGGGGGAGGATTTTTGCGGTGACAAGTTATGCGACTGCATTGTAAACATCAGCTCTATTCGATGGTATTGAAAAGGGTATATGCTGTTCTACTTGAGTGTGTATATTCGATACAAGTAAGTGGTTGATGATGATGATTATGGTAAAAGTTTTTGGTATGAAATCAATCAATCCCAATGTGGTTAATTTATAAATAGTCACACAAAATCAAACTTATACATACATACATATATGTATTGAAAATAGGCCTAATGAGGTAAACCGTGCGGCTCATTTTGAAAGTGAAGAAAAGTTTCTCTTTTCTTCTTTCTCTCTTAGTTCATAGTTACTGCAAAGTAATTGTACATTTCAGTGTATTCTCAGGTAAGTTACACTGAACTAACTCCCAATGACATTATTTGAACTTACAAACAGTCTAAAACGGACTATTACAGAGTCCTCATACGGTCAAAGTGAGAAACACAAGTTACTTCAATCGGAATACGTATCTCACCGAGAATTGGTACAGTTTTACCAAGCATGCAATCCTACGCCGACACTCTTGTCATTAATCAGGCAAACAAAATTACACCTACCCAAGTATAAGACTTATAAACAGACGAAAACCAAAGAATTTTTAAAGATGATGGAGAAGCTACGTCTTGAAGCACAAGAAGCAGAGTACAGAAAGTTAATCAACCCGGATCCCGAACACACCACGTTGTACGACACTTCCAATCAAGAATACGTGTCACCAGTGCAAGCACACAAAGAATTAAAGAATCAGTTGACAACCATTGTAAACGTTTTTATTAGCGTTGGTAGTGTATCATATGCAGTATGGTATTGGACTGCATCCAGTTGGGGTTTAAGAGATAGCTACCGTGTGTTATTGACGGTGTTTTTTGGATTGTTGGTATTGGTGGCTGAAGTTGTGGTATACATGGGGTACTTGAATAAAATTGAAGAAGCTAGGGCCAAGGAGAGTAAGAAAAAGGAAGTAAAGAAAGTAATCAAGACGTATGATTTGACATTGGATAATTTGACTGCAGAGAAATTATGAGACACACACACAGACACACACAGACACACATCCTCACTTTAGAGGGAGAATATTTTTGCAACACATTTCAAACCACACACTCGACTTTTATTCCACACTTGGTTCATTCACGAAACATCAATCAACGAGACATGAGGGCTTATTCTCAATCATTCTCAATCAACTCGATTGTTGCATTCGTGTTGAAATTTCCTTTGATTGGATACATCATAGGCTTTTTTGAAGACTACGTGATTTCAATTGTTAGAACGGGACCTGTCCCCAAACATGTTGCTATGATCATGGATGGTAACAGGACTTATGCCAAGAAACATAGGTTGCCTTTGAAAGAGGGCCACTTTGCTGGTGCAAATGCTTTAGTCAAGGTATGTTTTCTAGTTTGATACGAGTTTTATTGGCATAAATACTAACTTTCCTTAGGTCCTTGAGTGTTGTTACAAGGTTGGAATCGAACAGGTTACAATCTATGCCTTTTCCTTGGAAAACTTTAACCGGACAAAAGAGGAAGTTGACACACTATTTGGCTTACTTCGTGATAAATTAAAGATGATTTCTGACTATGAGGATTCCTATGCCAGGTACAACAAGGTTAGAATTAGAGTGATTGGGAATAGGGGTTTCATCCCACCAGATATTTTGAAAGACTTGGAGTACATTGAAGAAGTGACGAAAAACAAGTCATCGAAAAAGATTCTCAATGTTTGTTTCCCTTATACAGCTAGAGATGAAATCACCCATGCCGTTAGATCGATAGCCAAGAAAAGGGTTGAGGGTGAGATCCAAAGTCGTGACGCAATTGACGCTAAAGTTATTGAATCAAATTTCTACTTTGGTGACAGTGTGCCACCTTTGGACATCTTGATTCGTACCAGTGGACATACAAGGTTGAGCGATTTCCTATTATGGCAATGTAACACTGAATGCACTATCGAATTTCCTGATGTGTTGTGGCCCGATTTTGGATTCATTAGTATGATGTCAATTTTGTTCAAATGGAGTTACTACAAAACTTTACAATTGGAGGAAGACGCCATTAGAGGTAAGGAGCCACAAGTGCAGGATACAATTTCCACTGTGTTATTAAAAGAGTTGCCTCAACCACCACCAGTTGCTACTGTATCTCATAATTGATTTGCTTTGTCGGAATAAGGTTTCTTGCGTTTTGCGTTTTGCATTTTGCATTTTTGCTATTTACATATATATACTAAGCCTTTTGTTCAGACTGCTGTTCCAATCTCTCTACCTCTTTCAACAACTTTGTAAACTCCTTATGTTTCTCATACTCGTCTCTAGATTCGTTGAGGTATAAGTTCTTTGCGCTGAAATCACTTTGCCTCAATACAATAGCGTTAGGGTTCCGTTCATTGCTCCACCTCTTGTTAACAACCTTTTCGACTTCATAGTACAATGAGATTAAATCATGACTGGTACTAACCACATAATCATTAAGCTCAAATCCCAAATTCGATTGCAAATGCTTAACAAACGCAAATCTCAATTTCAAATCATGTAAATCGATACTACTATAATCATCAAATCCAATTTCCGTCCCCGTCACATCTTTATAACTTTGGTTAACAACATTTTGTAACTTGACTTTATCATCATAAAACCCTTCCAAATCTTTAGCATGCAAAAACTTGACATTTTTCCAATCACGCACCTTAAACTGCAGTTGCAACTTGTCCTTTTGCTTCTTTTTCAAGTACTGTGGCGAGTTTTCTCGAGTCAAATGGGCAATTTTGGTGATTTCTTTATTTATATAATCATCTTGTTTTTCAATTATATCTGATCGTTTCTGTTGACTGGTGATTTTCGAACTTTTGTTGCCGAATAAGTCACCGAACCAGGATCTGGTTACAGTGGATGACGTTAAGGATCGTCTTGGTGTGAGTATATGTCTCGCGAGCATATGTATTGGGAGGGATGTTGTGTTGTACTGGATATGGTTTATAGTAAAGCTGAATGAAGAGAAAAAAATTTTGGAGACGAAAAAGAGGAAAAAGAGTTTGAAAAATTTGATATTTTACGACATAAATTTTGTGTCGCGACATTAAGTTTAAACCAAACTCATTTCAAGTCATTACTCATAGAATATTAATTATATAAGCTTCTTTTTCTTCATAAAGGCAACGGTAAGGAGGGTTATGGTAAGGTACAATCCAACCCCAACTCCAAACTGCTGCGAAAAATGCCCCGAAGTCACTTGTCTGCTACTATCTTGCACAGGTGATGCCTCAAATGCATCGAGCTGTCTCTTGAACCCACCATTAGAACCCTCACTATTACTGCTATCTGATGTGGTTTGCGCTGCATTTGTAGTATAAACTGCTGTGGAATACACCTCAGTTGGGACCGTTGTTTGATGGGCCGTCGAGGAGGATCCAGTAGGAGTTGATGAACCTGAAGTAACGGTAACTTCACCAATATCACACCACCCCTTAACTGGGATACAGTTAAAGTACTTGCACCATTTGCAGTGTTCAGACAGGTCATAATTATCATTGAAAAAATTCTTGCAAAGAAGAACAAAGTAGACAATGATTAAAGCCAAGGCAACAACTCGAGCACCGCACCAAAGCAAAAATGGAATCTGCAACTTGTCTTCATAAGCAAACATGGGGTTCCAGTTATTGACAAACTGCTGCCATGTGGTTGGCTCGCGTGCATATGTAATTATTCCATCCTTGTAAACCCAAAATGGATCTTTTAGTAACAATATTGCCGTGAGTATACCCATGGCAAACCCACCCAAATGACTGAAATTATCAAGCCCGGGAAGTAATCCAAGCACCAAGGATATGATTATTTCACAAACCATGAAAAATATAAATAGCTTGTAGTGGGTTGTGCCATACATGTTGGTATTCTTTCTTCCTGTATAGATGAAAAGAATTATATTCGTAGCCACTACGCCAAAGAGGGCACCTGAGGCCCCTGTTGAGGCTATTCCTTGTGGCGTAAAGTTTGCGCCAAGAAGAAAACCAGAAATACCACTTGCTATGTAAATGATGGCGTACTTTAAAATGCCGATGTTTCTCTCAATTGAGGCACCCATTGTTAATTGCAACAACAAGTTGAATATGATATGAAGGAACCCCGCATGGAGGAAAATCGGAATAAACACTCTATACCATTGATTAGGGGCGTATTTTTCTCCATCGTCAAATGTTGGTAATCCTGATAAGCCACACAAATCACTCAATGAGCAAGTGTAGGTATCTTCCGAGGTTGAATTGGCACATGGGAAAAGAATAGAAGTGTCATCGGTGACACCCTTGATTTGGTGCATACAAGGTACATAACGTGCTCCCATGTAGATGAACAAATACGTCGACGGGCCCAACATCGGGTTAAAATATGGTTTAGTTTGAAACCCGGACCCAGTAAGTATTGCCATTTTTGCGAGTTCCACAATAAACACTATAATCTGTATTAGGGTAACAACCATGGTAAAGTACGGTAGCTTAGTATAATGGAATCGTGGTTTGCTTCGAAGTGTACGAAGCCGATTTCGTTCATTGTGTCTCATCTTTTTTTCCAAATCGTATTCCGGTCCTTTGATTCTACGACTTGGCTCTGGAATGTATTCATCATTAACATCAAATGGATTGGTTGTAGAGCGCTCAGGTAAATCTGTTGCACTCTGGTGGCTTGCATTTTCAATAAATGGATTTCGATAGCCACCATAGACATCTTGCTCCCGATCTAGTGCTGGCATGGGCTGTCTCGAAAAATCAGACATTTCAAAATCATTAACTTGGGTCGATTCCTGTTTCTCGAGTTTTGATGGGTGGTTGTTATTGTTATCTAGTAGTGTGCGCAGCAGTGATTGATATGGGTGGGTTAGTAGGCTGCCATCACGTTGTAAAGCACCATGAGATGGCATTGGTGGCAAAGGTAGCGATTGTTCCAGGCTCTGGTTAATATTTAAGAGTGGAAGTGTCGACAGAGAACTGCGATAGGGATGGCCAGAGCTGTGTGAGTTAACTTGTGGTAGTTGTGGGGGCTGCAAGTGATCAAAACTGTCGTCGCTCAGTTCCTCCACTGGGTAAGGATGTTGACGGGGATAATAAGTATCGTGACGACTGGCGGCTCTATGCATGATTGATGGTTAATCTTATAGTTATAAAGTGATGTAGAACTAAGTGAACGCTGAAACAATGAAACAAGGCTGAGGTTTTGCGAAAATTGTTCAACTAAATCAATACGCAATAAGACCTGGTTGTAACGAGAGAGTAGGTCTTTGTAGTTGACTAGGTGGGTGCTTTAGTAGAAAAGCAAGGCAGCGCAGTCAATATCAGTGAAAAGTGAATAAAGCTTGTGTGATGGTAGGTGATCTATCTCACACACGTCTTGAGGTTAAAAAGAAAGAAAAATTCTCGTGTGGTTTGAAGTATGTATGTGTTATTACGCAAAAAAGTGTAAAATACAATAAACACGACCAAAAATAGAAATAATTTATGAGGTAGTGTACATTGTTACAAGAATAATACATCCCTCCCCCCTTACATGGGAGTTTGCTAAAATGGTGCCATTAATGCAACAACTCAAAAGAACAGATTATATTGCATTGCTACGAGCTACACACTACATGGAATGGAATGAGAAGCTTTTCGGGGGAGAGTCAACTTCTTGCATCTGAGCTGAGTCCACCATTGAATTTTTTTCTTGTTTGAGTTGATGTATTTGCCGTACTTTGATATAAGCCATTTTGCATAATCTTGGTTAACACAAATAACTTCTTTGTCTGTTGTCTTTTTTTTTCTGTTGAAACATTCCGAAAAGATGAAGAAGAAGAAGGAGGAAGGAGGAAGGAGGCGTTGCAAAATAAAAATAGAAATTTCATATAAATGACTTCATCATCTTCATCAACAGTCGTAATATTCAAGGGGCAAAAACGTTTAAAGAAGGAACATTTACATTTCTCCATTAGGACCTTCTATGACGTAATCAAAGCTATCCCCGCTTGCAAAGTTTGAAGAAGGAGAAGAGGGGAAGATTGCGAAAAGAAAGTATCCACAGCAATTACTTTAATCTACGGAATTACTTTGTTCTTGGTACTTACAAAGTAGTTAAATAGACCAAATATAGAGTACAGAAGTTTGCAGAGTGTGGTAAAAGAGTGTAGTAAAAGAAACACCAGTTGTTCTTGGGATGCATAACTACAAGACATTTACAGAATCTAACGTATGTTTTATCCCACTCCAGTTGCTTAAAAATGTTAAGCAAATAAACTCTATCTGTTTAGATTAGTTCTCAAAATTAGACAAGTTATTTCTTTGGCAAGGAATTTTGTATGATATACTCCTTTCCCCATTTGAGACTATTCTTTTGTTCGAAAATTTTAACCACTTCTCATGCAAAATATACACTTGACCGTAAATCAATTAGATTAAAACCAAGTTAACTGAGCATGGTCCAGCATTATACTTAACACCAAAGAATAGATACCTAGACACAGTAGAGAACCACATAGTCTCATTTGTCGAATAGTAGTGATGGGTTGATTTACTGTAGTGAACTTAAATTTAGATACAAAAGAACGCTCTTCTTGTAACCAGAGCAACCATGTCGCAATAATCCAATTGACTCGAATTGATTGGTAATTGCTCTAACACCCGGTTGCTGATCCTTTTTCTTTTTGAAAATAAAGTTGGCAAACAATTGATTGGAAATTCGTTATCAAAAAATTTTAGCCACAGTTTACAAAAAGTTTTTGTTGTGTTTCTGAAGTTTTGAGTGTGCTTTTTGCTATTCGAAACGGTAAAAACAATAAAAGATTGCATCACAACTTGCTAGAATGCAACTTCCAGATAAACCTGGGGAAGCACCTGCAATGAGTCAGTCCTCGACTTTCACATTCGAGAAGGGCTATTGATGATGAATCTTCGAGAATTGAGAATTGACAATTGAGTCTTACTATGGTCAATTTAGAAAGGATACCCCTCCTCAAGTTACCCCTTTGAAGTGAATCAAACCCTCTGCAAGATCTTATCGTGTATTACTTTCATAACCGTTTAATGCAAAACTCAATTGTAATGATGCAGGATAAACGAACCACATAATCGTACCGTAAGTGTTATATTTATTTCTTACACCATGTGACAATAAGTTGTGGCTGCAATAGATAAATGAAGAAGAAGTTGAGTGAAATAACGAATTGAAAGAAGGGTATTAATAAAAAAGCTTTGCAACCATGGATATATTTCTCGGGTGAGAATGCAAGCCATCCGATATAAATGCAAGTAATCAAGACTAAAAATACGGTTTTGGTTTTCTTTTTTGGCACGCTTTATCTCGTTAAAGGGAGCCACAGTTTTTGCAACCGTTTCTTACACAAGGAAAAATCTATCCACAATTTACACAATAAGGAACATTGTATCATTCTTTGCTCATCCACACAACACATTCCCGACCCATGTGGATTATGTGCACATATACATACATACACCAACACACACACACATATATATCGGCTGGCGGCCGGAAACATTGGCTTACTTTTTAGAACTCGGAATTTCACATGGGGCTAAAGTTTGTACCGAATTTTAGTTTGCAATTTTGTGGCTACCGCTCCACATATCGCCTAAGTATATGCTAAAATTGTGCATCAGATACGAACAAGTGAAATACACAAGCGGAAAAGAAAGTTTGCAGGGGTTGCAGGAGTTGCATTTGCATTTCAAACAATGCACTGTATGTTTCAATATATAAAGAGAAACAAGAATCTCCTGATTTTGTCTTTATGCAAGTGAAGGTGAATCTTTTAGATCCTTTTACTCAACCGTTAACTGTTTTTTTGTTTGTTTCAACGTACAATATCGCTGGCGATAATAGATTATTTATTTATAACCAAACTAAAGTTTACAGAAGTCGAGTTGTTTCAGAAATGGCGTCAGATTCAGCTGTTAAACTATTAAACCAAGCATCAGGCTATGGAGTTCTAGTTGGTGTTGGTGGTGGATTTGCTCTTGGCATGATTTTCGTTACTTTCTTGTTGAGAAAATACTTGAAAGAAGACAACACTAGTACTGAAACTTTTTCCGTGGCCAACCGATCAGTGGGCACTTTGCTTAGTGCGTCAGCCGTTTATTCAAGTTGGAGTTGGGCTACTGAGTTGCTTTGGTGCACCACCATGGTCTACAATTATGGTATTCAAAGTTCATTCTACTATATGGCTGGTCTTGCTGTTCAGATTGCCGTTATGGCCATGGTTGGTATTCATGCCAAGAAGAAGATCCCCAAAGCCCACACCTCGTTGGAAATTATCGAATTGAGGTATGGTAAAACGGCCCATATTCTTTACATGTTTCTTTGTCTTACCAACAACTTGTTGTCTTGTTCGAGTATGATTTTGGGGGCTGCCGGTGCCATCTCAATTATTGCTGGTAACTTACACATTGTTGCTGCCACTATATTGACAATCTTTTCGGTCTTGTGTTATTCGATATATGGTGGATTGAAAGCTACTTTCTTGACTGACTTTGTCCATACGTTGATCTTGTTGATTGTGTTGTGTTACTTGAATACGGCTGTTTTGAACAATATTGGTGGCTTGGATTCCTTGTACGACAAATTGGCAGCTATGGGTGGCACGAGGGAAATCCCAGGTAACTTTGAAAATAGTTTTATTACCGGAAAGTCTCAAGGAGCTATTCTCTTTGGGTTGATTTTAACAGCTGGTAATTTTGGTTTATCAGTAATGGACAGTTCCTTCTGGCAAAAGACATTTTCAGCATCGCCAAGAGCCACTGTTCCTGCTTATTTAACTGCCGCTTCGTTGATTGCATCCAACGTTTGGGCTTTAGGATCAATTATTGGAGGGGCAGCAATTGTGTTGGAAAGCTCGCCTAAATTCCCCACCTATCCTCGTAAAATGACCCAATATGAAGTTGATTCTGGGTTTGCTTTACCTTATGCCTTGATGGCTACTTTGGGCAAAGGTGCTGTTGGTGGACTACTATTGATTGTTTATCTTGCCGTTACTTCAACAGTGTCGGCCCAAATGGTTTCGGTGTCGTCAATTCTCACCTTTGACATCTACAAGAAATACATCAACACCAATGCTCATAACAAGTCTTTGATCTTTGTGTCGCATGTTGGGTGTATCATCTTCACTTTGGGAGCTGCTGGATTTTCAATTATGTTGCATTATGTTGGTGTTAATATGTCTTGGTTTGGATACTTTTATCCATTGATTATTTGTCCTGGTGTCATACCTTTGATCTTATCAATTACTTGGGATCGCCAGAACTGGTATGCTGCTTTTATTTCGCCAATTTTGGGGATTGTGTTTGGTTTCATTGTGTGGACCACAACAGCGTATAAATTGTTGGGTGCTGTCAACATTACCACTTTGGGTGGACAATTGCCTGCATTGTATGGGGCTTTAACGGCTTTGTTCTTACCGGGAATTTCAAGTATTGTTATTTCCTTGGTTTTTCCTCAGAAATTTGACTGGCAAGTGTTGCAACATGCCCATCTTTTGGTTGATGAAGATGTATCAAGTGAGAATTCAATTGGTGATGTTGATGTTGAGGAGAAGGATGGATCAGAGACACCTGACAGACACCAGGGCAATGCAGTTGAAAGACTTGATGGTGGTAAAGAAGAAGTCGATGTCAACGTTGAATCAGATCAATCATCATCTTCAAATAAGTTGGAGTCGCAGGCTCCACAACTAGATCTTGATCAATTGACACCAAAACAGTTGGATTTCTGGATAAACATTGCAACAGGGGCTGCGCTTTTCATATTGTTGATTACGTGGGTGTTGTGGCCTTTGCCTTTGTATCGTGATTGGATTTTCAGCAGGGCATACTTCAAGGGTTACGTAACCGTTGGTTTGATTTGGTTGTATGCCACTTTGCTTATTATTGGAATCGGTCCCTTGATTTCAGGCAGACACACAATCGCCTTCATATTCAAGAGTGTTTATCGTGATTATATAAAGAGAGGATGAATTATTCTAGCTAGTTAAAGAAATAGAAAGTTTCATAATAGATTTCCATTTAACCTTTGTGAATAAGAAAAATAACTAATAGTACAAAAAACGAAGAGAATTTAAGCTGGTACCTCCCACTTATCAAGTGTCGACCAACTTGACGTAATTGGAGGGGCAAATACCAACTTGCCCATTGACTCTCCTTGCCTGCCACCACTTGCCATCTATATCGTCAACCTCTAAAATTTCATCCTTGACAAAACTGATCTCGTTGATGTCGTCAGGGTTTGCGTCATAACTATACAATGCCTTTGCCTTATATCTAAACGTTATTCCCGTACCTGTTCCCGTACCTGTACCTGTGCCTGTACCAGTTCCAGTTCCCGTTGCCGTGCCAGATCCGGTACCTGTACCAGTGGACGATTCATTATAGTATGGCATAGGCTTGGTGTTGAGCAAGTCACGGGTTCCATTGCTGTTGTATGTACCAACTTGGTTTGGCACAGGCGCAGAAGCACCTATTGGTTGATGTGGACGTAAGGAGCCACTAGTTGGTTGTGACGACAACCTGTTATTTTCACTGAGCAAATTGTTAGAACCTTGATTCGAAAAGCGTCTCGAAGTAGTTGAAGGCAAGTTTGTACTCGATCCAAAACGTTTAAAATCAGGAGTTTGTCCAAGGTCATCTTCGTATGATTCATTCTTGAGTGCTGGCGAACGGCCCAACTGTTCGTGAGCATGGTTCCTGTAACTGAAACTATCAATAAATTGATTTGTAGGTGACTCTGGATGTCCTCCAAAATACAATATCCAGATCAAATTTAATATACTCAGCAAGATGCATCCGGCGGCGCAACACAAGTTACCCGATGAATCCGAGTGGTAAATCAAATTATTGGTTGAGTTAGTGGTGTAGATGAATGCAATACTGACTAAACCCACCAACGTGAATTTATATAGTTCGATATTGTTATTGGCATAAAGTAAAAAGATGATAAGTATTATGACAATTTGATAAGCAATACCCCACCATGAGAAATGAGGAAATTGTGACTGATCTGATGCGGCAGCACCTCCAAGCGATACTACCCACGACATCAACCCAAATGAAATTGTGGCCATGGCGAAGGGATCGCCTGTTAGGTTGGATATCCTGAAACCCATGACGATGATTGGTTAATTTTTTAAAAACAAAAGCGAGGGTGTCTGATTTGGGATGTATTTGTATTGATATTGTAGCTGAATAGGGGTTATGAGTAGCTACTGACAGTGCAAAGGACTAGCTGATTATACCTTCAAGATAATCTCAGTGGTGTAGAAAGTGGGTATTATTCCTTAAAAGAATCAAACAAAAGGAGAGTTTTACTTTGAGAGAAAAAAAAAAAAAGAAAATTACTTTACAAATTTGAGTCCTCTTTGTTTTTACTTCTTCTCTATTTAACGTGTTTTTTTTCTTTTTTATTATTTTATTTATTTTTCTTTTTCTTAAAGATTTTTAGATTTTAGATTTAAGTCGTGTACTATTTGTCAAAAAATAGTGGTGTCACTTGATTTTGTGTAATACACTACCCAGACACCCAAAAAAGACCAAACACGTCCAAAAGCAGTAACGTCTTTTGAGGTAATTTTTAGACTGCAGGTTTTATATGCTGGAGAAAGGTATTACTCTTGTAAGATTGAGAGGCAATTACAAGCAAGTCAAAGTATTGACGAAAGCAAGAATAATTTGAGGATACTAGAGAGGGCGATTGTAATTGAAAAGTCAATATTGAAGATATACCGAAAAGGACAATGAATGCACACATTTGATGATCCCCAACCCCGTTGAATGCTCTTGCATGAGAAAGTGTGCACCTTTTTTTTTAGCATCTCAAAGCTCCTGTTCTTACTCATAACACCACAAACTAGTATATTTTTAAACTTGAGAAAGTCAGTGCAAATCTAGAACTCGTATAATTTGCGGCTCTCTATGCTTCTTTTGTGATCTGTTATTGTTTTGTTTAGGCGCTGCACTTTGGGATTGGTTTCACGTGCCTCTTCGCCTTTACTGTAAAGCTTTACTTAATGAGTTGAAGCCAATCCAGAGAGTCAGAGATTCATAACAGCAGATATAGTGCTCTGATTTGCTTGGCTGCAGCTACATTATGAATCACCAATTGTTTAGAGTAGATCAAAGAGTGATTGATGGGCTACGATAGTCACTTTGCCATGTTAACCTTTCCAATTAACACCCCTTTTGTCCAGCACATTTCCGATGTGCCACTAGCACCATGGAAATCGCAAGAAGATGTGCCCAAAAGATGGACAATATCATGGCTTGTCTGTGGTCGAACACTAACTTGATCGCATCTAAACTCGTCATAAAACCTTTGCAGAAAAAAAAAATAGTTATGCTTTCCGCATTTTGCGACCCTTAGAAAACACCCATTCCGGTCATCACACGATAAACATACTCCAATATGGCTGCAGGACAGAAATCGCTACTAACGGTGGTTGAAGACTTGACTCGTGTCAGGTCCGATGTTTTTCAACTCCAGGCCACATTCAAAAAAATAATGGACACCACACCATCTTGGGAAAGATACATTTACCTACTTAACCTAGCCAGCACCAGTGGACAAAACTCAGGGGAGACACTCGTTGCAATTGAAAGGCTCAAAACGGTGATTTTTCTACCGCAGACCAAAGTTGCTGTTCGGTTGAAGCAATTGTATGAACTGGGGAAATTGCCCTTGTTGACAGCATTGTCCAAAATCAATTTTAAAGCAAGTGTACAAGAGGAGGCCAAGCAAAAGCTTGACATCCTTGCATTTATCAACACCATCCCTGATCAAAAACCAAAAGCAGCTACACACAGGGAAATCACCAATGTGTCAGATTGGAAAGCAATTGAGTACTACTCATACCCTCCAACTTTACCCGTGATTATTGATAAGATGTCGCTCCTTCGCGTTAGTACAGACAAGTCGTATCGACGACTAGTTGATTATGTTGAGCTGACGTCCTCAAAGCATACAAATACTCATAATGCAAAATTGGCAATTCAAGGAAGGGCAATTTTGAAGTTTTTGTTATTGGAGACTTTGGATGATAAATTTCCCAATTTGTTTGAAGAGGATCTTAATCTAATACTTGGTCGATTGATGTCACTGAAACTACTAGCAAAGTTTGCGTTTGTGTACGACTTAGTCGATCCAGTGAAGTATAATTTGTCCGATGATAACGCTGAAGAATCCAAACTTGAGATTTGTTGCGACATCTTTGCTGCGTACATCGCTGGGCTTCACGCCGAGAGTTATGAACTAGATGAGATAAAATCTTGGTTGAATAGGTTGTATGAACCCTTGGTGATGGATGTGTTTGCCACCACTTCCAATCCAGTATCAAAAGTTGCCGTGGTGGAGTTTCAGTCCTTGGTAAAGCTGGTTACGAGTTTGAATAGACTACCTTATGATAATATCCAATATGAGACTATTAAATTAAAAGAAGACCCATTTGTCGCTCAGATAGTAGTAGAAGGGGAAGTCCTTGGAACTGGTGTTTCTTCAGCTAGTTTTGATGAAGCCAGGGATCGTGCGGCCATCGACATAATGGAGAATAAAGAAAATGGCATTCGTCTCTTCACCATCGTCAAGCATAGTTACTTGAAAAATAGAGACGGCTGCTCGCCCACGAATGACAGGCAAAAAAGTTTGTCGCAACAAATGACTGGACCAGAGATGAACTTGCTGCCTAGTCGTGCTCTAGACAGCTACGGCTGCGATCAGTCTCAACTGGTGACGCCAACTATTCACTCTCCACGCATTGTTCATCCTTTACCCGGACAATTTACTAGAGAGAATGACCAATACCCAGAAGCTTCACAGCAAATGACAAGATATGGCCAAAGTCCACCTCAACAAGAAACTTATCCATACCAGCCGATAGTGCAAACACCGTATGTCTCTCGCTTTTCTCCTCCAAACACTTATTCACAACCACAGGTTCACAGAAATAACTTTCAAACTCAATATGACTACGGATACATAGAGCCAGTTCCACATATTCCTCTATCATATAAGGATATTGACAAGCAGGCGAAAACCACCTTGCACTCAATGTTGAAAGCCAGACACTCCAATGATTATGAAGTGACTCAGCGGGATACTGAGTTTAAAACTATCGAGTTTCATACACAGTGTCTTGTTGATGGACATGTGCTTGGGACTGGGGTGGACACGAGTAAGAAGAACTCGGCACAAAAGGCGGCCATGGCTGCATTGAGTAACAAATCAGCCTTGCGAAACCTTGGTATAATTGATTGAGTCGTTACCCCACAGGTCTGTCTATTTATAGAGCTTGTTAAGCGTCCCTTTGTACATATATAAAGTCTAGCGATAAACATAGTGTATCATTTATTAACATCGAAGAACTAAAAATATATATAACGCAAAAAGAAAAATATAAATACACCTATCTAAAGCCCACCCCACAAGACAACTTCAATTGTCGTAAATTTCTTGAATAGTTCTCTTCTTTCCATTCAGTTGGGACTGTTGTTGTGTATCCTGTGATAATTGGACATGCTGCAACTGTGGTGATTGTAGGATATGATCATAAGAGTTTCCATTAAAAGAGCTTCCTCCCCCACCGCCATTGACACCAGCGAGGGGTGGCATGGGGCTCAGTACTGATCCTGGCGTATTTGCACTTCTCAAGAAATCATCGACATTGAATTGGTCATCGTCGTCATTTTCTGGGTAGCCTGCCAATTGTGGAGTTGGACCAACGTGAGCCTCACCATTGGTATTCTGTAGTAGTTGAGGTGGAATCCGTTGTTGCTGTTGCTGTTCCTGTTGCGCAAGCTTCTCAATCCAATCTTGTACTTGCTCTATAGACTGATCAGAGCTTCGAATTTGATTTTCAAGCTGGTCAATGTCTGGTCCATTTTCCAAAATACCCTTGTCAGCATCAGCACCATTCATCAATTCCTGGTGAAGACGATTCACATTACTCGTGGATGATTGGCGCCTTTTGATGGATTCGATGGTGTCTGGTGTAGAGTAAGACCTAATTGAACTTGGTCTATTTGTAAGTAATAACCTTGGCTTTCTCGTGAATTGACCAGTTGGAGCATCTGATGCTCTCTGTTGCTCAGAGGAAGTAGATGAGGGTGATTGGTAGGTTGGTCCTTGATCATCTTCTGTTTGGCGACGACGACGGAATGGAATATCACCATATTGGCCATTCTCAGCCGATGAAGCCTGTCCCTTGATCGTAGAGTCATTGTACACAGCTGCAAGGAATTTGAGGATCTTGTTTATCGTGCGACCTTGTTGTTGAGTTCTTTCCCTGTTGATGTAGTTTGCACTGTACATATTCTGATTATCCTGTCGTATACGCAAAATCTCCTCATTCAATCTTGCTTGATTCTGCTTTATTTGACTCAATTCTGAAAGAATCAAGCCTAAATCACCGTTGGCCACTGTGTGGGTATCTGTCAACTGCTGCGATTCTTCTTGAGGTACTGATTTGTTTCTCACTATATTGTCCAATAGATCTTCGCGGCCACGTATAAAGTTTGGGTTTTCAAATTGCCAAACTTCGTCGCCCCCGCTCTTGTCGCCATTTGGGTATAATGTACCGTTTGTTATATCTTGAACCTTGTGAAATCCATACATATTCAACTGTCTAACAAAACTTGACATGTTCTGATGCTTGAAATAAGCAGGAAGGATTTTATGAACGAAATCTTCACGTTTGAATACTTGGAAAGTTTTCCCATCGTCATTCCACCGAATATACTCGTCATTAGATTTATCATTAACCATGGACCATATTTTCATCACAAAAGCAGGTCTTGTTTTAGGTCCACCGCTTTCCTTCCTCTTTTTCGCTGGTTGTGTTGGTGGCTGGAACTTCAATTCGGACAATAACGGATCTCCGAAATCGAATCTTAACGGACTATTCACTGGCATGGTCAAAGGCTTAAGTTCAGGAAATGTAGCGTCTTCAAAGTCCATCTGATTTCTATTGAATACTTGTAAGTCATGTCCTGTATGTTCTGCATCTTCAGGAACTTGGTTTTCGTTGGGTTCTTCAGTCAAGAATAACGGACTTTGGCCAGAAGAGTTGGGAAATGTGCGTTGAGGTGTCGTCTGTTGAAGTTGGTTTAGCTGGTCGTGTTGTGATTGGACAGGTAAGTCGCGTGGCAGCTTTTGCAGTGCTTGTGATGGGGAGTTTTTCAACTCTTCAATCTTCACCTGGGGTTCATCAAAGTCATACAACAGTTGAGCATTCAACAACGGGGTAAGACTCTGAGGTAGTTCAGCATAGTGTGACAGTTGTGGTTGCTGCGGTTGTTGCTGTTGCGGATGCATATGATCAGGCTGAAATAATGGGTAGTTGGTCATATTGTTAATGTTCATCATGATGGATGTTTGCGTGTTAATACGTTACAAAAGAAAAAAAAAACTTTATTTAACTGAAGCGATGTCGTGTATTGCAAACAAATGACACCGGCTATTATTTTAACGGCTAAGAGCTAACTGTGGAAATTCTGAGCAAAGTTTTTGTCTCAATTGATTAGTAAAATTTCAAACAGATTGATAAAGTGGATAGAGTGGAATGTATTGATAGTTGGAGAATTTTGAGGACTGAGATTGCGGAAACTCCAGGGGTTATTTATATTCAGCATTTTTCGAACGCATTGAATCTGGGACTATTTGGATTTGTTCTATTTTAATTTAGAGTCCCTCCTGGTATTAAAGTGAGGTTTGTGTTATCCATCTTTTCCATACATACTATATGGTTAGACTAAATGACAGAGAGCAATTAAAAATATAGCAAAGGAAATGTACAATGAGGGAGTTTACCCGCTGAAAGAAGAAAAAAAGCCATTCGTTTGAAGGAATAATGGGCAATAGGTTGTATGCGCAAATGCTTAAAGTGTGAACAATTGAAAAAAAAGAAAAAAATTCACTCGGAAATTTGAAAACAATAAGCCAATTGTTCTAGCGGAAGCAGAAAAATGGCTACCCGGGGAAAGTCCACGAGGGCCATATTCATGATAAAGAGATGGCTATTTGAGAGAAAGAACGAAAGTTGGTATTCTTACCTTTGATGTATGCACATGAAAGAAAGGAGTTCTTGACAAGGAGGTGGGAAAATAGTAAGACTGCTTTCGCATTCACAAAGAAGATTCGTTAAATTGGACAATTTGGTCTAAACTAAAAGAGTCTCGAAATACCTATAGGTTACCTCTAGTAGGAGGTTTCTATCTATTGCGGCGGTTGGGGCTACTTATAGACTAGTCTAGTGCTACATATGAAAAGCCGAGTAGGTGAGTGCAATAGATCAAGTGCTACGCCATAGTTTCTAGAAAAGATGGGATGTTGGCATTCTAACACAACGAATTCTTAGTTTTAGAGTTTGTGTGTTAGATGAAGCTAATGTTTCTACACATGTACTTCGAAATATGTAATTTGTGTGAAATAGAAGCAGCCAGTATGTCATTTGAAAAGTTGTCGAATATAAGAAGGCAGTCATATAGGCGATGTGGCGATTGAATGCAGTTGCATTGTCACAAAGTCATGCGAATCTAGATTGCACAATGATTGCTTGTGCGTTGCGAAGCTCAATGCCACCTGAAAAATTCTGTGGTGCACCCTAAAGCCAGAAATACTCTCAAGCTAAAGCAAGATTTTTGTCCTTTGCTGTAACCCCATTTTAAATCTCGTGAAAAGTTACCTCGATTTGATAACTCATCACGCATTTATGATTGTCTTGCGTTGTAAAGGGATACAGCTGCCACTCATAAACACACTGAACCATGGGTCCCCTCTATAATGATTACCAAATCACCCCATTTGTGCAATTTATGTATTGTTTAAAACTAACCCCAAGCACCTCATCAAAGTTGCTTTTTCAAATATCAGGTAGCATTGTTGATCCAGTGGGATTTAGGATGTAAGTAGACATACACGATCATCATTCAGAATTTCAATATTACAGACAATTGGTCTAGTATCACTTCATCAGTTCAAGAGTCCCGTGTCCTCCAAAAGCATAGAGCAATTTGTGTACCACAAACAGGATGATAAGACATCCAGACAAGGAGGGGCTCGAATCTCTGCATATGCTCTAACTCCGCCTCATAGCAATTATAATACTTATCATATGTTGCAGATCTGATCTAAATTGGACAACTTGCAGAAGGTCAGACAAGCTTAGCCATCACATTCTACACTACACTACGTTTGTGTCCACTCCTTGATTTGCAATTCAAAAATGAGGGGTTGTAGTACTTCTTAATTGACAACACTATAAATCTATATATTCGCAAATATTGTGTACGTTCTTCCTCACAGCTTAAAGGTACAAATCTTTTCTCTCCCATCCAGTAGGCTTAACAACATCCAACCCATAGTTTGGTTGCGGCTTATCCAACCCGTCAATGTGCAAAGCAAATGGGTTTCTATCACCATCCTGTTTCAAGTTGGCTAACGTATGATTCACTTCTCTATGTTTTGATTCATCAGCTCTAATTCTCAAAATCAAATCTTTAAAACTCGATTCCTCTGACAAATTTGGCCAGTAGTTAACTGCAATGGTTGGGATCAACATGCTTTGGAAGCCCTTGAGCTTTTTTGGATCTTCTAACTCATCAATCAAGTGTGTATATGTTCTCACAGCCTCCTCTTCCAAGTAACCAACAAATCTGTGACAGTACTTTGGATTGGCCAAGTAGCAGAAAAAGAACAAGTTGGTAAAGACCCCCTGACCAAGATAAATGATCGTCTTTGTGAACCACGATGGCTGACCTATTTTGATAAAAGTAAGCAAGTGCATTCTCTCGTTATACGCTTCATCTTGCAAGGTTTCAATCCAAGCTTGATCTCTCTTTAATAGCCTCAAGGAATGCAAAGTTCTCAAGAAGGAGGCTACTGATCCAGGAACACCAGCAATCAGCTCTAAGAAGATAACACGAGTCATCCACTTGCCTTCTGTCATCTCATATCTAGTTCCTTTATATTTGTCAAGTGGATCACCCGGTTTGGGTACCTTGTAGCCAGTCACAAAGTCAAAGCAAGCACGGCAAAACATAGTTCCGTGGTAGGCAACCTTGTCACCAATTGTGGTTGGTTCCCTATGAGCAATCTTAACTCTATAAACACCTGCTTCAGTGTATCCAACGTGTGGGTAGGCGGGTTTGGTTAAGAATTTTACATCATCATGCTTTTCGATATCTGACTCATTGTAAATTTTGGTCGAAACGTCAAAGATACCATTACGCTGTGGAACTGTGTGAGGTGCCTCCAATTCACGCTTGTTGAGTGGTAGGTTAGCGTCGTTGTCGTGATTGTGATGGTGATTTGGTGTCCGATTGGTGATTACTTGCGGTTTGGTAGTCGTGCTTGACACAAATCGGATTGTGGGAGCACATAATAGTGTTGTGGCTTGAGGAAGCCTATAACAAGTAGCAGCTCTTAACATTGTATAATTGATTAGTTAAAGACTAGCCATTATACAATATTTGAGCTGTTCAACTTTGGTGGGTAAAGGAGCTATTTATATTTATGAAATTAATTTGTTTGTCGTAATGTTCCTCGAATTCTGAAGAATGAAAAGAAAATTCTACCCCAACGTTTGTGAAACTCCATTCATCCTGCACTTTGTTCAATTGCTAGGTGGATATTGAGGTATTTACTGGTAAGAAACTGCTGCATACTTTACAACACCCTCTCCGTAAGCTTCCGTTTAAACAATAAGTTCAAGTGGCAGGTATATGGTTTGAAGAAGAGTCATAAACGCTGGCTGCAAATAAAGAGAGAGCAACTGAGTATAATATGAGTGTTTGTAAGTTCATCCGACCAATCAGTAGTTCTCCAAATGAAATTTACGATGAAAGCTGATTAAAATTGATTTCAACAAGACAGTTTTTGCCTTGTTGAGGAGTTAATCGGAGAGGAAATTAACACCAAAAACCGTTGCTCTTAATGTGAGTCAATAATGAGCAAATTGTTTCACCAAAGTTTAGTGTAAAACATGACCCAGGCTACCGGCTTTGGTCGAAGAATACTTAGTTAGGAAACAAAAGTTGCAAAGTTTGTTTAGTTCGTGGCTGCAATAAGGCAAGGGGGGGTCTAATCACTTTGTGTTTAGTGGACAAAGCCGGAACATACAGCCAAAAAAATAGGTTTAGGAAGAACAAGGAAGAACAAGGAACGACGAATCTGTTTGTGGATCTCGTAAAGTCATTTACTTTTGAGGGACATTTATTTCTTTACAATAATAATTTAACGTTCTAATTTCCTACGGTACGGAGTTTAACCTCCACAAATCCCTAAATGAATGATCAATTCTTGTATTGTTTTTTGTTAAAAAACTACGCGGATTAAGATATGCAGGATGATTTAAATAACGACGCACTAGCGGCGTAATTATTTTTATAAGAGAGATGTCGTGGGTAATGGAGATGTCAGGTAAATCAATGACTGTGTACAGAGATTAGTTGTCTTAAAATAGCTCGGATAAGCTGCTATAGCAGATACACCTGTTGATGTGGCTTTCTTCTTAGCTTCTAGATAAGGGCACATTGCTAGTAATGGGTATCCGCGTGAGTTATATATTCGAAATCATTTTGCATATGGTCCCCTTCTCCTCATTTAGGTTATCAAAACAATATGACAGAAGTACAAGTCTTGTGGTATGACTATCATAAACTGTCAGTTAGGAGTTAGGACTTACTCTAATCCAATGTCGTGACACTGATGCGACATTAAATTCGCGACATTAAGCCGTTGCGAAAAAGTAGGCGCAGCATTCTCAAACACAATTCTAATACAAACGGATCAGCGATTCATATCAGTTCCGGTCTTCCCTTTCAAAGAGTTAGCACCACAGATTTACGGACTCTCTACCCTGTTTTAATAGCTTTCAAACATGCAACCCTGTAAACAAGTGCTTTCCATGTTTTTGCTTTATTCGACGGAGTAACACTAACCCCTACAGACAAATTTTACTACTGTTCTGGAAGTTCAACGCGTAAATCTATCCCTTTTCTTTTTTTATTTTTTTTTTTAAATTGCCATTCCTTTCTTTGGTTGAACTCTTTTTTTTCGCTGTTTTTGGGCTCAACAGTTTTTTTTTTTTTTTGCGCCTATCATTGCTCACACCGACTGCATATACGGAAAAACAAAGGCGCTGAAGAATTGCGTTTTCGTTTTTTTTTTTTCCAGATTTTTTAAATTTTGAATACCGAGTTAGTCTGCAGGGATCATAGGGTTCAAGTGTTGCAAATACGTCTCGTTGGACCAAACTACTAGCCACTGCGATACATCCGATACTACCGACACTTTCGACACCCATTCCTTCAAATTGACGCTGCCACCAATAGATACAGAGATGTCGACAGGCGTGATCGACTTGGGCATACGACAGTCAAATAACAAGCGAATTTATAGCAAGGGTGGTTGTAGAGAATGCAAAAGACGCAAAATCAAGTGCGACGAAGGAAAGCCTGCTTGTTGGCAATGTCTTCGGTTGAAAAAAGACTGTTCATATCCAGCTTTGGGGGAAAAAGTACTAAGAGTGCTGAAAAAGAAACAAAAGTTGCAGGCTGGAGAATCTGTTCTGCCCGAGGAAGAACGCAAGGTGTATGAGATACAGCAAGTTCCATACATTGCCACCAATCCCATGTCCATCATGTCGAATCAAGATCCGTTGACAGGAAGGAAGCCCTTGTATGGCCACCCGGAGTCTTCAAGACCGACGCCAGGGTTGCCAGAAGCTACACAACGGGGATTTATTGAGGGGCGTAATACCTCGCATCCTGCTCCTCCATATCAATCACATTTAGCCCCCCGCGAGGGATACTCACGAGATCTGATGCCTGCCAATCTCAACAACATGCCGCTGGCTGGGCAATCGCAACTTCCGCCGTTGCAAAGGCCATTCAACCAACCGAATTTGCCCAGGCTATACCAAAGTCGCATCTTACCTATTCAACAAAATGGGTCTAATTCGACGCCGTTTAAATATTACTTCCGCCAAGACCCGCTTGGGGTTGTGCTACCACCACCTCAAATGTCTAATCGCCCAGGCTCGACTTTAGACGGCCCAGTATTTTCTAGTCAGGTTAGATATGATTTGCCACCACGTCCAATCGAAAGAGCTCGAAGCAGTGCTGGGGTGACGAACTTGTTGAATAAATCACCCGATTCGGATGCGTCAAAGACGCAAGCACCGAAGCCACAAGAACAAAATCAGCCCAAAAAAGCAAAACATGCGCCTGCAGCAACCCAGAATTCCAAAGAGCCTCAGAACGAAGTGGCAACATCCTCTAAAAATGGTAATGGGTCGTATTCAAATTCACCTGCTGTTTTTGGTGACGATGTGGTTGAATTGTTCGAAGTTAGTGATTTGAACTTATTGGCTACAGATCTTCAGAATATGGTGAATGGAATACTATACAATATCACCCCTGAATCAAAAGAAAAGGCCAAGGAGAAGGAGACGACTGAAGTGAAGACAACCATGCCTTTTGTTGATAAATTGGAAAGAAATGTTCCCGTAGACTTTATCAAGTTGGAAAATGCCCAAAACCAAAGCTATTTGGAGGAATTTTATTACAACTGCTCAAACATTGTGTTACCATTTGCATCCTTTGATGAGGAGACGAAAGTCTATTTCAATCCTGCAAGAGATTTGTTGTTGAGCACCGCGGCAAACACAGATTATGTCTTGGCTGCTGTATTGGCGAATGGAGCCCATTCCAGGTTCATGAAGACGCGAAATATCGAGGACGAAGAATTTTATTATTTATATTTGAATGACTGTGTCAAATTATTGCATCCAGCAATCACAGACAACACGAAATTGACATCCAAGATTGAAAGTGTGTTGTTGACTGTACTTTTATTGACTGCTGCCAATGCAGCCGATCCAAAACAGGACTGGCGTCCGCATTTGCGTGGGGCAAAAGACTTGTTGATGAAATGCTCAAGCAAAAATGTAAAGCCCTCAAAAGTGTTTGTGTTTTGCAAAACATGGTTTGTTACATTGGAGGTATTAGCTGGTATAAGTTCAAAAAAGGGGGGAACATTACAAACGCACGACGAAATGGATGAGTTGTTTAATTTGAGTAGTGACTACGAAATCAAAGTATTGAAAGATTTGGGTATCATCTTGAGTAATGGATTTAACATAATGGGAGGATATCATCATGACTGCTACAGTACATTTCGTGAATTAATCAAGATTTTAAATAAAAAGAGGAACGGTACGTTGGATGCAAGTGACTCCTTACTGTATGTCGAGTTGTTTGCCAAGTGTGAAACTTTGCGAGAAATAGAATTTGTCAAGGATCCAGCGGCACCAGGAAATATACTTGTGGAAGATGTTGGAAGCTGTGTCATTTCTTGGGCTGATGTGAGCCATAAGCTGTACATGGCTGCTTCGATGATCATTCTCCTTCAGTCGTGTTTTGATGAGTCTTATACTTCACCCCAAATCCAGGTATTAACAAACCACATTATTGATTTGGTCTCGTTTGTCACCAACTATATTCCATTTGCTCCATCATCCAAGTATAAAGCCAACAATGGACTTATGATGCTTCAATGGCCTGTATTAGTTGCGGGCCAGAATTTGGAACCAAGTGATGACAAGGAGAAGGAGATTGTTCGGGTGTTTTTTGAACACCTGTCAAGAGTGGGATCAGGGGGAGCATTGATTGCATTGAAACGCATCAACCGCGTGTGGAGGAAAAGAATCGACCCCTCCATCACAGATGATGGGAATGAGTCAGAGGACCTACTTTCCTACTGAAATATTGAAATTTTGTTTTGTATATTTGTATTAGTTTATTTTTTCAAACTCGAGAAGCTCGAACCAGTTGATCAGCCCACCAGCTAATTGTAGACGTTTATCGAATGTGCTAGATCTGCCGTCGTTGTTGGTGATGACGGAAACTGGTGACCAATCAAACTCCCCCTGCAACTTCATATTCTGCAAGTGCCATCCAATTCTTTCAGCTCCAAGTCTGGCTCCATCAAGATTTGCTGAAGTGGGGCCGACTTGTAAAGCGGCGTTTTTACCCACCATATACAAGGGAATTTCTTTGTTCCACTGCAAGTTGTCCGTGAGGGAAGGATACCCATTACAAACGTCAATTGGGAATTCATCAAACATGGTATGCAAAAATGGCAAAGATTCAACATCAGCTTGAATGCCGGTAGCATAGTAGACGTAATCGATCTTGCTCAACCTTTTTGCTTCACTATTTTGCTTCCTTAACAGTAACTCCCATGATCCATTTTCCCATCCTTGCTCAACCACTTGTGTTTCTGTCATCCAATTTAAGCGTCCATTCTTCACGTGTTGCTTTAGTTTCTTGTAGTATTCTGGATTGATCGATCCACCTTCTCTTGCTTCATTCATCATCTCATACTTTAACTCATTTGTACCTAAATTGTAAAAAGCGGATTTCTTTACATTTTTGTACTTTGCCACCCAGTCAAGATGGAAGTCAAAGTGTTTGATCTTGATGCCAGAGCGGAATACTAGATGTACGCTAGAAACTGTGGGATCCTGGCAGGCAACATGAGCTAACTGGGCCGAAGTCAAGCCACCTCCTATAATTACAATGTTTTTGCGATCGGGATTACTAAAGTATTGCAGATCAAGAAACTGGACTTGCTTCGAAAACAAATGTGTTGTATGACATGAGCCGTTAGGGAAATGCGGATCAGGACAAATGGAAAGAGGATAGTTGATTTTACCTCTATGGCCACTCGCAACGACGGCAAATTTGCATCCGTATATTTTACCGGACTTTGTGCGAATAACAAAGCCTTTGCCTAAATCATCTCCACTTTGAATCAATCGGTGCTCAATACTCTCTACTTCATCATTTACGATACCGTCCTGTAGCCGATACCGCTCAACCACTTCCATACAATAATCATGAAACAACTTTGTAGACGGCCTATAATAATCCTTCCAATCACGCATATTGATATCAACGATACCATCTGTCAGTTTCAACTTCAGTTTAAGCCTCTTCTGTTGATGTTTTGAAAATTCTTTACCCACTACATTGGTGATTTCCATTAACTCCTTTTCACGTTTATTCAAATGGGCATAACTAATCATCCCATCAATATCACTAGGATCAACGTGGAAAAACATCGGAGATCTCAAATGAGGAATCTGGCAAGCACTGAACTGTGAATCCCACTGTGCCATAAACATGTTATTCCTTGTGTCAATAACCAATAGATCCTTAGGGTGGAACCTATCATAGTCGAATCTTTGCTTACTTTTAACTTTGTTGGTCTTGTGCCCGCGTTGTTTCAACCAATGGAATCGTTGATGTTCATCCTCGGTGAAAAGTGAACCCGGGTGGTTTTCGCACAAGCGAGCTGCCACTGCTAATCCACAAGTACCTCCACCAATGATAATACCATCGCGAAAGTTGTCGGGCTCAATCTGTACAGGTTCGTGGTCAGTCATCCTTGTCGCAGTCTCTTTCTTTTAAACATAATTTCATATTTTGGGGATTTTCATGTTTTATAGTGGGTGCAAAAAAAGAGAAGCACACACGCGAGCGATAACTACTATACCCATAACCACTATAATAATGTCGCCACCCACATTTCTCCGCTTAAAAAGCCAACAACAGATTAAAAGGCATTGTCCTATTTATTTAGTAAACCCTTCTATTAAAGCAAGCAATCCAACGGCGCCTGGATCAGGAATTCCACCTTCCGCTTCAAACTCCTTTTTGTCTACATAACTTGCTCTACCAAACGAGGCTTCCAAATTTTTTGTCTCTTGACACCCCTTCTCCGCAGCCTCTACTGCTTTCGACAAGTCCTTAGTCTTTTCAAATGTGTCTACAAATGGTTGCAAAGTATCTACCAATGTTCTACCTCCAACTCTAGCTTTGGTGTACTTGAACAAACCGTCGTGCAACGCTTTGTAAAATGCATTTGCAATTGTCTTGTTATCAACATCTTTAGCTGACTTCAAATGCTGAACCAAGGCTGTTAAAAATATGGAATAAATACCACCTGACGTTCCGCCCATACTGTCTTCCACAAACTCAGTAATCTGAGAAAGTGTGGCAACTGGATCCGACAAGTGCTCTTTAAATTGTGCATTATCCTTAAGAGCTTTAAGGATTGCATTAGCCCCAGCTGCCAATGTTTCACCACAGTCACCATCACCAACCAAGGTGTCATAATGTGTGATTTTTGGTTCTTCCTCTAGTAAATTCTCCAATCCACTCTTTAGATGTTCTTCAAAAGTCTTTGCGTCGACTCTCAAATCAGATGTCAACACTGATTGATGCTTCATTGGTGATTCAACATGTCTATTCAGAAGATCATCCCAGAACTTTGGTGCATATGATTTAGGCTTCCAGCCGGGTGCATTCGTTGGAGAATCCAAAAACCTTAAAATATCATTGGCAGAATAAGCAATCTTCTTCTTGTCGATGTTGCTTAAATTGAGCAATGTTATTGAAAACCCAGGAGAGTTGAACGAGGTGACAAAGTCGCTGACCAAAATTCTTTTTGGTTTTTTCTTCAAGGGCAAGTTTTGTAAGACGTGCTCAGTAATGGCATACAACTCAAATGATGAAGTACCACCAATGTTATTCACAAGAAACACATATTCATCATCGGGATTAAAGTCAACGTAGTGACGATCTTTGTCCTCCGGAGAGAGCAACTTATGAAGCATGTCTTTGATCAAATCATCCAATTTTGGAATAGGCTTGATCTTAGTCCCTGGTTCATTGTGGATTCCCAACCCTAATTCAACTTCGTCGCTTGCGTTAAACTCCACGTCTTGTTCAGCTTTGCCGGGGACCGAAGTACGGTCCAAACTGGCTGCTAAAGTCACCAAGTTTTCATTCACTGCATGACCCAAATCAGCCACTGTTTTCAAATCAGTATTATCCTCGGCTGAAGCTGCACCCAATACCTTATGCACCACAGCGGTTCCTGCCAATCCTCTTCTCCCAACCATCTTATTCTGTTCTCTTCCTACAGCAACGTCGTCACTGACGGCTACCAACTCGACATTATACCCTTCACTCTTGGCTCTCTCTGCAACCAATCCAAAATGTAAAACATCCCCTGTGTAATTTTTCACAACTATAATGGTTCCTTTCGACTTGTCTGACTTTTTCTTAATTGCCGCCATGATTTGTTTTGTAGAGGGCGAAGCGAAAACATGACCACTCACTGCAGCATCCAACAAGTTCTCTCCAACATATCCACCATGCAATGGTTCATGTCCTGCACCTCCACCACTGATAACAGTGATCTTTTTAGATGTATCTGAATGGGGGTTAAACACAACTTTCTCGTCGACAATGAGCTCGACGAAGGGGTTAGATGCGACCAACCCCTTTAGTTGAGTCAACACAATATCTTCGTTATCGTTGTATTTCCAATGTTTGGCAATTGTCATTGTTGATGGATTTAAAGATGAAAAAGTGTCTGAAGTGGATTGTTTCAAAGTCCTTAAATATCATGCGAAGGGGAACGGACTTTTTGTTTGTCGCGCACTAACTATGACATCATAGGGCATTCTCAAAACATAAGATATTTCCAGCCTCATTTTCTGTATGAAAAAGTTCGCAATTTAGAGTCATGAGAGCAACTCGGAAGCGTCTCTGTCCGTGAATTTATTGCGGTGAATGAATCTCATTGTATAAAGGAGTGTTGACCGATTCCAGCATTGCATTCCGAGAAAACAGACGTGATGATGGTGTGAAATATTGCACTATTTGTGTACGTCAGCCAACATGATGCGCAAATAATCAAAAAGAGTTACTTGGAGTTTGAATTCCTATTCTGCGGAAGGTATCCTACGATCACACTTTGTTAGAGCAAAGGATAATGCCAACGCATTGGGTCAACCCGTATGGTTTCAATCCCGTCCGAGAAAGCGTAAGAGAAAAAAAAATAAAAAAAAGAAACCCTAGAGTATCAAGCAAGCCTGGTAAACAGCCTTTAGCATAATGCCACCACGAAGGTTTAAAAGGGATTACAGTCGTGGCGGGTGTCGAGAATGCAAACGCCGGAAAATTAAGTGCAATGAAGCTAAACCGCATTGCTCTGAATGTACGCGATTGGGAAAGGACTGTTCGTACCCCAACATTGGTGAGAGAGTGATACGAGGTTCCAAAAAAATAATTGACGAAAAGAAGGAATCGTTTGTGTTACCAGACACACAGGGCAAAAGGATTTGGACGGTGCAGATGTATATGGGGCCAGACCAACCAAAAAAGAAAATGAAATGGGACAAAGTTTCCTCGCACCCGTCAAGTCCTAATGAAAATCACCCTAGCGATCACTCCCCTTTGAATGGAGTTATAAATAATAATGTTCCACAGGAAACCCTGCAGGAGGGTATTCAACAGCTAAACTTCCAGGATGCTTCTAAAGTTGGCCCAGACATACAAGAATTTGTTCCCCCCTCTTCCATATTACCTAGTGACGTTTACAATAGCGACGATCTCAACTTGTTAGCTGAAGATTTGAACAATCTTGTCAATGACATTATGTTCAGCTCAAACATAGTGCAGTCCGTGGATGGCCAACTAGACTTTTTCGATCCCACAACAGAGACGACTCCATATTTGGATGACATACCGAAAAATATACCCTATGACTACATAAAATTGAAAACAGACGACGAGAGACGATATATGACCCAATTTTATGAGGACTTTGCCCTGCAGATTTTGCCGTTTAGTGTGTGTGACGATGAATGGGGGTCTTACAGAAACCCTTTTCGCGATGTGATAATGAAGTACGCCGCAAGAGAAACATTTCTTCTAGCCGCCATGTTATCACAAGGAGCGAGGTTAGCTTCGGAATTACAAGATGATGAAAAGAGTCGCCAGCAAGATATGGAAAACTGTGGAAATTATTTATCTACGTGTTTAAAACTACTTGGTCCGGCATTAAGTAGAAATCAAGAAAAGCAGGTGAGGGGCGATTTGACATCGAATATAGAAAGTATATTACTCACAGTTTTGTTGCTAGCTTCATCCAATGCCAGCAATGAGAAACAGAGCTGGCGTCCGCACTTGAAGGGAGCCAAGGATATCATAATGAAAGCCACAGGTAGCAAGATCCGACTGTCTACCACGTTGATTTTGTGCAAGATTTGGTTTGCTGATTTTGAGATTTTGGCAGGGTTGAGCTCTGAGTTGGGAGGCACACTTCGAACGAAGGAGGAAATGGATGTGTTGCTTAACTTTGAAGATCTGTACGAGCAGTCTGTCTTGATAGAATTTGGTTTAATCCAAGATAATGGGTTTTGTGTAGTGATGGGGTATCACATTGATTGTCTTCAGTATTTGAAAGAACTTTCAGATTTACTAAGGCGAAAGAGAGGTGGTACAGAAGAGCAGCCGGGCCCATTTGAATGTTCCGAATTGATTAGTGGATTATATGCTCAGCATAAGGTGAAGTTTGCTCATGTATACAACGGACAAGCTCCTCATGGCTCATTATGTGACACAGTACACAAAGCAGATGGGAAGTTGGAGATGATATCCTGGATGGACTTGTCCCAACAAGCATACTCACTCGCGGGTTTGGTGACTGCATTCACAAGGATGCTTGAAATACCAATCGACTCGCCACATGTGAAAGGTCTAGTTGCTAGATTAGTTGACTTGATCAAAGTGTTTGAAAATTGCAAGTTCCAGGAGAGAATGCGTTTTCCTTTTGCTTTCCTGATGATCCAATGGCCTATCTCGGTTGCTGGGTTTGCCTGCACAGAATCCCCGGAGCATCCAGTGATTGAGAACTTCTTTCAATTGTGTTACAGAACTGGTTCATATAGTGCTAACTTAACGTTTGAGCGTATTAAAAAGGTATGGGAGCTACGAGATGCGGGTAAAGCGGTAGATTATGTTGATGATGAGAGTCATGTAGATAGAATTACGTATTGATTTTGAATTAACAGCAAATCAATTCTTTCCGGTAATTGGCTTGAGGTGGTCGATTGGAATCGTTTTGCTTGGCCATTTGAGCCAACACTGTCAATCTTCTTGGTAAAACAGCCAACGTTCATCTTTCCACTTCTTATAACTCTACTTTCAACAATTTGGTAGCGCGTGTGACTAGACCCTATTCAAAGTGAGTCAAACAAAATTATGCAAACCGGGCTGGAATGCAAAACAAAAACAATAAATGTTGCCACAATGCTGCTGCACAGATTCAAGAGACATTACAGTCGTGGTGGGTGTCGTGAATGCAAACGCCGGAAGATCAAATGTGACGAAGCGAAGCCGTCTTGCTCTGAATGCACGCGATTGGATAAAGATTGTTCTTACCCACAAGTGGGTGAAAAAGTGATACGAGGGTCAAGTAAGGAGGCTGGAGGGAGCAAAATACGGCATGGGAAACGTGCATGGAATTTTCAAATGTACATGGGTCCTGAAAACCCAAAGAAAAGAATGAGATGGGAGAAGGTGTCTACCATGACAGATACCGCTGAAGCTAGCACGGACAACAAAAACAATCCTGATGAGGTACATAGCGGCACCGTTCAATCAAACAATCTCAATGGAATAGACCTATCCACCCGCACAAATGCTAGTGCTGTTCCGCAGCTGAGAGACGATGTCAGCCCTTCGTCTTTATGGTCTGGCGATGTTTACAGCAGCGACGATTTGAACTTGTTGGCTGCAGATTTAAACAACCTTGTGAATGACATTATGTTCAACTCAAATATAGTACCCTCTACAGACAATCAGGAAGAATTTCCTGACCTTGATTCGGGGACGACCTCATCTTTAGATAATATACCAAATGGACTTCCCTATGATATCATGTTGGGAAAAACGGATGACGAAAGACGATACTTGAGCCAATTTTATGAGCGCTTCTCTCTGCAGAAATTGCCTTTTGGAGTTGACAATGATGACCCAGGCTCGTACAGGAATGCCATTCGGGAAGTGGTCATGCAGCACGCTGCTAAAGAACCTTTTCTTCTAGCAGCGGTTTTATCACAAGGCGCATATTCAGCATCAGAATTTGAAGCTAATGAAAGACAACGGCAGCACGATTTGGAAAATTGCGGAAATTATTTGACCAATTGTCTAAAGTTACTTGTACCTGCGCTAAATCGAACTCACGAAAAGCAGGTGAAGGGTGATATGACCTCCAATATTGAAAATATATTACTCACAGTTTTGTCACTAGCGATGTCCAATGCTTGTAATGAGAAGCAAAGTTGGCGTCCGCACTTGAAGGGGGCTAAGGAAATAATCATGAAAGCTACAAGTAGCAAAATTCGACTGTCGCCAACCTTGATATTGTGCAAAATGTGGTTTGCTGATTTTGAGGTTTTAGCAGGGCTAAGTTCTGGGATGGGTGGTACCCTTGGATCAAAAGACGAGATGGATTTAGTGTTTAATTTCGAAGACCAATACGAACAATCTGTCTTGAGAAATTTCGGGTTGGTACAAGATAATGGGTTTTGTGTGGTCACGGGATATCACATCGTGTGTCTTGGATATTTCAGAGACCTTTGCGATTTGCTTAGGCGAAAAAGAAGTGAGCCAGAGAAGATCCCTGATCCGTTCGAGTATATGGACTTAATCAGTGGCTTATATGCACAATATCAAGTCAAATTTGCGCGCTTAGAGTCGACTTCGAAGGGACCCGTCTTGCGTGGGTCATTGTGCGACACGGTACAAAAGTCCGATGGTACATTTAAGACTGTTTCCTGGATGGATTTGTCTCAACAAGCGTTCACATTAGCTGGCTTGGTAACAACATTCACTCGATTGCTTCATAATCCTCCTGAGTCGCCTCATTTAAAAGGTCTAGTCACCAAGATGGTGGATTTGATTAAAGTGTTTCAAGATTGTAAGTCCCAGGATAGCACAAGGTTTCCATTTACTTTCCTGATGATCCAATGGCCAATATCAGTTGCAGGTTTCGCCTGCACTGAACCGCTGCAGTATTCTGTTATTGAAAACTTTTTTGAAATGTGCTCCCGAACTGGTTCGAATAGTGCCAATTTGACTTTGAACCGCATTAAAAAGGTATGGGAGCTTCGTGAGGCAGGAGAGGTTGTGGATAGTATTAATGGAGAGGGAAATGTAGATATAATATCGTATTGATTAATAGTAAGCCAATTGTGTCACATTCTACTTAAAATCCCTCGCAATTATATTCTGTTGAAAACGGGAAGTCTTAGCGATGCAACGGAAAAAATCATCACTTCTTATTTCTCACCTCTTTGCGAACTTAGTTTCATTACAGTAACCCACAGAGACGGCACATACAGTCCTAAAAAAATAGGTTATCTAATGTCTACTACTCCTCCTTCGTCTTCATCGTCGCAAAAGCAAAACAAACTCAAGCGATCCAAGACTTTCACTGGCTGTTTCACTTGTCGAGCTAGGAAAATAAAATGTGATTTAAGACGACCACAATGTGATAAATGTATCAGGGCCAAGTTGACGTGTGCCGGGTATGATGTCAAGCTCCGATGGTCGCAGCCAATCCAATTTACTCCATTAAATAACGGAGATGTGAAAGGCACACTGGTGAAATTTCCCACGTATGAAAATGGCGATGCACCAGATGATGCTGAGATCGATGCCGAGATAGATGCAACTGCACCAGAATATTTTCACCGACGATTTGTTGAATATGTGGAGTGGAAAGAACCATATACGACATACGATCAGATGAATTATGATCTTGCGTATTTGCAAAATAACAGGCTAACGTCTAGGTTGAAACCGCATGGCGATACAAAAATGAAGGGACCATTTGGAGTATTTCAAGGTAAGGTTGACCAAGAGAAGGACAAGGACGGGAGAAGGTCTACGCAACAACTGAAGAAGAGAAAGATTATGATGGATAAAAGAAGTGATTCGCCTGCTGAAGAGAGGTCTATCGCAACCTCCACAAAAAAGAACGATGTTGCTATGATCTCAAACGATGCCCCACCACAGGACCAGTTTTGGTTATCAAATGAGTTGAAAGACGCTGCATTGGTTACTGCTGCTGCTTTAAACACCCACTTTTTAGACATCATGAACAATTTTGACAATAATGGGGACGTGTTGCCACAAACAGGTGATCAAGGAAGGACGGCTGAAGATACGAATTACAATTTGAATAACCCTGATTTGTTCAATTTGGTGTTTCACAATAAAGGACAAACCTTCAATTCCATGCAGCCTCCAGCGTCAGCCTCAAACTCAAACATGTCCATGTCAAATTTATTGAATCAACCTGACAATCTCGTGGATCCTATTTACTATTCCAATTTTTCCAATTTTTTCTACAACAACCCCTACCAAATGAATGAAAACTTGGAAATTCAGTTGCATGCACAAACAACAAGTGCAGATGACACCGAGTATGTTGACGGTGACCATTCAAATGATAGCAAATTATTGGCGTCGATAATGAAAATTGTTCAGAGTCCGCTAAATGTCAATTTTGACTTGACATTACCAACGCGGCAGTCGCATGTAGGTATTCCTACAACTTCGTTGCAAGTACAGCCGTTGACGCGTTATTTATTAAATTACTATGTGACCGATGTCGCAGATTTGATGACGGTGATACCACTTACTGAAAATCCGTGGAAGGCGATTTATTTCCCCCGTGCATTGATGGCAATAGGGGAGCTTCTGGCCTTGGGTAAAACTTCGATGGCTAAAAACGCATTGTTGAATGCTTTGCTAGCGGTATCAGCGTTCAATTTGCAATCAAAGTTTCCCAAGAATTCGCAACCAATGCGGTTTTATCTCAACTTGGGTATTGCGTTGCGTAACCAAGCCAGTTTGTTTGTTAAAAAATTGTTGAATCTGAAGAACGATGTACAATCTGGTATTGAACATTGTGTTACGCAAGAAAAATACAAAGACGTGCTTTGTGCCGTAATGACCATGATTAGTGTTGATCTAGTTTGGGGAACTATGCAAGATACCGGTTTGTATATTGCGTGGTGTGGTAAAGTTATTGTTGCAAAGATGGCAACCAAGAAGAAGCTTTCGCCAAAAGCAAGGATCTTGCATCGTATATTCTCATCATTGAAGTTGATCCAAGACTCTACGTGTTTGAATTTTGAAAGCATCAAGGAAAACTATGAATCATCGACTGGGATTGGTGGGTATGATGTCAATGGAGATAAATTTGGTAACGATAGAGAAAAATCCAAAGAAGGTAACAAAGGGCGTATAGACTTTATTGTCAATAGCTCCTTTTCCAACAAGAACAGCTTCAATTCCGCCATCAATGCAACTACATCGCCCCAGTTTGTAAATAAGAAGTTGATAAATACCAAGAAGAATGACGAGAATTTTGCTACTGATGCATTGTACGGGTTACCCAACTCGTTGATTTTGTTATTCAGTGAGACTGTTGAGTTGTTGAGGATACGCATATATTACACTACAACGAAAAATCCATTACCTAGTGACTATAAAAGTAGAGTAGAAACTTTAAATGAAAAGTTGGATGCATGGGTATTGGACTGGGAATTATACAAGGGACAAGATATGGAGTTTAATAAGACCAATCGGAAAGGATCTGCAGAGGATGGAGAATCTGAAGATACACGGGGCTCACAGTCTGTCGCTGGAAACGCACCTACAGCCCTTAACGATGTTGATACTGCCGCTAATACTGATGAAAACTGCTCTAGAAAGCAATTTTATTCACCCATGCATGAAGTTACGTTTCACCATATTATGTCATTTTACCATGCGCTCGTCATTTACTTTAGCAGATTTATTAAAGATGTCTCGCCTACCAAATTGCAAACAAGGGTGGTGAAAACCCTCAATCATTTGAATTCCATTCAAGACCTTATAGCCAAAGATGAAGCAGCAATAATCCCCTTGTTTTGGCAAGGTTTCATCGCTGGATGCGAAGCGCTTTCGACGGATTTGCAATTGGGCTTCAAGAAATGGGGTGCTGATATTGCCCAGTATTTGGGCTCATATTGGGGAGCAAGACAGATTATGTTGGAGGTATGGCGGAGGAAAAGTATGAAGGAAGCAAGAGATGACTGGGTTAGTGTTGTCCAGGATTGGGAAATGAACTTGATGTTGAATTAGATGTATATAGGAGGAGTAGAAGAGTCCGTTTGGAAGGAGGTGTCTTATGTAACTTGCTTAATGTAGAAATAGTGGACAACTGGTGGCGAGAGGCTTGTTGAATGGTTTAGCAAACGTCATTACAGGTTGCTAGCTTTTACAACCACAGCCCCTGAACTGAACATCCCCCTTCAGCCCCATTCTTTTTCATCAACCAATGGGAATCGAGGCCAATGATGGCAGTAACTTCCGAGGGTCATTTTACACGAGAGCAAAGTGCCATGAGCCAATACTGGGAGCGCTCTTATTAAACAATAACAATAGTGCGATTCAGTATAGCACCCTTACAGAGAGTAAACTATGACGATTTTACTCCACCCATTGTTTCAACGTATGTGAAGAGCGTGTAGGGGTGTGACAAAGGCTTTGCACAAAGGCGTACTACTGTAGCTGACGTGAATAGCAATGCCCCAATTTCATTACCCACCCGCGAAAAACAAAATATTACCTCTCAATACTTTCTCGTCAATGTTCTAGACCCATCACCACCTCCTTTCATTTTAAAAAAAAAAAAAAATTAAATAACATGGCTTACGCGTATTACAATTATTTGTTTCGACAGAACGCGTATTTGCCCGTTTTTTTTGTTTTGTTTTTACGTTGTTTTTGTTTTTGTTTTTGTTTGGAATCATAAACAAAGCCGCACACGACTAAACTGAATTATAGACACCAGAAATCATACCATCAAACTATACAACAGTTGCACAATTAACGCCAAATTAAGAACCATAATAAGGTGCTTTTCTTTTATAACTACGTATCTTTGTTTGTATCACTTTTTGACGCACACGGTACCTGATCACGTTTGGTTTTATTATATCATAATTTTCCCTAATTCGTCACCCGCGTCTTTTTGATTATTCTTTGCTTATTTTGCAAGGCTTACAGTTAGAGGTTTTATTATATTGTATTATGTTGCCTACTACTATTGCTAGACTAGACGAGCTTAATCAAAAAAAATAAACAAGCCCCAAGGTGGTGTTTGTTTTTTTTTGTTTTTGTTTTCTGTTTTCTGTTTTCTGTTTTCTGTTTTTTATTTTTATTTGTTTTTTTTTTTTTCAAATTCAAGGGTTTTATGTCAACTCCCCCTTTGAAGGTTCAAGTATGTCTTTCTACCAATACACGGTGAAGATAATTCGAAACAACTATGGAAGCTTTATTTTCATCAAACCCATTATAAATATTCAAGGGATCCTCGATAATTTTCTTGACTTGTTTTCCAATCTTTTTCTTCTCTATCTTTATACAAGGAAAAGTTTCAAGAGCTATAGGCCTATATTCCAACTGACGTCTACATTCGTTTCATACACTTAACTACACACATATATACACACACAATGCAATACTCAACTTTATTGGTCATCGCTTCAGCATTAGTCGCATCTGCATACGGTCAAACCACCTCAACTTCATTGCAAACTGTCACCGACCACCAATCAACTGAAGTTACCATCACTTCATGTTCTAATAATGCTTGTGTCACTACTTCCAACTCATTGGTTGCATCAGTTGCTACCACTACTGTTGAAGGTGTTGAAACTGTTTACACCACTTACTGTCCATTGTCAAGTGAAGAAGCTGCTGCTTCATCTGCTCCAGCTACTCAACCAACTACTGCTGCTGCTGAATCATCTGCTGCCCCAGCTCAATCATCTCAAACTGTTGTCACTACAACTGTTCAAGGTGTTGAAACTATCTACACTACTTACTGTCCATTGTCAAGTGAAGAAGCTGCTGCTTCATCTGCTCCAGCTGCTGCTGCTTCATCCGCTCCAGCTGCTGCTGCTTCATCTGCTCCAGCTGCCGCTGCTTCATCATCCCCAGCCGCTGCTGCTTCCAATCCAAGCACTCTTGCCGGTGAAGCCACCACCGCAGCATCTGAATCAGACCAATACGTTGATGTCACCGAAACCCCAACTGTTTCCTCCACTACGAACGTTGAAGCTACTGAATCGGCTCAATCAACCTTGTTCACTTCATCAGCCTCCGCTAGTGGAAACTCGACTGAAGCTGGTGTATCTACATATGAAGCTGGTGCTCAAAGAGTAGCTGTTGGTTTCGCTGCTGTCGCTGGTTTGGCAGCTGCTTTGGTATAAACAGCTTTCTGATTTTATTTTTTATTTTGTTTTCATGGATTTTCGGTTTATGAATGTTTTTGACTAGGTTATTCTGTTACTTTTTTTTTGGTTTGACTCTGTTAATAGAGGTTGAGCTTGATATTGCTCACTATTTTTTTGTTTTTGTATATTTAGGTTATTTTTATAGTATAAAATAAAAAAAGTAAAGGTTAGATGAATTGTCAAAATTGTAGGTTTTCAGCCACTGACTGTTGGAGTAGATACGAAGGGTAAAGAGTGAATGTGTTAACAATTTGGATCCAAAGATCCCCTTACAAAAGTAATTAAGTAATCTATTTTAAGCGTTTATTTTCTCAGGTACTCTAAATCTCAACTTGTTACCTTGTGCATACACATGGTTCAACATTGATTCAAACTCTCCCTTCAGCAGAAACTCAACGTATCGCTTATATAACAATAGTGCAGTTCTTGCATCCTCAATCGAATCATGATTACCTGTTTGAACATCCTGCTTTAACATGACATAAGCCAAAAACTTAAGGCTCAATTGACGCTTCATATCCGGTTTGTAGTACAAATCGGCAGTATCGCGGATTTGTCGTTGCGGCACTTGTAAATTGATGGTACGGAAATCAGTGTAAAGTCCATGGCCAATGAATATGACACCAAGGTTGAGAAGAAGCCACAACTTGCGATACGATGTTTGCAACGTTACTAAATTCTTTGATGTCTTGTAGAAATCCAAATCATCCTGTTCAATACCACTGAAATTTGTCGTGTAGTCGTAAATGGGCTCGGTGTGAACAATGTAATCATCAATGAATGCTTGGCCATAGAGTGGATTGTTATTGTCTCCACCGCGCAATACTGAAACTCTAGCAAGTGACAAGTCGCGTGGCTTGATTAATTTCTTGGCACCACTCAAGCTGATCTCTAATTGTTCGGGCTTCATAGTGACAAACTCAGCATCAATAGCAACCATGGTCCCTACAGCGGGAGCTTCCTGTCGAGTTAAAAGTGTGTATTCGCGTTTACACGATTCTCTGATTGCACCAGCAAAATGATCACGATACAATATCGAATCATTGCCAGTAAAGTTTTTCATGTATTCAAACTGGGGCATAGTTGATTCTTGGTAAATAACAATGACGGGCTTTTTCCAAGGTAGACTCAAATTAAACACTTCTTCCTCAGGTATTGGCGTCACCAAGTAATCATTGAAAAATATCCACTCGTTATTGATCTTGACAAAAGACACCAAGTTATGCGAGCCCGTTCTTGATAAATCAGTTTGATGACTAATTTCACAAACGTATCCCAAAAACTCGTATTTCTTATACGAGCTCGAAACCGGCATCGTTGGTTTGAAACTGAAACCCGAATTATTACTCGACTTGACTGCATAAAACTCAGGCACAAACCACAGTTTTAAATTGTTGATAATCTTGAACTCCTCATTGGTTAAATTGACATTGAGAACAAGCACGGGTGGAAGTTTAGTTATACCTGTCCTAATCTCTAATGTGTGTGGGTGAGAATGCTGGTGTTGTTGACAAGGTATGGTTTTGTATTGATTCATTGAATAGTCCAAGTATGTTAAGATGTTGACATTTTTACGAATATTGGCAACATTGATCTCTTGTTGCTGTTGTTGCCTTTGGGCCTTGTGTGAATGGGGGTTGACCAAAATACTCATTTTGTTCAACATATTGCTAGGTGGAGTTATAAGTTCTAATGAAAATAGCGATCCCGATTGGTGATCGTATACAGGACATGAATCACCGTTGCCTTTGATTTCAATTTGATAGGTCAATTCGGTAATATTGAAATTGGATGAATACTGTTGCTTAAAATCGTGGTCTAATCGAGTCAATAGATAATTATTGAATGCAATAATCAACTCCCTCACTTCGTGAGCATTTAGATTCATCTGTTCGTTCAAGTTGACTAGTCCTTTGGCATATTTATCATGATTCATGACTGAACTAAAATTCAACGTCTTGACATTGCGTGCTCTTGCTTTGTACATCATGTCAAATAGGTAGCCCAATTCGTTTAGTATAGATGATCCCTGGGGGTTATCATCGTCGATAATCGTTTTGGCGTCGTTGGGTAGCCACTCGTTATTCAATTGATTAACAACCTGGTTATAAAACAAAGACTGGAAGCGATAAATCTGTAACAATGAATTGATATACGAATTATCACTATGATTTTCCAACCCACAGTAACTCTCAGTCCGATTGTAGTATCCAAAGTCAAAATCTTTAACTCCAAATTTGGAATACTGGATCTGCAAGCGACTATAGCATTTAGGAATTTTCAGATCACTTTCGGCTTGGAAAAATGTATCATCGAGGGGCGCCAATCTGTCTGAATCCCTATCATCGCTTTGTTCACTGAGGAATTTGGGGATTTGGGTATCTTTAACACTGTTCAATGAGTAATACTGCTGGACGACATTTCCAGTGCCATACTTGAGTGAATCATATTTCAAAAATTGCTGTGGGTATTGGTCCGCCTTTGTAAGAAGGTCCTCATCGACGCGCTCGGGCAATTTTGCCGTCTCCTTTACAAACTTCATATCGATTGGCCAGTTGGATAAAAGCAGCTCCTTATAGTATGGCATCCCTACCGAAGATAGTGGGACTGCATCATCAATACCGATGAACCCATCATTTTGATTCATTATATCTGGCCGTTCAACACTTTGGGGGAAATTGACAAAGTCCTTGTTGATAGTGCCCGAATTAGTCATTGACCACAAGTGCAAATTCGAAATTCCATCATTAAACATAAGAAAGTCCCCTGAGTCACTAATGCTTAAATCACATAGCTTGGGAGTTTTAGCATTAGGTGATTGTGGTGGAATTGTCGACTCCACATCTGCTTGGTATAAATGGACATTAGTTTGGTCAAAGAGGTCAATAAAATGTATTTGACCATGGAGAGATGCGACAATAACAATGTTTGGTAGTTTAGGATGGAATCTAACCGAGGATGCCCCCGCTGGGAATGCCACAGGTGCAACTGCTCGCATTGTTCGGATATCGTAAATATTAACCAATGGATCGACTATGTAGTCAGGTGAGGTTTGATTGTAGAAATTTCGCCTCGGTCTGATTGATGAACCACATGTAGCAATGTAGTATCCCTTGACATCCAACCCGGTAATTGCTCCGTTATGCGCTGCAAATGTTTTCAAAGTTGAATTGGATACAGGGTCAAACAAATTGAGAGATCCATTCCCCCCTGCAACAGTGAGGTATTTTGGTGTGCTATTGAGAAGACTAACTTTGCTATCGAATTCAAGTTTATCCAACACGGTAGGTTTATTCAAATCAAACTTCAATAAACCTGTATCACTTCCAACGGCAAGCTCACTTGAGGAATTCCCATTGAATACCATTGTATTTAAATTGGTAAACTCGCCACTCTCACCAAATGAAGACCCATCAAAGCCAGCTTTTGGGAGTCCTCGTCTATTATTGAATAAAAGTTGATCTCGCAGCAATGATAAGATGCCATCCTTGTGTGATAATATCTGCATTATTGGCTGGTGCACGGAATTTGCTTGGAATTTGGTATAAGGGTACAATTGTGTATGAAATGGTGATGTTGGCTGACCTAGTGTCACTGATTGTAAATAGCCATTTGAATCACCACACCAAATCAAATTCTGAAGCGTGTCAAATTTAGCACTGGTGATTGTTGGCTCTTCCACCACATTGAAGCCATTTTTGGAGGTACCAATAATCGGTACTTTCGCTACTTCGCTCCATCCATCCATCTCTTAAAAGCACTGCGAGAGATTTGTTCGAAAAGAAAGGGTTTTGGCAATGGGTATCTAGAGAGAGATGATGTAGGGCAATTTTTTGGTTGTTTATGGTTTGACGATGTCGGATATTACAGTGTCGTGAATATTCTAAAATGACAGAAAGCCCTTTTTGGGTGGAAACACGACTTTTATGCAATTAAGAATTACATTGTGGGAGTGTTGTTCATTGCCTCCTCTCTGAAGTTGATGCGGATATTCAACTTCTTCTGTCGATTATAATCATCAGCGGGGAGTATAAAGTATCTAGTCATTAACCAAAGATGCTATAAAGCTCTCTCATGACAATACATTTTGTACACTCAGATTTCATAATTGTTTATAACTCAGTTTAATGCACAACGAAAAGGGTCATTTATATTGAATAAACCACCATCACTCACTGTTGTGATTCCGGATAAGCAAGAAGGTTTGGTTGGGTTTGGGTCATTGAAGTTGAATGTCTTTTGAACGATGTCACGCTTTTCAAATTGTGTGTAACTTTTTTTGCCTCTTTTGGTCAGTTGTGCATATAAAATTATCTTGGTTGCACGTGCATTAAAGATAGATAGATAGATAGATAAAAACAAAGAAACTATTGCTATTACATAATGTATTATGTAATTGTTTACTTCTGACTCTTTGAGAGATTGTGTGTTTATGTGTATGTGTGGTGGTTATCAGCCACGAGGGATAAATAAATCTATAAACACAACAACAACTTCCCTATATATATCTTTCTGTCTTTCTTTCTTTCTTTTGGACCAATATAACTTTTGCTACCTCAACTAACTAACCTGTTTTAATTTAATTGTTTATTTATTTATTTGCTAATTTTACCCACTTACCACAACTATCGAGAATGTATTCTACTTCAATAGCCAACTACTTTACATCCATCCTCAACAGAACCACCACACCACCACAACTGAAACAACAACCACAAGAAGGTGCTACTGCTGTTGACTCTACACCTATCCCCAAATCATTCATTATAAGCACACCAGAGGAAAAGATCGTTAGAATCAATATGAAGAGTGTCAAACTTAAAGCAGACCACGGTGGGAACGGAGACTGCGGAAACGTAGATGGAGAAGGAGTGGGCAAGAAGGACAATGAAGCAGATATTGGTATCGAAGACGAGGACTTCATATCTATCAACAAACGACAATTGACTTATGCCGAAGTAGCTTCAATCGCTGTCAAACTGGCAAAATCCAAACCCAAATCCAAATGCTAAATAATTCTGCACGACAGAGATAAAGATAATAAAAGAGGAAGCAGAAGAAGGAAAATAGAAATAAAGTCACTTTAAAAGATTGGTTTATACGCTCGTGTAGTTTTGTTGTTTTTTTTTAATTGATGGTTATTTTTTTAACAGAATGGAGCTTTAAAAAAGGGTTGAGAAGGATTAAAAAAAGTATGAGTTCATCCTATTCATACTCTACAAAGTCTGTAGGATATAGCTTTCTTCATTTGATGGGAGTAGATGAAATAATATGGTTTTACTCTTTCTCTGAGAACTGGTTAACTGGTTGCCACTTTCTCGGGTGTTTTCGGTTGTCGGCAATACTGTAAAACAGTCCCTCATTTTTACCCCACTAAAAAAATTAAACGACTGCATATATTGTTCTTGTTTTCATATGCAAAAAGATAAGAATAAACTACGTGCACGAATAGACAAACTCAATCTGAACCAACTGATAGTATGTATGAGGAGGGATCTACGGATTCTCCATCTTTAATGAACAATACCTTTCTGTACAAAACAAAGTCAAAAGCCAACAGTTAAGGGCTAAAAACCAAAATCCAAAAGCCAAACGCCAAACGCCAAACGCCAAACGCTACAGTTACAAAAAAACTCCTCCAATTTGAAAAAGCCATAAATGAAGACGCCTTCCCTACACCTCTAAAATCCACTTCTTCTAAATAATCTCCAATCCTTGTAAATTTCTCGTTCTTTTCCCCGAACAATCCAATAATCGAACATCAGTCACACATGAAATAATAGGTCGTCGTTGTATAGCACCTCCTGCCCCATTACTTCCACCTCCACCGCCAGTAAACATTTTCACCTTTTGCAACTTTTTCCAAAATTTAATCTTAATTCTATCCTTTTTCAGGCGGAATTTGCTTATTCCCCAGCCATTCTTCTTATTCTTATGCCTTTCACCACGTAAACGTCTTTCTCTCCGTATAAATTTATCCTTTTTTCTCAAAACTGCAGTGGCCTCACCTGAATCTTCGTTCACACCTTCATCTGCACCTTTATTGGCACCTTCATCATCATCACCGTCATCAGCAGAAGCATCATTGACAACCTCGATGAAGCTCAACTCAACAACATCAAATTCAACCACATTAGACCTGGCCCACATCTGGCCAACCATTCCATCAGGCACAATGCAAGTATACAAATTCCGCCACGTAATCGACTTTGTCAATTCAAACCGCATTGTAAAAGACTCACTAGCGAAAAGTATATTCAACCCAAGGGTTAAATCCAACGTATTGATAAATGAGGCGAAAATTGTCGATTGAACATCGATACTGCCGCCATCGCCAAATTGTTGGTTGAGACATTTTGAAATTGGGAAATCAATTGAGTTTGAATGGGGTGGAGTTGAGGATTGAAGCAAGATCCATTGGTTGTTGGTGTTGATAGGTAGTTGTAGTTGTAAATTCGATGCATGAAGAATAACACCCGTGTTATTAATGAGTTTATATATATGTTTAGTATCGAGAAAATGTCTAGTAGTTAATTGTGAAATTGATGAAATTAAAGAAACTTGGATGGGCAGAGTAGAAGTAGACTCTTCTTCTTCAATGACAGTATTGTCTGATGCAGTGGGTTCAGTTATTTCATGAAGACGTTGTGGTGCTTGTTGTGGTTGTTTATGATGATGGAATTTAAATGCAATAGTGACCGTACTAAATGAAAATACATACAAAATAACCATTATCTGTATGGTGAAATACCATATATGCATGTATTCATGATAATAGGAACAATTGTGTATAAAATAAATCCCAATATGTAGTTGGATATAACTAAGAGAGAAGAAGAAGAGAAAGAAGAAGTACAAGTACAAGTGTAATAGAAAGAGGCGATGAGATATTTAAAAAGATGTTGTGTTGTTGAAGCAAATACACACGTAGATGGATAGATAGAGACTTAGAGAGGGAAAAGCATACCAAACTAAACTCAAATGGGATTTTGACACACAAAACATCAACAAACCCATTTCAATTTAACAGCAAAAGAAGAAGTTAGTGACACTTGGGCTGAACTGGCTTAGAGAAAGTGAAATAACGTTACTTTAGTCTCCGCTTCCTTCCCTCCTTCCTTCTTTCCGCCGCCCTTCCACAGTTTTTTCATAACACATTTATAAAAAGTCAAATATCTTTTAAAATATTTATTAACTTTACTTTATAAAATAAAATAAACCAACGATATATCGATATTATTTTTATACAAAATGGAGCCAAACCTTACATAGCATGGCTAAAGAATTAGCGTCTCTTTTAATTAAAGATACATCATCATAATCGGCAAAAACACAGTAGTCAAAGCCAAACTAAACACAAGATATCTCACTCCTCACACTTCGAACTAAGCTCTCCTCCTTTTCCTTCACTAATTTTCCTCATTAATCAAATTCAAATACTCCTGCTGTTCTTGTTGTTGTCCTACATGGACATTTATAGGACTCCTATACTCCTCATGAGGATAACCATCATTAGGCTTACCAATCAAGTTGTTCCACCAATGGTTCAAATGGACAAGGGAAGCCTTACCGACAATGATGGGGAATTGCTTATAACTGCCCAATACAAATTTCAAAGCTTCCCAAACTTCATATATGGCCAATTTCAATTCTTGATTGAAAGTACGGTTCCTGGTAGGGATTTGATAAGTTTCAAATATGGATTTCTTGCCCTGATGAGGTGGTGTCTTGGAAGATGTGGATTCGTAATCGTAATCAGAATCATCTGTGAATGATTTCGGTTGTTGTTGTTGTTGTGATGGCGGTTGTTTTGGAAGTGAGTTGACAAATGGGAAATGGAATCCTTGACCCAATGCCCTTTGATTACCATTGTTCTCATAATTATCAAATTGACCCGGTTGAGCCTTACCTTCAATAACGTCCTGCAAATGTTGAATATACATTTGTTTGAAATTATTAATAACAGCAATCGATTTCGATAATCGGTCAAATGTATTAATCAAGGCCACGATTTCAATTCTTCTAAATTTCAAATTGGGTTGGTTATTATGATCATCTTCAAATAAAATCTTGAGGGCAGTTCCATACCCAATGGTTTGGATTTTGCCCCACATTCTACATCTATCACAACCAACACAATCCATAATTGCCGAAATATTTTTAAATCTAGCACGGAACTCTTGTTTTAAGTTGGGATCTTTTGTTGGGTCAAACAAGGTTGATGTATTGAACAATGTGTTTGATCCAAGGGCGGGGATAATATCTTGTAATAATAATTCATCATAAACTTCGGTATTTTCAAACAAGTCGTTGTTTTCTAACAAGTGTTGCTTTTGCGCTGGCGTAATGTCGTCATACCCCAGTTGAATAAATTGTCTCAATGGTAAAATATGATTCAATTTGACCAATGATTGAGCCACAAGGGCATAATTGAAGTAAATGTTGGCTAATCGATCATTAAATAACCCGACTCTTTGCATAAACACTGCTAAATTGGGATAGAATTCGCCGGTTTCTGAATCCAAGTATTCATTAGATAAATGAACAGCAATAGATGCATGCATCCCACTAACCAATCGATAAAACAAGTTCTTTTCAACGCATTTCTCCTTAGGTTGATTAGGCTTCATTGACATTGGATTGGTGTTGGGGAAACAATTTTCCAGATAAATTGCTTTCCAAACGTCAAAACTTTGATTACCACCATAACCAGTAAACCGTTCTGGGTTTTGCAACAAGTTGACATAAACACAATTATGTTCATGTTCATCGTCGAAATAGGAATAATCTAAATCCTCACATTGTTCAATGGGTTCAGTTTCAATTGCATTATCAATAGAATCAGCTCCACTTGCTGTTCCTGAAACCCCTCCTGCTGCTGCACCAGACTCGTTAGCAAGTTTTATTTTACCCAATTTCGATGGCTTCAAGTTATCATTGGTAATCTGCGTCCAATTGAAATCGTCAATGACTTCAACAGCACAGTTTTCAGTAGCACAAAAATGTTGCGCATTCCAAAATTTACATTGCTTATCTAAATCAACTTTGAAATATCGGAAATAAGGAGTCTGCACTAAATCAGTGACAAAGGGACGGATTTGTTGGTTTAATTTATCAAGATAGGCAAATGTTGTATTACACGACGAAGTAATGATTTGTGAACAAAATTCGGGGGAGTCAAATGCATGAAACTCAGTCTTGGGGAGTACGTGGGGGTTCAGTGGCGATGATGATGATGCAAAAACGGTATTGGTGGCGGTGATGATGAAACTAATTAGTAGGATTATCCATTGAGGTATATGCATGATGAAAATTCGAAATTAAAAAAATAAAAATAAAAATTAAATGCCTAAATGTAAATGTAAATGTAAATATAAAGGAAAGGAAGGGTGGTTTTAAACAGTAGATATATTGTCGACTTGTATGGTTTGTAGGTGAGATGTGGTTGGGTTGAACTTGGGTTGGTTAGTTTGTCGTTTGGTTTGTTGTTTGTTTTGTTGTTGAGTTTTGATGATTGTAATATATTTTTCAGATTTGACTTTCGATGGAAGAAGTTTCTTTTTTTTTCTGTCCGTTTCTTTTTCTTTTCTTTTTCCTTTTCTTCTCTGCCTTCTGCTCTTCTGTCTATGAATTGATTGATTTCTGATAGATAACGGGAGGATGAATGTACTGGAGATATTTATATGCACATATATATATATATATATATATATGCATGGACTTTGTAGATATATACATAATCTACATATACTACAATGAGATGATTATATTGGACACGTAATGTACTATCTCAATAGATATATGTAATTAGTAATGGATGATAACTAATAATATCCTGCATATAAATTAACATTTGACAGCAAAAAAATCATTTCATTTCATTTTCCTCTTTTTGTCTGTCGGCTGATTTGTCTGTTTTCTGCTCTGTCGGTACCTTTATGTCCGTTTCGGATCGGAGATTAGAAAAGCATATATATTAAGCTACTGAACACGTAATTCAAAACCAATTTTTTATATTGTATCCAAATACACACAAGAGATATGTATACAGAAACAAAAATGAGTCTTTTGTAATCGGCTGTTTCAATTTTTTATTCCATTAGGTTCTATGCGTTTCCTGTTCTCTGGTTTCATCATAGCCCCTTAACAAAATACCCCTTCTCTCTCTCTCTTTAACACGTCTCTCAGAGTCATTGTCTCACTTATGTTTTTGCATCCATTCTACGACACTCGGTTTGCTTTCATCATTTATTATATATACACACACATATACCGTCCTCAGCTTAATCAAATTTAATCTTCTTTGCCGTCTTGGTCATATCCACGTCCTTATAAAATGCACCATATACTGAATGAGCCTTCTTTTTCGTATGGCCACCAAACTTCAACAATTGTTCAGGCACTGGTTGATTAGCACCACGCAAGATATTACACAAGGCACCACTAAGATGTTTCTCGTCTTCAGTAAATAACGTGTGTGCAACACCAGTTTGACCTGCTCTTCCTGTTCTTCCTATTCTATGAACATAGTCTTCAATAGTCAAAGGGAATGTTAAATTAATAACATACTTGACATTGGGAATGTCCAACCCTCTAGCTGCTACATCAGTAGCTAACAATAGATTGCATTCACCCAGTTTGAATGAGCCAAGTGCTTGGGTACGTTGTTGTTGTGATAAATCACCATGGATTGCTGCCACTTTGAATCTATTTCGACGCAATAATGCTTCAATTCTTGATGCCTCCTTTTTGTACAATGCAAATACCAAAATCTTGTTATCCACACCTCCTGTGTGTTGGTATTTATTCAACAATGATATAAGCTTCAGTTCTTTTTGGAATTTATCATCCAACACTTCAACAATTTGCGTAATTCGTTTATTGGCACTCAATTCATCACGGTCTCCAATTGTCAATTTAATTGGCGAGTGCATAAAATTATTAGCCAACTCCCTAACTTCTTTAGGCCACGTGGCAGTAAACATCAACGTTTGTCTTTGTTGAGCATTAGTTGATCCAATTATATGTTTGATATCTTCTTCAAACCCCTTTTCCAACATACGATCAGCTTCATCCAAAACTAAATAGTTAATCGTACTTAAATCAATAGCTCCATCATTAATTAAATCAACTAAACGACCTGGTGTTGCCACAATTACATTAGCTCCCAGTCTAATCTTTTTAACTTGATCATCTTTTGAAACTCCTCCATAAATGGCCACACAAGAAATGGGGGTGCCTTGAGTTAATTCTTGTAAATTGTCATAAATCTGCAATGCTAATTCACGTGTGGGTGAAATACACAATACACTAAGCTCCTGATCATTACCATGGGTAATAATGTTGTTGATTGCCGGCACACCAAACGCAAATGTTTTACCAGACCCAGTTTCAGCAACACCAATTACATCTTTGCCATCAAGTAAAAATGGCCATGATACCGATTGGATAGGCGTTGGCTTGTCAAATTTGGTTAATTTGGAAGCAACGGTTGGATTAAGGTTGATTTGATCAAATTCGAGAATTGGACGGTATTGGAGGTGCTGGGGATCTTCAATTGTCACTTCATTAGTGGTTAAGAATTCATCGATTGTTGATTGTGGAGTATTGGTTAATTTGGATGATTGTTTGTAACCATCACCATCTGTTGCATTTTCCTTCTTACTTTCCTTCTTGTCACTCTTCTCTTTCTTCTCCTTCTTATCACTCTTCTCTTTCTTTTCTTTCTTCTCCTTCTTTTCCTTGTTTTCCTTCTTTTCCTTCTTTTCCTTCTTTTCTTTGTTCTCCCTCTTAGCCAACCTCTTAGCTTCTTTCTTCTCCAACTTCAATCTCTTCTTCTCCAGCAAATCACCATTCAACCCCTCTTCTTGTTTTCTTTTCTTATCTGATCCCATTATTTTTGAACCTCGTATCACACAACACTGACTTTTGAAATAAAGTTGGGTTTAGATTCTGAATTTTTGTGCAAATTGGAAATGATATTTTCCTTCATCTTTTCTTTTTTTTTTGAGAAGCTCATCGGGGAAAGACAGGATTTTCAATGTCGCAAAATATACGACTGCAAAAACTTAAATTACTCTGTGAGCATCGTAGTTTTACGGCGGATCCCGCCTTAACTGCACACACACATATATATATATATACGAATGAAAGAGTAATATAGGTAGGAAAGTAAACTTCTTGTACTTCAAATAAATTACTACTGACGTTATATTTACAAATAAATTAATTACCAAAACGTGTTCTAGCTCTATACTCGCCGAAAATTTCGTTTTGCCTTCTACTCATTCAAGAGACCCCCAATCGTCAATGCTCTCTTTTTTTGACCACTTCTTCTTCTTCCTCTATCCAGAGATGGTGGCGTAGATTCAACCGTAGTGGCCCCAACTGCTGGTGCAGCTGTAGCAGAAGCAACTGCATCACCTTCACTGTCGTTTTGATTCATTGATGATGGAGGAGCACTCGTCTCCTTCTTGTATGTTGCCGTAAAATCTATGGCCATGGGGGTAGGCGTTCTCTTAGATGAATTACAACCAGAGCAACATCCAGTCGGGTTACGATTTATTGGAGGTAGGGTTGGTGGAGGTTGCGTTTCAGCAACTGTTTGATATTGATGCTGATTATACGTTGATGGTTGGGGCGATGCAGAACCCTGTTGCCGTATTTGCATTGGTTGTAGTTGTACTTGTACTTGTTGTTGTGGCGGCGGCTGTTGTTGTGACGGCTGTAATTGCTGTGGTGGCATTGGTGGTGGTGGACCAGGAAGTGGGCCAGGTCCATTTGGTAACCTCCCATTCCCACTATATCTAGGATACAATGAATGGGACATCATCTGCGGGCCTGGTGATATTACCACTGGCACCGGCTGTTGCTGAGATGCACCTGGTGGTGGTGTTGAACCTTGACTTGTTTGTCCCAATTGAGATGCCCGTTGGAATGGGATTGAGTAAGAAAACGGTGGTAGCCTATTATAGGTTGGTGACACCGGCCTATGGACAAATGATGGTAATGACGGTGGCGGTGACACAGTATTTGATGCTTGTAGTGGCGGTGAAGTCCGTCTTTGCTGTAGCAATGAAGATGTGGATTCAGTTGGTGCTGGTGTCGTTGTAGATGCTAGCGCTGGTGATTCAGTGGAAGCTCTTCCTGGTGATGATACTGACAATTTCGCGTCTTTTGATTCATCTTTTGACTTGTGGTCGGATACATTTCTTTTTCTCCTTTTAATTGTTGATCTCTTCATCTTTATAGGACGATGTGATCCATGCAACCTATAGAATAATCCACAAGCATTGCAAATAGTATTACCAGCATCGTCTCTTCTCCATAACGGTGTTATCGTAGTATCACAGTTAAAGCATGCGATTGCTAGTGAATTCTCATCGGTAGATGCTGCTACTGCTGCTGTTGGCAGTGGTGGCGCAGCAGCATCAGCTGCTGCTCCTGTGTGAGTTCCTTTAACTTCCGCCGTCTTACCATCATTACTCAGCAACTTAGTCATTGCATGAATCTGCTTGGCTCCTTCTCCTGCGCTTACGGAAATATCGGCTTTAATCTTAGAGTCTTCATTTGTGGGTGATTTTTCCAACGTCTTTTTCGCCACAATTCGATTGTTAAAAGCTGGGCATCCACGACAGGCAGCTGATCCACCAGTTCCATTACATCTTCCATCTCCTTTACACGATCCTTCGTCTTCTTTCGATATAGTGATTGTGTTTGGTGGTCGTTTAAGATTGACCGGACGATGAGTGTGATTTGACCGAAGGTAAAGTCCACAGGCATTACATATCAACGTGCCATCGGGTGCTCGTCGCCAAAGTGGAGTCTTTGTCGTTCCACAATTGGAACACTGTTGCCCATCTTCTGTCGGTAGTGAAGGGTGATGGTGTGACTTTGGTGATGAAGCTGATGCTGATGGTGACGTGTGGGTTGACGATGGGACTGGCATATTTGAAGGTGATTTTGTTGTCGGTACTTCTGTAGATTCTTTTTTTATGGTAGTCTCGTGATTGCTCATTATATATTAGTCCTTGTGTATTATAACGAAATCATGAATCGTATACCTAAAACACACGAGTTATTATTGCAAACTCTGGAAAAGAAAACAAGTCTCTGGTAAATTGGTTGGGAACTTTAGTAACAGAATCAGTGCTGAGGTACCGTAATTCTGGAAATTAGTAGGTTTATTAAATAAATTGTGTGGTGTTTCTACCAAACGAATGAATTATCTCCTATAGTTATTCTTGGTAACAAATGTCGTCACTAAACGCTTGCAATAAGATTTCAGTTAAAAATTGGATCAAAAAATACTAAAAAAACCTTAAAACCTTGAAACCTTAATTATCTTGTCTTAAATAGTATAGAAAATGCTCTTTAAAAAAAAAAGTTGATTTTCTTCAATCTGCAAAATCCAAGTTCAAAAAAGTTAAATGTGGCGTTATCGGGGTATGATTAGTCGTGGAGGTAGGTGGATGGGTGTGTACGTTTTCTTGGTGGTTGGAGTTATCCAGTGTGAACTATTAGCAATTAGTTTGATATATGGGTCTGGTGGTGTGATTAGTGCTGCTTTAAAAAGAAAATGTAGCTCCAATATGATCTAGGTTTAATTGTAAATGAATGTGAGCTTTTGCAACAGATGTAGATGGAAGGTGGTAACTGGTCGCTGTTTTCCTTTTCCCTTCGAGGAGAATGGTTGTAATGGACGATATAGTGTATATGTATATATATCGGATGTATGAAAAATTAATATTAGTAATGGCAGGTAATTATACCTTTATATACAAATACGTCTTTTTCTAACTTAAAATAAAAAGAAAAAAAAAAAAGAGAAATGCTCGTTCCGTTTCTGTGTGTTTAAGAGAGGCTTTTGTATATATATGTAATCGGAAATATCATTAGAGATGTGATACACTTTGAAGAGTAGAGTTGAACGCTGAAGCCATTTTGTCAATGACACAAACTTCAGTGTATCTTCCTGAAGAAGCGAGTTGTTGGTTGTAACCAATCTGCTCACAATCTGCTCAATAACCCTTGCCCTGTCACTTTTAGTCTTTATTCTATTACGCCATAATTAAAAATTTTGTCTTTGTCTTTCGTCCAAAATTGGTAGTACTTACGAAAACAATTTAATTTCTTTTTTAGTTTTTCTTTCCATTTTTAGTTTTGATCAAATAGATATTGCAATTTCGGCCAATCAAATTAAAGCAATTAATAATCACGCCACGTTGTAAAAAAGAAACTAATCAACCAACAACAGCTAAGTTACGCATTTATTACTAATTTAGGCATTCTAGCCTTGTTGTCGTTTTTTAGTTCATCTACACGTGATAGTACTATTTTTATCTAAGCGATCTACTATTACCTCTCTTTTACATTATTGTTAGCCATTTGACCCACTATTCAAACTCACCGAGTCACGTAATGTTATTTCCCGCACATATAAAAAGCTAATTAAATAAGAAAATATCAATTTTTCCAGCTACTTTTGTCGAAAGGAGAGACTACCTCCTGGAGTACTTTTCACTCTTAATGGATGTTGTTTCCATTTTGTTGCAAAAACTTGCCTAAAGTCAAAAAAGGCAGAACTTTCCGAATTTCGACTCTTGATAGTATATAGTTACGGGATTAATAGCTCAAGTCAAGGACAGAGATATCACTAACAAAAAAGACAGAAGGACAGTGCAATTGAGAGTTACCTTTTACTGTAGTACCCTGTAGACCAAAAAACGCACGTGACATTATAAACGTGTCTCTCTTTGTGCTACGATCTCCCCAAAAAGAAGAAAAAAAAAGACGCGTCTTTTTTAAAATCTCAAAACAAAAACAAAAATAATAAATAAACAGGAGCCCCCTTTTATCTACATTGGTCGTATCAGTAAGGGTCGTGGTCACTAGACAGCTCATGTCCTGATAAATAATGTCTCACCTGCTTTAGATTGTAGTATAACTCTAGGATTGTAATTTTGTTTTGATCTGGTTCTGCATTGAAAGTGTAGTTAGTTAGTTAGTTAGACCAGACAGACAAAGTATAAACAAATTGAATTTTTTTTTATTTTTTTGTTGTTGTTTATGGTTTGTTAATTTAACAAACAAAACAAAACATAGTTCTTTACTTTATTTGCTATCCATCTCAAACCAACAAAACAACTGGATAACTTTAGTTCCCCCCTCAGACTTTTGACACACAAGACACGCACATAGAGAGAAAGAGAAGTGGCAGGGGCAAGACATCAAGAGTCAACACCAACAACACACAGACTAATACAATTGCCCTATCACATCACCATGAAGGGCCACCCTCTGCTGCAAATTAGACAGAGTGGTAATGGAGCTTACAATACCGATAATGGCAGCACCTCCAAGAGTGGCAACAAGGATATCAGCAGTAATGATCTAACATCACCCACCAGCATCACACCCCGCAGGAGTCGCCCACAGGCTGGTTCCAATGTCCTGCGACTCCACAAGCACACAGCTTCCATGACTCAACAAACACCACATGCAAATCAATTAGATTACTTCACCAACCACCACTTTTCAAGATCATTCAACAGCTTGATCTTGGATGATAATACAACTGAACTGGCATCAAAAAAGACTATGAACAAATCACCACCATTCAACGTCAAGACCGATTATTTGAATGATAGTATAGACACTTTTCTTAACGAAGAAGAAATAGCCAATGACACCGATATTGATGATGATTTTAGTGAGGATGACGAGCTTAGTGACAATTTATATAAAGATAAAGATGCCATTCGGAGTACGACCCCTAACAAAAACAACTCCAGCTATTCCAGACAATTAAGTTCGTACCCGACACTGAGTCAACAATTTGCAAGGCCGTCCTTGGGACGTGATTCATCCAATTCAACAATACGCAATTCCCAAAGTTCAATCAAGCGGTCTTCAAAATACATCAACCTTTCAATTGATTCTAGTCTACGAACGTTAGATGGGGGCAACATGCCCGACGAAATAGATAAAATTAGCTTGAACGAAATTGATGTCAAGGTTAATGACTATTCGTCTCCTGCCTTATCATCACGCCCCAGCGAGAAACTGCTACTACCATCTTCAAGTAACCAATTCAAGCGACCACATAAATTGGTTAGTCAATCCCCATCTCCTTCATCGACAAAGGTAAAATCGTCATCATCACCACAATCAAACTTGCATTCCCCCTCTCAACTAGGGATTAAATATTTTAGAGGCTACAAGATCAACGAAAACATAGTGTCCCCCATTCGCAATAGAAATGCCGAAAGCCCGCTTTCAAAAACACACGTTTTTGGTCAAGCTAACAAAATACGAAAGACTAATACCCCAATAGTACACGCGTCCATAGAAAATGTTCAGCACGATTTACGCCACAATGTCTATGATGACAATGACGAATTCGATAGCCCGTCAAAGAATAGGAAGCTGTCCAACTCTAATCAATCGTCGATAATAATGTATCAAGGAAGCCCGAAATTGTCAAAAAGCAGTAACGCATCGAGCACGCGATTCGATGACAAGGAAAATAATGATCTGTACCGATTTGTCAAACCTTTGCAAACAGCATTCTCATCCTCTGGGTTATTGAAAAAGAATATGGTTCAACAACACACTGCCAAAAAGCTACCGCCAGAGACTCCCATGAAAAGAAACCCCTTAACCATGATCAACACCAACAAACCCCTCCATCTACGATTTGATCACGATAATGGAAATTTATCGCATATAACTGAACAAGAAGAACACGATAAATCAATTGAAGTGGGGCGAGATAATGGAGCCGATGACACTTTGAATTTAAGTGACATCCATAGGGCACATTTCAAGGTTATGTCTTCTCTGGCAGAGTCAAATAAAAGCGCCTTTCCTCAACGTCAAGATTTGGAAGTAATATTTACCTCGGATATAGAACTAGACGATGAAGGGTCTATGGTGCCTGAAACACCGACCAAGAAGCATTTGGGACATGCCCCTCATCAACATCATTCAGTTGCTCCATCACCAGTACCACCTTCGTCCAGTAAACAGCCCCCTCCAATGAAACTTGGCAACCTTGACAAACTAAATTTAAATGCAGGATCTAATAGTTACAAATTTGGTACTCCCTCGACACCAATCCACTGGGCATTTGACACTGAAAAGGATCCTCTTTTAAAAGATAACCCTGTGGAATTGCCTCCGTTGAATGAAAATGATCAGTTACAATTGACGCATCATCAATATTTAAATACCTACCCAGCTAAAATCGATGAACATTTGATTAACAAATTTGGCATGAAGAATTTAAAATACATTGGACAGGGGGAATTCAGTATAGCCTTTGAATGTGTATTCAATGAGGAAAAATTTGCCATTAAACGGACAAAGAAACCGGTTCTTGGCAAATTGGACAAGCAAACTATACAGCGGGAGATTGAAGCATTGAGAACCCTTTCAAGTATCAAGGATAATGAGGATGAAAATTTAAAAGAAGAACAACAAGGGAAGGAAAACTTGGTTTATTTCATTGAAGCTTGGGATTTTGACAACTATTCTTATATAATGACAGAATATTGTGAAGGTGGGACTCTATTTGAATTTTTGGAAGAAAATAAGCACTACAAAATAGATGAATTTAGAATTTGGAAGATGATTATTGAATTGGCGAATGGCTTACGATTCATCCATCTGAAGAATTACCTCCATCTTGATTTAAAACCAGCCAATGTCTTTATTACATTTGAAGGATATTTAAAAATTGGTGATTTCGGGCTAGCGACCAAATTGCCGATTTTGGAAAAGGATTTTGATTTGGAAGGAGATCGCAATTATATTGCTCCTGAGTTAATTGATGATAAAATATACACGCCATTTGCTGATATTTTCAGTTTGGGGTTAATCGTTTTAGAAATCGCTGCGAATATAATCTTGCCTGACAATGGAACACCATGGAGAAAATTACGCAGTGGTGATTTAAGTGATGCTGGTCAGTTATCCAGTGACAACATTTCCATGTTTTTACAACATAAGCCCGAGACGAGTAGTTCATCAAATACAAATTTCAGTTCTTCGGCTCATTCATTATCGTTAAACCCCCATTTCAAATCAAGATCTACTATTGAAAACAATGATAATACTGTTGATGCTCATGATTTGATCCCGTCTTGGGCACCATCATTTTTAGTTGGTGATTCAAATGTGTTGGATGTTTTGGTGAATAAGATGTTGAAGCCTAATCCGTTTGATCGACCAAGTGCCAGTTCCATCTTGGAAATGGAAGAATGTGTCTTGATTGAGAATAGAAGGAAATGTGGGGCTACGATTTTTGAAGGTGAATTTGGAAGTCCACCTGATGATGAGACTCATTGAGGTAGTCAGTAAATAGAGAGGATATATGGTGTATTTTTTTATGACAACAAAAAACGTAATGAATTAATGAATATAAAACCACAGGAGCTACTTTCTATATCTTTACTCTTTAAACAATGCATCATTAGACAATGGATCTTTTTGCATCACTTGGCTTCTCTTTTTAACTTTTCTTTCCAAAGCAGCCTCGGCTCTACTTCTAGCCTGCTGAGCAGCTTGTTGTTTAATTTGAGCTCTAACGAAATTAGGTGACACGTATTCCTTATTTTCATAAATCTTGGGTCCACCAAATGAACCTTCCAAGATGGTAATCAAGGTTAAGACCAATCTAGGTCCAATTTCAACCAAATTCAAACTATCAACGTCAACGTCATTACCGTCTTCGTTTTCCTTAGTTTCCAAAGTTTCATTAATTTGATAATTTCTAATCCAAATCTTGCCATCAACTATTGCAAATGTCATGACGTGATCAATAAATGGTTTCAGTTTTCTGGCGTTGGGGGGCACACCAAATGTTTGAACAAACATTTCCTTCAATAATTTGAAATGATCCGATGATTCAAACAGTTTGTCAAAACTTAAAATTGGCCTTGACCCCTTTAAGCAATTTCCAATGAAATTTAATTCATCCAAAGTATGTAAATTTTGTATATGGAATTTAACAGTGGGTCCGTTGGGAGGTTTAGCAATCCAAAGATATAAATCTTGATGTTTTCTACATTCGAAAAAGAAAATGTTGTTACAGTTGTACAACTCAGCAACTTCATTCAATTGATAAAGATTCTTTTTGGTGTCGAATTTAGGCTCCTTTCTGGCATGTGGTAAAAGGGTTAATAAATCACTAATTAGATGACGATGTCTATAGGTGATGCCTCGTGATGATATGACTAGTAAGCGTTGTCTGTTGATGTGTTTAGTTTTGTCCAGGGTGTCTTTTGACGTTTTAGACTGTAAAGCTTTATAGATAGCTGACATGATGGTGATGTGGTGAGGTTATGAGATGGGGGGCGGGTTGATATTGGTTCACTCTTTTGGAAGTTTTATTTTTCAGAAAAAGTTTCGATGAGGTGAATGTTACACAAACGTACACAAAAGTGTTAGAATGGAAGTGGATTCAAAAATTTACGGTCGACGAAAGAATTACAAAGTAAAAAGGTTACAGTAGATTAGGCGAGGTAGTATTCTAGTTGCCATGAGGATAGCTACAAAGACAAGTCTGTGCTTATAGGAGAGCTGTAGTTGTGACAGAGTGAGTTAAGTCCCTGAAATTGTTAGTCTCATGTAGGGGGCGGTCATAGTCAAGACACATAAAGTACAAATGTCTTTAGTGGATGCCCCATACACGAGAAGCGTAGCACCATCAAATGTAGATAGGCCAATCCCACTACTCATTTGCTCCTTTCAACTTTTATTTACACAATGATTTCAATAAATGACAATTTCATTTCATTCAGTCTAAATATATGAATAATCTCTTTTCCTCTTTCATTATCTAGCCAAATAGTATATACAATGTGGCTATTTCTTCTCCCTCGTCTATCTCAATGTGACATTATCTCTCCTCTCTTCCTCTTTCACCCCACTTCATCTTTTCCTTCAAATCTATCAAACTTAAACAAAAAAAAAATCAGCTCCATTGTACTTCGGTCCCCTACAGTTCTCTTAATGTTTCTCTTCTTTCTTTTCTTGTTTGGCTAACCATTCCTTGACAAATTTCTCTTCTTCTGGAGATGATGCATTAATGGAAGGATGGGTTGGTTTAGTAGCCCATGGTTTTGGCAAGACCAACAATACTACTGAGCCCAATGTAGCAAGAGCTAATTGATGTGGTTGGACAGTTCTACCCAAAATGTGATAAGCGGCACCCATTATAAATGTGTTTTCTGTAGTTTTTAATGAAAGTTTTGACTTTATTAAAAGATTTCAATTGTAGCTTTTGTTTTATGTTTCAACTTTTCGTTTTCTTTTTTTTTTTTGTTTTTCGTTTTATGTTGGTGGTTAAACTGTTTCAGTACTTTGATTTGACACAATATAAACCATCAATGTTTGCCGATTGACGTAAAATCTTGATAAAATAATAGAGGACTAAAGAACTAATAGAAAAAATTCTAAACCATATATAGGCATGACAAGACCAACAGGTGGTTCCCATTCATTATTACCTTCTTGAAATCAAAGGTCGTGTAAATCGTCACATTTTGAGTCAAAGATTTCATTGGTCAATAATACAGTCTTTTTAATTTTTATTCATACTAGTACGACATAATTGTTCATATCAGTGCGACATTTATTATTCAAACCAACACGACATATTTTTTCAAACCAGTGCGACATATTTTTTTGCATCACCTACTCACCCAAAGTAATCTCCGTACCTCTAACCCGGTTGATGTACCCGATCCTGTCGAATTAGGGCAATCATTTTAAGAGTATGGAATCATGTCAAATCTGAATTTTTTTTTGTTTGAGCTTAGTCATTTCCTATTTTCATTTCTCCAAGGTTTTGCTGTCATTTTCTCAAGTTAAATGCCGTTCCCTTCCTATTCATTGGTTTTGTAACAAGGAGTTGCACTCTAGAAAGATGTCAGTTCTAAACAGTATTGTATATGGTCATTAGTATGTCTACAGAGACCTTGATAACTTTCTAAGTTTATCTTTGCTGTCGCTTCTCTTACTCTTGGTATCAACTGTTCTTTTCTAGATAAATTTGACCGTTTAACCTTGGCCTTACACACGGACCAGAACTTTAAAGACAGCCTTTTCACCCATTTTCGAGCAATTATGTCGCATTGGTATGAATAAAAAATAAAAAGTGTACTTACCGTTTGTACTATTCTTTTATATGCTACCAATTATAAATGAACATAACATATTTTCTCTTTATAGAAAGGGACATACGGTTGCAAATTGAATTTTATTATTTTTACTTGAAATATTGGCCAAATTTTTAACCAGATATAATTTTGTTCCTTTTATAATTTTCTCTTTATTCTTAAAAGAAACAACATATCAAGAATATACAGCGGTCAGCAACAAAACGTAATGGAGAGTTCGATTAACTTAACAGCGTCAAAGATTGATCTTATGACATTAGAAGAACTAAGAGATCCCAACCTAATCAGTCGCTACCCACCACTATTTCGAAGAAGACAAAGTTACGTGAATGTTCATGGTGATTCACTGACCAGGTTTGGCCGTTCACTAACTCAACAACAACAAAGTAGAACCAAACTATATGAGGCAACACATCTGTCCTTATTCAACCGTCCACAATCACCACCACAACCACAAGAACTTCCTGAAAGGTCACTCGATTTGGGCCAATCGCCTTCCAATGAAACAGCAGAAAGGAAACCACATCGACGTCTAACTACTTTCCTTAAGCATTTTTCTAAAGAGTCCAAAAAAATTGAAAGACAAGAAACATTAAGAAGATCAATCAGTAAACCGTACCTGCAAGCGAAAGAACAAAATGGACCGAGCCAAACCCGTCACCCCGACGTTATTGAACCAATATATGTTCATGCTTTGTATCCATCCAGAGCCAAACGGTCCTTCAAGATCAAAAAAGACGCATCATTATCACCAGAAGAATCGAGAAATGGTCATTCAAGTTTACTAACTGCATCGGAGCCACAACATCGGTCAAGGACAGTTCAAAATCAAATTCGTTTTCCACATTCGCCAGGGCAACAACTCTCTTCTATAAACAGCTTAGTTGTGCCACCAGTTGGATCCAGTCAAGTCATTGGCAACCCCACAAATTACTCCAGCACAATTGTACACCCCAATATGCGGCAAGAACAAGGCAATAGTAGCAATAGACAACAAGTCAACTTTATACGTTACGACATGATGAATTTGGATAACAACGCCTTATCACCGATTATTGATGAATCTGAATTCACATCAGCTCAAGTGAGCCCAACTCACAATAATTTGAACGAGGTTTTAATTCCAACTTCAACATTTTTTGTTCCAACATCAACCGACTCTGAAGAAAGTTATTATAGTGTTGAAGGTGAAGCTCCACATTTTGCCACCATCAACATCGCGAGTGATACCAGGGAATATTCTTATTCACCACAGCACCAGCGTCATCGTCAAGTATCATCACCGTTATACAGGTTCAGTGATAATCAGACAGATAGATATGCTCTGCCATTTGCCACACAGCGCCATCCGCTTATGAGAGGAGTGTGATGATCATTATGGGTGCCTGTGTAATGCCTTTGTAAAATCAGTGTATGATAATAATATATATCCCTTTCCTCTCAGATCTCAATTTTTTTGCAACGGCAATTTTCTTCTGATGAGTTTAAAAATATTCTCTAACACCAAATCCAAATTCTACCACAACAATGACCGTGCAAGCCAATAGAAAAAGATTATCCACAGGTCTTACAGTCACATCGAAAGTTTTTGTTCGTTCTAGGAATGGCGGAGCATTAAAGGTTGTTCGTGAACACTATTTGAGAAATGATATACCGTGCTACTCTTTAGCTTGTACCCAATGTCAAGAAATTGTTAAACCAGATGCTAATGGACATCTACCTAAATTTATACTTTCGGCCGATCCAGCCAAGACTATTGATAGGAAACCTCATTATGTGGTCTTGGATACCAATATCGTGTTGCACGCAATAGATATCCTTGAAAGCACTCAATGTTTTTACGATGTCATCGTTCCGCAAACCGTATTGGAGGAGGTTAAAAACAGGTCTTTTCCTATATATCAGAGATTGAGAAACTTGGTTAAACTGGAAGACAAGAGATTTATCGTATTTCATAATGAGTATAATGAGGGCACATACGTCACTAGGGAGAAGAACGAGTCTATAAATGACAGAAACGATAGAGCAATTAGAAAAGTTGTTTCATGGTACCAGAAGCATTTGCCAGGTATAGAGATGATATTGGTCTGTAATGATGCTGATAGTAAAGCCAAGGCTGAAAAGGAGAATTTGAATGTCAAGACCTTGGTTGAATATCTTGACTGTTTACCCAATGGTGAAGATTTGAAAGATTTAATACCGGCTGACTTTAGCACGTTTGAAGGTAAGAAAAGTGAAGACGAAGTTACTTTTCCAGAGTATTACTCAAATGCCAGGATTATGGCGGGTATCAAAAATGGTACCTTATACCAAGGGGTTTTAAACATATCATCTTACAACTACTTACAGGGTGAGGTGAATGTATCGGCATTTAAAAAACCGTTACTTATACAAGGATCCAAGAATTTGAATCGTGCATTCAACTCCGACTCGGTCATTGTCGAGCTCTTACCAAAGGATAAATGGAAAGAACCTTCAACAACGATTATCGAAGAAGAGTCTGTTGGAGTCAACGACAACCCTGATGACGGTGTAGACGGTGACGACGACAATGTAGCCTCTGAAGGTGTTGTATCAGATAAGGAACGTCTACTTTTAGCCCAAGAAGCAATGAAGACAACTAAAGGATCATCAGAAGAGAAAAGACTTCAACCAACAGCAAAAGTTGTTGGCATTGCAAGGAGATCTTGGAGATACTATGTCGGACAAATCGCCCCTACTTCGGTTAGTCAAGATGATTCAGGAAACTCGGCAAAGAATTGTTTTGTAATCTTGATGGATAAGACATTGCCAAAGATTAGAATCAGAACCAGGAAAGCAAAAGAATATCTAGGACAAAGGATAGTTGTTGTTGTGGACTCATGGCCCAGTGATTCGAAGTATCCAAATGGTCATTTTGTGAGGGCTTTAGGTGAAGTGGAAAGTGCCGAGGCAGAAACTGAAGCGCTTTTATTGGAACATGATGTGGAGTACAGACCGTTTTCAAAAAATGTGTTGGACTGTTTACCAAAAGAAGGTAACAACTGGGTTGTCCCTGATATCCATAATACAGATGACCCGCAACTACAAAAGAGAGTTGATCTTAGAGACAAGTTGGTTTGTTCTATTGATCCACCAAATTGTGTTGATATAGATGATGCTTTGCATGCGCAAAAGTTGCCAAATGGAAACTACGAAGTTGGGGTGCATATTGCAGATGTCACGCATTTCGTCAAGGCAGGAACGGCTTTGGATCAAGAAGGTGCTTCGAGAGGTACTTCAGTGTATCTCGTTGACAAGAGAATCGATATGTTGCCTATGCTTTTAGGTACAAACCTTTGTTCCTTGAAGCCATTTGTTGATCGTTTTGCTTTTAGTGTAATTTGGGAAGTTGATGAAGATGCAAATATCGTCAATGTCAAATTTATGAAGTCGATTATCAAGTCAAAACAGGCTTTTTCATATGAACAAGCTCAATTGCGTATAGATGATCCAAGTCAACAAGACGAGTTGACCAACTCCATGAGGATTTTGTTGAAGTTGTCAAAGAAATTGAAGCAAAAGAGATTGGATGCTGGTGCTTTAAATTTAGCCTCACCCGAGGTCAAAGTTCATATGGATAGTGAAACATCTGATCCTCAGGAAGTTGAAATCAAAAAGTTATTAGAAACCAACTCCTTGGTGGAGGAGTTTATGTTGTTTGCCAACATTTCGGTTGCGAGAAAGATTTACGATGCTTATCCACAAACAGCTATGTTGAGAAGACATGCAGCACCACCAGCTACTAATTTCGAGACATTGAATGATATGCTTAATGTAAGGAAGAATGGATTATCCATTTCTACTGAATCTTCAAAGGCGTTGGCTGATTCATTAGATCGATGTATTGATCCAAAAGACCCATATTTCAACACATTGATAAGAATAATGTCGACCAGATGTATGATGGCAGCTGAATATTTCCCTTCCGGGTCGTATGGGTACCCTGAATTTAGACACTATGGTTTAGCTGTTGATATTTACACTCATTTCACTTCGCCGATTAGAAGATATTGTGATGTTGTTGCCCATAGACAGTTGGCTGGTGCTATAGGCTATGAAAACTTGGATTTAAGCCATAGAGATAAGAATAAGATGGAGATGATTGTTCGCAACATCAACAAGCGTCATAGAAATGCCCAATTTGCTGGAAGAGCAAGTATAGAATACTATGTGGGACAAGTCATGAGGAGCAATGAAGCAGAGCACGAAGGGTATGTGATCAAGAGTTTCAACAATGGTATCGTGGTGTTGGTACCAAAATTTGGTGTAGAGGGTCTCATTAAACTTGAAACTATGGGTGATGTGAACAGTGCCAACTATGATGAGGACAAATTTGAATTGACATTCACTGATTTCAATGGAAACAAAAGAACTGTTGGTGTTTTTGATAAAGTAAAAGTGGATGTCAAGTCGGTTAAAGATGAAGTTAGTGGAAAGAGAAAAGTCCAACTTTTGTTAAAGTAAGAGAATTTTTTAGTCACCATGTATTAATTATATATACAAAAATATAGTGGTAATAAAAGTAATAGTCATGACTCATTATTGATTGATATAATCAACCAATTGTTTAATATTGATGATTTTAACATTATGTTCTTGACTGAACTTGACACAATCATCAAGTCTCATCATCAACCCATCTTCATCTCTCACCAACTCACAAATTACTGCAGCTGGTTGCAAACCAGTCAATTCGCACAATTGAACAGCAGCTTCGGTATGGCCTCTTCTTTTGTTTAACAATCCAGGAACTGCTCTCAACGGAACAACATGGCCCGGTTTTATAAAGTCATCGGGCTTCGAGTTCTTATTGGCAAGTGATCTAACAGTAAGTGCACGATCATGAGCCGAGATACCCGTGGTAGTACCATCAGCATAATCACAAGTAACGGTGTACGCAGTCCCGTGTCTATCAGTCTGATGTTCAATCATTGGACGTAATTCCAACTTGTCGGCTCTTTCAGTCGATAATGGGGCGCAAATGTACCCCGATGAATGACGAACCAAAAATGCCATTTGCTCCTGGGTTATTAGTTCAGCAGCCATGATCAAGTCTCCTTCATTCTCTCGATCTTCGTCATCCATTACAACGAGAAACTCCCCCTTTTTAAAAGCGGCAAGCGCATCTTCTATAGGTGTGAATACTTGTGTCATATTAATCATCTGCAAGTTGTTGTTGTTGTTGGTGGTAGTACTGTTACTCTTAGCGCAAAGCGTTTATGGTGAAGTGGAGGAGTTGGTGTTGGTTTCTATGTTTTTGCAGTATAAATTGGGCTTTCAGTGATATTTCTTCCACTATTTATAGGCAAAAATCAAATGAAACAAGATTTGTAAGTAAGGTACTAATTTAAATCAAATAAAACAATGAAAAGTCTGTTGTTCCGAGTTCGTAGTATAAAGATACAACGGTATTTCTGTTTTTGTTTTCGGCAAATCGGTATGTGAACAATATATTATTACAAATCTTCTTCCCCATTAAAAAAAAAAAGACTGATGAAAATAATTATTATTATTTCAACAAAATCATATGTCACACAATTGCGACATCTTTATAGATCAAAGTTATCACAAAACCGCATCTACAATATAAATGTCGCAATGTGCTCAATGGATGTCGTTTTGCTTACGGCAAAAATGTCCTCGGTATTACTAAACCATTACTGATGTGATGGACCCTTGAATGAACAAAAAGGTAGAATCTACTACTCACGGTAGGGAAATGACGATACTATTACTGGTTTCGTTTTTACAATCTACTGAAAAACCCAACATCCTTTTTTTCTTAACGGCTTTTTCATCACCTCTATTGTTTCCTCAGATCTTTGCTTCTCTAGCTAGCAAAAGTCCAATGACAATCACCCCCCTGAGGCGTTTTGTGTTATCCGGCAGTCGGTCAAGTAATCGAGTTGAAATCAGTTACTATATATACATAGACATTCCCCTAGACAATGTGGATGATTGTTGAAGTTACTGCCACGATGGTTGAAATTTTTCAGTCAGAAGAACAATGTGAGATACACTGAGAAAATTAAAAGAAGCCGTTACTTTGTGTAGCGAGTCAGATTCATAACAATAGAGTTATTTCCCGTCCACGGCCTTCAATCAGGACTTACAGCTTTCAATTTCGTCCATATCTCGGGGTGGCTTAACTGTATCGACCATACTCTCAACGCCTCCTCGTTCAATGCCAGACATAACACAGGATAGCAACGGCTTCAGCAGATCGTTTGCAACGACACATGACAATGAAGAGTTCTTCTTCCATTTGATACAGTTTCAGAATAAACAAATATTAAACATATCTATTAATGGGATCCTAGATACAACTTTCAAAATACCAGTTTCTACAAAAACGTCCATTAATTATGAGTCTATGATGGACTTGGCTGAAAATGATAATGGAGAAGAGGAGCTTTCCACAGGAGGTGGATTGCAACCTGAACCCCAAATGACTATTGGAGACTATTCCAATATGAAGATTTCTATTGTGGCTGGTCAAATAGGTAAGCTTATGTCGACCCAGTCGCCGCGAGATGTTATACTCTCTATAGGATCTAAATGGTTTGGCAAAGGTGATGAAGTTTCTCATGATGATTTCGAAAAGTTGACTTTCGTTTTACAGAACGTAAAGAAGTTACTCTGAGACGAACTTGCTGGATATATATATGTATATATATATATGATATAGAAAATCTATAAATGTTCTACTTCTTTTGTCTTGGTTTGGGTGCAACCTTTCTTTCCTGTTGACCATAAACTAATTTATGTGGTTTCATAAACTTTTCAACAAGTTCGTCATCAACTTTAGCTCTTCTTTCCTGATAAGCTCCTACAAATTCTTGCAATACGGTGATACATTCCTTCTTCATTTCACCCGATAGTATCTCACCTTTTCTATATCCCTCAGCCAATTTCTCCAATTTCTCATCGTCATAACTAAAGAATGACAAGTATTGGTAGGCGACATCAACATCAACATTACCACCGTATTTTCTGTGATCTTCCATCAATGCTTGTCCTCCTGAAAAAGCAAATTTGTTAATCTTCTTTTGTATTTGTTTGGCAGTATCGCCCATGAAAATTGAACTGCTAGTGTCAGAAGCAGACATCTTGGTTGATGCCCCTTGCAATGCTGGGAAAAACTTGGCATGAATCAAAGCAGGCTTGGAGAATTTCAATTTATCAGCAACATCTCTGCACACCCTGAAATATGGATCTTGATCAATGGCACAGGGAATTAAACAAGGTGTCTTTGGAGGCAATCCCAAAACATCAGGAAATGACGATGGAAACGCGGTAGCAATTTGAATACTGGCGAAATGGATTTTCCCAATACAATCGGTATCAGTGAATCCAAATACGGCTTTTGCAGTTGAAGTGGTAATCTGACGAGAGGTTCTCACAACATTTTCGTAAAATGCACCTCCCATGTATTGTAAATCAGAAAAGATGAAAGTATTCTCAGGATTGAAGCCGACGGCAATGATGTCCTTGGCATTTTCCACGGCAAAGTTTTTGACATCATCGATGGTTAATTTAGGTTTGAATAAAAACTTTTCGTCATCAGTCAACTCAATCACCAATGGCACATCAAACACTTCTTGTAACCATTTGGTGAAAATAAAAGGAACCATGTGTCCCAAATGCATCGAATCGGACGAAGGGCCTCTTCCCGTATACAAAAAGAATGGTTCACCATGTTCATACAAGTCTAATATTTTATGTAAATCTCTCTCAGAGAAGAATACACCACGTTTCAAGAACGGATGTGGTTCTTGTCCCGTAACTTCCTTGAATCTAGTCAATGTTTCTGGAGTTATGGCTTTGGTTCCAAATTGTTTGATTAACTTCTCGTAATCGATACCCTGTGATTTACCGTCTACAACGGCACCTTCTACCTCCCATGGTGTAATTTTTTGCTCACTCTCGTCTTGAACTTTTAAGTCAGCTACTTTCTCCTCGACTGACATGCTGGATTAATAAGAACTAATGTGTGTTGATTCTAGTTAAATAATGAATGTTAATGACTCAGTGCTCAGTAATTTTTCATTCGTAGTCCATCGAGATCGCTCACTCGCTACCACTTATAAACTCGCACGGCTCCAGATAAAAAGAGAGACTAGTGTAAATGTACAGTTGAACCTGCCTCCAATTCGTCATACTGACAAATAGCAAAAGAACGAAGAGATTTGCAGGTTCTGTTCAGAGAATTAGAAGGACAATACACCAGGAAAACCTTAACATGGCAGAACTCACCACTGGCAAAATTCCATCTGCATTGACCAAAAGATAATAAAACCCATTAAATTAAACGTAATTTTAATTGATACTATACAAAACTGACTTCACCTTTTCATGCAATCATCCAAAAAATAACTTCCCCAAATTTTGTTTCTCTTTAATATAAACTTAGAAATGCAATTTTTGGAAAAACCACTTGTTCTTACCAGCTTGGTGTTTCTCTTCAAAGGCCTTCTTGACTACTTTCTTGGCTTCTTCTCTTTGTGATGGTTCTTCTAAAGCTTCTGATGATACAGATGATTTGAAAGATTCAACATCCAATGAGTATCTGGTTGGCATCAAATGGTTGTAGTTGACTAATTTAACAAATGGCTTAACCTTGGTTCTCTTGGCAGTCTTCTTGGCATCCATCTTCTTGGTGACTTTCAATGGAGCTCTTTCAACACCAGCAACAATGGCGTGTGGGAATGGGTGAGATTTGGTACCTTCATCATGTGGTTTTACAATGACGACCTTCTTACCGGCGTAACGTCCACGGACAACGATAGCTATAATTTTATGTTAGTATATTGTTTTGTAAGATATGTGAGATGATTGATGAACAAAGTGGGATGGGAAGTCTGGCAACTTTTCAAAAAGGAGGCTAGATGGCCCTTCTTGTGATCAGAATGATAACTCTTAAGGAGCTTAAACTATTCCTTTCACTTAGTGCTCTTCAAAGTGGTCACAGTGTGTCTATTGCTGCTCATGTCAAGCAATGAAATGATAAATCCAATCTCCGACTACTGTCCTAATTAAACGCAATCTCTTCGTTTATCCCTTTTTCGATCTCTCTCTCTCAACTGATGCAAATTCTTGATATGAACATACCAACTCTACCTGATTTAATGAATTTAGCCATTTTCTGATGTATGTAGTCTTTGACAATGAAAGTGTAACGTAACTGTACTTCGTAGGGTTTTCAAATTTTGAAGTGTGATACTGAAATTTTTTTTGTCGTGGGAGGCATTGGTAGTAACTTTCTTTGTGCGCACTTTTGAAAATAAAAAAAAAGTGTTTACTATTGAGGCATGGTTCTAGTGTCCGAAGCCAGGTCTACAGCCCTAATAATCAAGGAGACAAAAGATTATCACGTCTCGTGACTTTAACCAACTTCCGTGCTATGCAACAACCCCATTGCTCTAATACTCCTCTAAGATGCAATTTATTCTGTCAATTAGAAGGCAACGCTGATTTACCTTCTTCGCTGACTGGATGAATAAGTTTGAAAGAGAGGTTCAAAACACTAGTGGGAAAAACTATTTGCAATCATCTCGAATGGCTCTAATATGGAGCCCACCATGCCTTAAACCAACAAAGAGGGGACGACTAGATACAGCAATTTGAACTCTATATGAAACTTTCGTTTTTTTTTCTTTACCACTATATCTAATTTCAAAGTTTATCCTACTTAAGTATACACCATTAAAACCTATCAAGTCCTGCGCAAATGCATCACTTTCTTGTGCTCCTGGCCAAAAATTTTGAATTCAGACTCGTGACGACCGGCAGAGAAGGGTTACTAGACGAATTTCCATGGCCACGCGTGGTTATTCTCGTACTGTTTAAATCAACTTTTCTTCCGTCTTCTTTTGTAAAGCTGGATCGTCTGTTGGTTGACATAGGAATGTGTGCATTGTGCGCCACTGCTAACTTTGCTGCATGTAAAAATCCAGTATCGGAAGAATTCTTTGGCAACCCAGTTGTGTTCACCTCGTTAGGAGGACTAACTGGGGGAGGTTTCCTTTTTGGGGTTGACCGCTGCATCCTAGTTTTGAGCAAGTGGGCTGATTTCGGCGTTTCTCTGAGAGAAGACCTTGTAGTCTCTGGCGGTGAATGCCTGGCTCCCTTATCAGATGAAGTCTTTGGCTTGGATTTAACCAGTGTTAGGACTAGCAGATCATTTAAGTTTGGCGAGTAAGGGCGCTCCCTGGCCGATGCTGCAGATGCTGAAGGCTCAATATTGGACTTGGGTGCAGTGGGTGCAGGAAGTTTTGGACTTCCTTTAGCGACTGGTGCGCCAGACTCGAGCTTTTCTCTTTCTAATTCATTATTACGGCTCTTTGTCAAAGCTTCAGTCCACTGGGTTACCTCAAACTTTTCCACCTCAAATACATACGTCAGCTCAGTTGATGTAATTGTAAATACACCTACTGTAGGCAACAACTTGGAAAATCTATTCTGGGCTGATACCAACTCTTGGAACCTAATAAATGGAAATTTCAACTGAAACGAGAGAATGACTTCGTACTCTGATTCTAGGCCCTTTCTTGCAAAAATTAGTGCCCTTCCATGAGTTGTCACAATCATGGTGCTGATCTGAGGTTTATCAAGGGAAAAATGATTGACAACATCCTCTTCTCCGTCATCTTTCTTTTCACTTTGTGACAAACCCAATTTCTTGAAAAATGAACGTTTGGAAATCTTGTTTGAGGTTGTTGAGTGCGACCTTTCGAGGTCACTGCTTTTCCTGCTACTCTTTTTGCTGCTGCTTCTTTTCAAAAGTGATTCCTCATAAGGTTCTTTTATAGCGACCTTCTCATCGACGTTATCCAGATGTTTTTCAGGCACGCCATTCACCATTTGTGAAAGTAAACTGGTCCCTGAACGGTTGCGCAGTGTGCTTGAAGCGTCCAATGGAGAAGCATGCAAAGAGCCTTTATGCTTCTTCTCAAAGCTTTCTGTAGGTTCTTTATGCACAATGACAGATCCAACACGAATGACTCTTTCATCTGGGTGATTCAAAAAGTCACCCCACGCGGCTTCTAATGTACCCGCTGGTTTGACCTCCATGACATTTGGTTTCAGTTTGTTTATTGGCTTTGCTTTCTCACGGCTTGTTTTGTAAGATTGAACTGATGGTCGAGTGTTGATCTGTGGTCTCAAAATGTTAGTCCCTGGTATATATTCTGGCTGTGAAACTCGAGAGGGCTTCCTGCTCTCACCTGAATTATCCTTTGAGCCAGATGTGCTATCTGATACGCTGGTATCTGATGCAGTCAATGGTTTATGCAAAGCATACGCAGCTGCGTTTGCTGGGTTCACATTGCCCGCAACCTCGGAGTTGCTGGTTTTCCTTACCGATGAATTTGGTCCAACTGCACCATTGCGCGGCTTTAAACCTCCCGTATTTTCATCCCCACTAGGCTTGAGTGGTTTGCTCAGTTTTTTCTTGGGAATGACCGAAGATGTACTATGCTTGATGATATCAGGAACCTTCATCATTGACTTTGCAGTCATTTTATATGGCCCAAGCTCTGGTGGTTCAGTTAGCCAGATCTGGTTGTAGTCATCAAAGTTAACATCCTTGAAAAAGAAATGGCTTTGTATTTCGGGAATGGTTGCTCTTCTCGATGGCTGAAGGACGAGGATCTTTTTAATCAAATCTCGGATTACTGTGGGAAATCCTGCGCTAAACGCATACTGAAGCTTAGTGATCTTTTGGAAAGTCAAGTACTCATTGGTTGCTTTAAAAGGTGGTTTTCCTGCAATCATCTGGTATATGATACAGCCAAAAGCCCAGATATCACCCGGTTTTCCGCAAAACTTGCTCTCCAACAATTCCGGCGACACGTACTCCGCCGTTCCCACAAAAGACTTGGCTCTCACATCCAAAGGATAATCCTCGCTCTCGTCATTCTTTTTCTCCAATATCCTAGCGGTTCCAAAATCAGTAATCTGAATCCTCATTTTATCGTCCAACAAAATGTTTTCGGGTTTAATATCTCTATGAATGATCCCATTATCATGCATGTACTTTATTGCATCTAAAATTTGTGCACCAAAATGCCTAGTACAATCTTCATTTAAAGTGTTGTGTTGCTTGATCAACGATAATAGCTCGCCATTTGACGCATAATCCAAAACAAAATATAGCGAGTCCTTGTCTTGAAATGTAAAGTAGAGGGAGATGATTCCCATTCTATTACTCAATCTATTCAATGCATGCTTTTCAATATTGACATATTTCACCTTCTTTTCTTTTATTATATGCCTTTTGTCCAACACCTTTACGGCGTAGTTTTTATTAGTTATCTTGTCAGTAGCTAGTATGACAGTCGAATACGAGCCCTCGCCCAATTCTTTACCAAACTTAAAATCGGTCACACTTCTCCTGATTGTTGACACTTCGCCATTTGAGCTTTTGACAGTCTTGACAGCGGCTCCCTCCTCTCGCCAGTCCCGCTCGTTCTTCCTGTATTCTGATGATTTCGGAATCTCGTCATCCAAAGTGTTTACATCTTCACCCGAATTATTCACCCGAGAATCTGCCATACTCTTAAAGTCCGAATTTGCACTCGTTGTATCCAACAACACGTTTAGGGAAGAGTTGGTGACAGCACGGGGGTACCTGGGCCGAAAATCAAACGACCCTAATGACGAGGGAGTCCCAGGCGCGCTCTTTGAAGCAAACCCCTCAGAATTTGATGGATCCATAGATGATAATCTGGATGAAATATGTACCGAGGGTAGTTGATTATTTGAGGAGTCACCGTACTTGAAGACATACCGATTCTTTTCGGAATCTAAGCTCTCAACGCTTCCATTGTTATTGCTCGTATACGTCTTGTAAATGCTATCAATGTCATCATTCAACCCTTGAAAATCAGTGTCGCCATTATGTCTGTTGCTTGTATTATTATTGTTATCTGACATCTTTTAAACTAATCTCTTTCTAGTAAACTTTTATTTTGAATTAACTTCTTGCCATCGCAGTACCACTATCAACTCCAACAATGATAGAAAAAAAAGGATGCGTTTATTCCCTGCAAGTGTCACCCTTCTGTAATAAATGAACTCCAGGAAACAGTGCTTCTAAATGGACTCAAGATTGTTTGTCTAGCAAAGGGTCTAATGTAATACGTGTGCTATATGCTGACGGTGTGTCTGAGCCAGTGCCAATTAAATAGGTATAGGTGGTATTTAGCAACAATTGGAGACTGGTTGTTTTGTTTTTATCCCTCTTTTGATAGTCTTTGTTATCGCAACTCAAGTTAGATGTTTGTTATTATATTGGTCGGACGTTTTGTTGGTTTTCGGTTTTGTTATTTATATTTTTTTTTGTTTGTTTGCTGCATACGTAATTTCCGAAACTCTGGAGTGTGTACTTCGCGGCTCTATCATAACCCACTTGTAAGCGACAAAGGATTTTGCTGAGTAACTTTGCATTGAATGAATAAGGCTCAAAAACTGAGACGTACATTGCTGTAATTACTTCACCTTGGTAGTACGATTTTTAGCCATGGCGTTTCCCTTGGATCAAGCTCAGTTGTTGAATCATTTAAGAACGTCCTACCTTTCTTTGGGCGACGAATCGGAATACTTTAAGAGGATAATTGCTCCAAGCAATCCTGGTGATGAGATTGTTTCAGAGAGAGGGGTACTGAACTGTCCATTGCAGAACTCTCCTCCAATAACGTTTGAGATTGGAAGTCATGTAAAGAGGACAATCGACAGTAGTCCATTCAGAGAAAGGAAAGGTCGAAGTCAAGCAGGAGAAAGTTCAAGAAGACGAAGGAGTAAAGCCAAACGCGATTCACAAGACTCAATGAAAAATGTAGCACAGCTACTGGAATCAGATTCACTAGGACTTAGTTTAGATGATGAGCCGATAAACAATAATACTACAAACTCCGCCTTATCCGAAAGGTATCAAGAGAGCACTGAAAATGGATTGAATGATATACAAGAAGATGAAACAAAATTACTGAGCCAGCACCATTTTGGGGCTTTGCATTCCAAACATAACAAGAGGAAAGGAAAGACAAAGTCTAAGCTGAAAATCCCTATTGTCAAGTTCTTTAAATCGGGGAAGGATGAAATATCTGACTCTGATAGCAGTGACGATGAAAGAAGGGGATCTGTCATAACGTACAAATCATCCTCGCTCAATACGTCAAAAGAAGATCTTACTGATAAAGAGAGTACTTCTGTTGGCAGACAAAGTCTCGAGCAACAGCAGCTCGCAGACCATAGAGGTCTGCCATCTGTCCAAGTTCAAGATAATGCAAGTTCTTTTGGATTTAACGACAAGTTCAGTGAGGTGACGACGGATGATGAGGGAGATGGTGATCATCCTTTCGAATCTGACGAAGAAATTTCTGACGACTCAGAGTTTACTGATTTGGATAATGATACAATTTTGGACTCATTTTCTAGGTCAGACTCCATCACCAATGCATTAGATAAACTGATACAGAATAAAAATAGCGTTGTTCGTCAGTTTAGTTTGAATAGGAAGAAGAGAGCAAATACATTTGGAGACCATACGGTTCCAAAAAATCTTGGGGCTAACTACTTGAACAGTCAAACTGCAGGATCCAATTTGTCTCAAGTGCGATCATTTGGAAATTTGGTAGAGTTGGAGAGACCCTCGCTATCTTTTCCAAAAGTTGAACCCAAAGTCACAGACACTAATCAAGCATCAAATTTGAGTTCAATGATACACACAAAATTTAAGTCAACTACCGTAAACCCATTGAACTATTATCTTTTTGTTGATGGCCTGGTAAGTGCCAACTCACAGCGAGCAGCACAGTTGAATGTATTTCTCCCTCCAAAACGGTCGCCTGTGTTGACTAATTTGAACATCGATCGAAGCGTTTCGGTAGCGGACTGTATTGGATACATTTTGCTCAACTTGTTGAAACTTCAGGAGGTTAGTGAATTAAACGATCCGTCATTTTTAAATCCCAATTTCTGGAGACTAGAACTTGTGGATGAAGACGGGGAAAATTATGGCTCTTTTGGGATTTTGGACAGAAACAGAACCTTTGCTTCCTACAATAATCCGAAGGACTTGGCTCTTTGCCGTGTTAAGGATGTCGTTGAAATTGATCGAAATGAGACATTGTCTCCGCTTCCAATAGAGTTCAAACAAAATCTTTCAGCTTTTGAACAAAAGAAGAAGAGTATTGATCAAAGCGAAGATGACATACCCAAGGTGGATCTTCTTGTCAGTGTGTTTGAGTATGACAATAGTGGGATTCCACAGAAAGTACCGTTCAAAGCTCCAAGAAGTTATACAATGGGACAAGTTTTGAAAGAATTTTGTGTCCAAAGGGGACTAATAACTACAGAGTATCGCTTCAAGGTTGTGGAGGCTGGTGGCACCAGGAGCCGGTATGTTAAAGATGTAGAGCTATGTAGGAACTTGCATCTGTCAATTTTGGAGCTAGTTCCTTCCGATTCAAAGTTCAATTTGATACTCGACAGAGAGGAGAAGAATAGTCAAATTGTCCCTGCTACAACTCCCGAGATGCTTCCAGCAAATTTAACGGCACCCAATATTACCCCGTACAATGACGAATTGAGTGCCAAGGTGCATGATATAAAGTTGGAAAGTTCAGCGGTTCCAGCTGCTGCTACGGCATCGCTACGAAAACCAGAACAAACGAAGCGCAAGCAATTATCAAAGTCGACGAAATCGATGAAGGAGACTATGGAAACGAACAAGTATTTGGACGATATAATTCAGGGCAATAATCCACAACTACCGACAAACATCAATTCGATATATTTCAAATGGAAGGTATTGAAAAACAACAGCAAGATGAAAAAGATGAAGATAAAGACATTTACAGAAAAGAACTTTATCATTGACGGTGACTATATTCACATAACGCCGCCGGATGACTTGATGTTAAAAAACATAGGCGAGTCGGTATCACATAATCAACCACTCAATTTCAACCAACATCACACTTACCACAACTTGAACCAGCAGTTGAACCGGGTATCTAATAAGCAACTGACAAAAACGTACTCCTTCCACATAACGCAGATAATGAAGGTCAAACAATATTCCAAGCATCCTGACCACTTTCGAATAATTGTGAAAAGACAACAAGCTGACGAAGAGAATGGGTCGAATTCGAAAGACCCCATGAAGAAATTCTATTTGGTATCGAAGTCTGAGGCTGAATGTTCTGAAATTATTAGCAAATTGAAATGGGTACTACAAGCTTACAAGCTTTCGAGTGGGGTTCTATAGACTTGGTAGAGGTTAATAAATTGGCCATAATCCTGTGGAAGAGGAGTTACTATTAGCAGGCAATGACTCTTTGCACTACAAAACACTTTGAAAAGAGTGCTACACTTAAGTAGCCGATTCGCGCATTTATTATAAAAAGTGTGTTTTCCCCTGAAAAAAAAAAATAAAAACAATAAATGAGAAAGTACTTATCGCCAAATCGATCGACCCCCACCAGATCTCTCCTATTATCCCCCCCAGAGTAATGGTCGATTTGTCCCTGAATTGGAGACAGCTCAGTTCAAAGATTGAAAAACCGGGAACAAAAAAACTGAATAAATCAAAGGCAAAGCAGAACCATATACGAAACTCAGTAGAGAAAGACAAACACCTTTTACGTTTAAGAGATCAGCGAGTCAATAATGATGGATCGATTAATGCCCAACCCTTAGAATATACTCTCTGGACAACACTAGGGAATAAGGAAATACAAAAGGAGCGTATTGACAAATCTCCCAATCACATAATCAAACCGGAGAAAGATAGGAGAAAAGATGTTGGTAGGATTTTGGCAATAGATTGTGAGTTTGTTGGTGTGGGGCCCGAAAAACTGTCAGCACTAGCCAGAGTCACCATCGTCAACTTTTATGGGCATGTAATTATGGATGAGTACGTTAAGCCAAGACAGCGCGTGACAGATTGGAGAACTTGGGTCTCGGGGATCTCGCCTTGGCACCTAAAGTTTGCTATTAAATTTGATGATGCACGAGCTAAGGTTGAGTCCATACTTAGGGACAAGATTTTAGTAGGGCATGCTTTGAGTAATGACCTTGAAAAATTGCAATTGTCGCATCCACCCACAATGATCAGAGATACCAGTTCGTTTCCGCTTTTCAAGCAATTTTCGTCCGGTAAAACTCCCAGCCTAAAGAAGCTAACCAAGGACTTTTTGGATTTGGATATTCAAACAAGCGAACATAACCCAATTGAAGATGCTAGGGCCACCATGTTGCTTTATCGCTTGCAAAAGAATCAGTTTGAAACTTTTTCAAAGCTGAGAAAATAGAGTTTTAATGGTTTTAAATGATCTTTATAATTGTACATCATTGAGTCATTAATCGTATACAAAACAGATTTCAATGTAAATCTCCACTTCTCTATAAACCCCAGCAATCACTGAGCAAAATGGTGTTTTAAATTGAATCCCTTCCTCCTTATATAAGCTAGTAGCAACATTCCTCTGCCTAGTCTTCCAACCGCAATCCTTCAATATAAGTGCATGCAGACCTATAGAACATGAATTGAATTGCCATGATATCCTCGTTAAAGTCGGGTTTGAATTCGCCATCTTCATCAAGTATCGAATCAACCGGCTGCAAATCATCCATTCTATGGAGAAATGATAGCTTGCTTGAGTGCAACATCTCATCGATGTATTTGACACACTCTTCTGGTTGATATCCTTTGATTTCTGACACTTTAAAGATTATTTTCGATATTCTCTCTACCGTCTCCAATGAATTCGTATTGACTAGATCCAGCGTTAAAGCTTGTTCAATAATATGAAAAATAAGTAGCGCGGCCTCCGTGTTGCGGTCTAATAAATGGTGGTATACTGAAATAAACTTCAGTCTGAATCCAATATCGGTAATTTTTTCATCGGCAAAGAACTTGCCCATCTGAATCATTGTAAATTTAGACGTTTCATAGTCGGTTGACAAAAATTCCAACAAAACCTTGGGAATTCTTTGTCCATTCTCAATTTCAAATAATTCATATTCAAACTCCAACTCCTCAAAATAAGCTTCCAAGTCTTTTGTATCAGAAAATAAATACAACATCACGAGGAATGAGTAAGCGCTATCTGCAATGGTGGTCGAGTCAAATGAAAGTTCACCTCTCATCTCATAGCGTTTTTTGAAATAAGCTTTGATGCATGTTAGCGACAAGTTTCTATATTGCGATACCTTGAGTCCCTGAGTAAGAATGAAGAAAAAGTAAGCTCGGAAATTTTCTCTCGTGATGCAAATTCCATGCTTCTCTTCAAACTCAGACAAGTAAGGCTCCAAGTACTTTCTTTGCTCATAGGCATTCTCAATATGATCTCCATCTTGAATCATGTTTTTGATAATTGATGAAACCACGTTTTCGATTGCGGACTGGTAAAGAATCGATTGGTTCAACAAAGCAAAACAAAGTTGCGACCAAATCAAGATTGGCGGTAACATTGAGTCATTAGGTAAGCCTTCCATGACGCGAGCCGTAGCCACTGATGTGCATATGACAGTATCAATTCTTTTCAACTCTCCGTGTGCCACTAGCTTAATTGTTCGACATGCAACAGAGTCTGTAATGCCATGCTTAGCGAGTATACCAACCACCAAGATTGCCTTATCCTGAAACAAAGACAAATTATTAAACGCCACATCAATTGCATTCGACGACCATCTGGCTTTCCAGTTTGTTTTATCGTCAGAAGTACTAACCACCTCAATAAACTCATTCAAATAGTCACACAAGACTTCAAAATTCATCATTCTATTGAATGCTTGGCCAATGTCCACAAGAGACTTTGCTTCACGTGTCATTCCAAATAGCATTTTTGCTCTGGGTGTAGTGAAGTACTCGATTGTGTTATTGATCACATTCTGTTGGTGGTTTGTCAAGTTGGGCTTGTGCAAAAATGATTGCACAGTGCTAATGATCAAATTCCTCAAGTCTGATCCCACCTCCAAATAGACATTGTCAATGAACAAAGTGACGAAAAAGATCACGTCGGCCAAGTACAACCGTGCAAGGGTGTATGAACTGAAAAACAACGATGAACAAATTTTAATCAAGACAGTGATTTCGAATAACTTTGATTGCGATGCAATTGCCGAGTCTGTAGTAAGGGCATACTTTATTGCCGTAAGCAATCTTGAAATTACCTCACCACACACTTCCACCGATGGAGTGATTACGGCAATAATGGACGACCACTCGGGACCCTCATTTTTGCTATCAATGGTAAATGCAACCACTTCGTCAACTAAAGATGAAACCAATCTCGTCTCACGGAAAAGGCCATTCCATATGTAGTCATTGGTGAAGGGAACTCGATCCCTATTGAGCATCGTGATGCGACAAAATTGTCTAATGAGATCTGCAACTCGATCGGGACCTCTGAACCCACTTTGTGAATAAACATAATCATAAATGTTATTTATCCACGGTGCGACATATAAAATGGAACTCAAACGAGTCTCCTGGTCCATTTTTTCAAAGTTGTCAAAGTACGCTTTAAAAAATCGATACGTCATCTCAGGAAAGGCATCAGATAGGTGTTTTGACACAGACACTACTAAATCAGTCGCATCAGTTGGGAATGGTAACGACTTTGCATGTGTTTCTGTGATACCAAAGTCAATCTCGAAGTATGACGACAAAGACCCAAATAACACTGCCGAAGATGACTTCACCTCATCGTCACTGCTGAGTAATCCCTGAAACACTATGTTATACAATCTTCCAAACCAATGCATGACATGTGTCTCCATATGAGATTCTTTTTCGGCTTCCAACAAAGTAGTGTCTCTTGGTAACCTCGAGGTCGTAAAGTACAAAAATCGTAAAATTTCAAGTCGATCAGGTGATCTAAAGGTTACCGGTTCATTATGCCTGAAATATATGGTAAATTCATCCTCAACACCCGTGAAGTCAGATACCTCACATCTAATCAAATCAGTTAATCTATGAACCTCCAATGGAGTAAATCTTTCCACAGTCGAGTACACACTCTTGAATTTCACACTTTCTTTAAAACAAATCGTGAGAAATTTTCTTCCGATCCTGAGACTGACCTGATCAAATCTTTCACTTGTTGGCTCGTATAAAAACACAGTTTTATAAGTTACTTTCGCGTCACGACTGATGGAAACAGTTTCTGGGTCTAAACAAAGGTTGCTGACAATATTATCAGAGTCAATTGACGAATTAATAAAAATCTTTGTGCCATACTCTGATCCCTTTTTCCTCAAGCTTTGCATCGATCTTATTAAACTCGAATATTCGGTTCGTGGAACATTGAAATAATAAACGCGTGTGCAACTTGAAAAGAATTGCCGTGGTGTGTAGGATGAAACCAAATGAGTGTACTCGGCAGGAGCCTCTTCTTTGAAGAAATAAAACTCTGAAAAATCATAAATAAGATAGAATTTGTTCTCCCAAATCTGCGACGCAGTCTCAAGTAGTTTGTATACTAGGTAGTTGATATCATCTGGTCGATATTTCAATTTACGGAGATTCACGACAAGAACAGGTGTGCCATCCTTGAATATCGACGATTGTATAAGATTCAGAGCATCAGGGGGCGTATCAGCATACTTCAAGGACAGTTTTGTCATGAAATCGTTGAATTTAAGCTCCTCACCGTCTCCGTTATTTGTATCAAACACTTTAAAGTTGGACGCTAATTGTAAGCGAACACTAGCTTTAGGCTGGCCCAACTTCATCACTACCAAATCAAACAATTTAAATTTTCTGACCCTCTCGTGTAAAGTCCTGACACTAAAGGCTGACTTTCCAAGAAGAAAATTCATCCTAATAGGGGCGAAATAAGTGTAGATGAATTTATGCAAGTATCTCAATTCGGCAATAGGTTTTTCACAAGTACCTACTTGGAAAGGATACTCTGTGAGGTCAACCGTTGATATCTCTTTCAAAAACAATCTAATCCTCGTGTTAAATTCATTCAAAATTTCGCCATCCTGAACCAACCCTGGCCACTTGATCGAGTTCAATGTACCGTTGGCCATATTTTGCAAAATCTTCACCAATTGCATTAAAGACCTTTTTGTCTTTGAGTTTTCCACTGGTAATTTGAAAAATTGTTGTGGGCTGATTATCGCTGGACAAATAAATCTCAAAAATATAAATGAACCAACAGCAATCAACGCCGAGTCTTCAAATTTTGCCGACACTGATTGATAAATTTGGGAGCACACAAATTTGAACGAACTGGGAAGAACGTCAAAGGATCCAACAATGACTTCGACAACTCTTCCTAAATAGGTGATGAAGAGGGCAGTATCGTCGGTTGATTCACGTTTTTCAACTTCAAAATAAACATTCTGACTGACAATCTCTTCAATAATGGGGAACAACTCCATTTTCAAATATTCCAACCCGTGATCTTGTGTAAAATTGAAAAGGAGTCTTGTTAAAGTGGAGTTTCTTCGAAACAAGTCTGTTGATCGAGTCAAGTTGGCAATCTCGTCAGTCAACAACACGGTAAACAACTTGTCCAATTTGTTGGTGTACGAGAATATACAAAATAACGAGGAGGCTAGTAAATTGTGTTCAGAACTAGATGCACACTCGGCAATAGAACCAAATATTTCAGTCTCTGCAACCAACTGCTCAACTAGCTCATATGGAAACTCTTCTTCCATCTTTTTCACAGTCTTCGATGTCAACATGCTGGCGAAAACATTTAAAAATATGGCTCTAATTTTCTTATCCTCGTGGTATCCCATTGGAAGCAAATACTGAATTCCAATTTCCGAGTCGTATTGTAGCAAATTGGTGATTGAAGTCAAAACGTGGTCAGTAACTTGCTGCAACTTGTGTTTGAATCGATCAGACGAAGGCATCTTGGTGTATTTCTGTATGATCTTGTAAAATATCGAAAAAAAGTTTCCAAATGCAATATCCTTGTACTTTTTCACCTCGCTGTCCTTAATTCCATCTGGAATTTCAAGTAACAACTTTTCAAGCTGGAGACTCAAACTCTTGGAGCACTGCACGGCAAGATCCATTCTCAAATAACCCAACTCCGACGTTTTGCTTTCGGAAAGATTCTTGTCCACCAAGTCTGCATCCAAAATCACCACCTGCTCCAACCATTCCAACATTGATTTACCGTAGATATTACGAAGCTTGTACGCACCGTGCAAACCAGTATTGGACTTATCCAGTTCAAGTGCTTGTGCCAACTTGCAAAATCTCAACTTCAACCTAAACTTGTCCGTGATATCTGCAACATTATCAATAAACGTTATGAAAAACTGACAAATGTGGGGAAGCAAGGAAGAAAGTAACAAGGCTCCGTCATTGTGAACATTGATCATTGCACTCATGATTATTATCGCCTCCTCCAAAAATATTATGCTCTCTTCAGTTTGCAACTTCTCCTCCGCGTAAGAGTTGGCACGAGCCATTAGCTTTGTCGCAATGAGGTGATAAATATCTGAATGGGACTCATTCGACAAGGTGTCCTTTATGATAACTCGTACAACCAAATCGGGAGAATTTAAAAGATCAATGCACTTGTCGAAAAAGTCGGAAATGTATGCACTGCTCCTTTGACGTAGCTCCTCTGCGGTATCACCCAAATCAGCCGACATGAAACATCCTGAAGTTGAAACTAGAAACCCGGTAAAATGGCGGAAAACCAAATTACTTTCATTTATCTGTTTATGGCTCTTCAAAATTTTGTTCCATCTTGCAAGAATTATTAGCCATACTTGGTATAGCGATTTAGTAGGTTTGGCTTCACGCAAAATCTTGCGGTGTCTCTTTTGTAACGATACAAACCCGGTAAAGACACCATCGTCATTACTTAGCTTTTCAAAAATCTCAAGCTGGTTGTCATCAATTTCTTGATACTTGTATAAAACTTTGTTTTTGCGGATTTCCTCGATATACCATTTGATGCCTTGCTTTGTATAATTGTAGAATTGAACATCATGCGTGCATAATGACAAGAGCAACACCTTCTCCACCGAATGCACTACCCTTCCACAGGATTCATACAATTCACGTGCTCTCGTATCTTGGATGATGGAATTTGAACGCACTATTTCACTGTAGCTGTCCCGTCGGTGTAAAAAGTTGATTAAAAACAAAAAGCTTGACTTGAATTTAGGATTAACTAGTGTTAATCCTAAGCAAGTCTCGCACACGGATTGGATAATGCAGTTGCAGATATTGAAGTTGGCGAATGTTGATAGTGTCGTGTATTCTGTTTCGATTTTGGATCCAGGAGCAACCATTTGCATAGACAACTTTCTTGCTGAGTCAAATAACCGGCTGTTTCCTTCCACTATCCAGTTTGCTTTGAAAGCTAGTCGGAGTGGGACGATACAGTCGTGACAAAATTCAACAATCAGTCTTAGCAATTCACCATAGGGCATAGTCTCTATATTAGAGTCATCCATTAGCCTTTTATCATTGAAATATAGCTCTGGTGCAGCCGCAAATATCAAAAAGGTATCAGAGACAATCTCCTCGGCTCCGTTCACGATGCGGAAACTGTATGAACTTGATGATGCTAACGAAGGCGGTGCCGGAGACTTGGACTTGAAATCGTCTTTAGATGGTTGCGATTTTTCAAATAACGTCTCTGCATAGTGATCAATGCTCGATTTATTATGTTCAAATGCGTACTCCGTTGCCTTATTAGCCCGCATTTCATTGTCGTCAACACTCGAGGCATCAGAATAGTAAGCAGTGTCAGATACATCACCATTTTGATTTCTATACCCACGTAATATCTTCAAAGACCCATACATAATAGACTTTAAAGTACTCTTGAACTCCAACATAAAGGAGTAGAAAATGTCCTTGGCAATGTCAAGTTCGGATAAGCCTTTCATCACCTTGACAAATAGCTTATTTACTCTCATATCTCCCTCCGAATGTTTGTAGCGTTCAATAATTAGCTTGGTGTACTTTTCTGGCCTGAGAACGACAGCAGCAATGTAATAATTCACCAACAAGTAATCGCGCTTCGTGGCAAGATCGTCATCAGTGAGTAACTTGTCTCTATGTATCTCATCGTACTTGATTAGCTGGTAAAATACTTCGTCCAAATGCCTTAAACTAAACAACAAGACTGGATGTTTCTTGATGTTGTTTGTCTCAAGACGAGCTCCCAAATGGAAAATATTTATCAATGCTTCAAGACTTTCCAAATTATTAGCGTTTCCTGCATCCTTTAATATTGTTGATAAAAATCTGAGTCGCTTGTTAAATGCCAACTTCAACTTGTTTAGAGGCTTAAGCGAGTTCATTTCAGCAAAGTCACTCACACATAACGTAAGAAAACAAGTCAAAATATAAGGTGCACACGAAACCAGGGTGTAATTATCGTCAAATACTGTCATTGTCGAATCAAAAAGTTGTTTTAAAGCACTAGCGTGACGTAAGTTGTTTGGATCTACCAAAGCATTGTAATCCTGCACCCTTGAAAGCGACTGATCTTTGATGCTACTAGCCAAGAAGAAAAGGTAAACTTGCCTCCATGTATTGGATTTGATTACCGGGATCGTCTTTAACGACTCTTCGGCAAATATCATTGCATTCGCCTCAGAGTAAAAGGCGTACTTCATTAGTGGACAAAATTTTTGAATCGTGGGTAGGGGTATGGTTTGGCTGCTATCTGAGTAAGCATATAGTTTTGTCTGTAGGTATTTGTAATATTCGTCGGGGTTGGCCGTGGAGATGAATCGAAGAATTACCTCGATATAAGAATCAATCTCGGATATTGCATTCAATACCTTCTCCAGTTCAGTCATCGGCTGGTCTTCCCTTGCTATGTCTTGCTCTTCCTTTGCAACAGCTATATTTGTCATTGTTTTTTCGTGTCTCACCATTGAAAGTATCTTTTTGACAACTCCAGTCGACAACAAATCAATGTAAAACCCAAGAACGTTGGGAATTATTGATGGATTGAGTGGTTGCGGCTGCTCGTAGTAATAGAATCTCGAGTAATTACTCAACACTTCTTTATCTTCCAAAAATACAGTTTCTCTATCCCAATTTGCTTTCAATATCTCCGCCAACGTCTTGCACACTAACAATGTTGAAGATCTAGATTTCTCATCCCGGTACTTGAGTCTGGCATTTTGAGCCTCTGAATTGATTGTCTGTAGTAGCGACGTAAATGATTTTATAATAAAAGATATAGTAGATCCATTCTTGCAATGACTATCCAATAGTATCCTTTTTGTTGTTATGAACTGAGCATCTATCTCAACCTCTTGGAAAGAATGACCAGTTCTGAAGGGAAGCAACGACTCTATACGTTTCACTAATGAGTCGATAAACCTCCGGTCGCTTTCTTCTATGCCAATTGTGTTCATTGTGTCATCAGTGTAGAGATATCAAAACAATGATCTCTTTTTTTTCTTTGCAGGAGGGGTTTTTATGAGAGCTGTTTTGGGATAACTTGACAAACAGTTGGATATTGTAGGTTATATAAAATGTGTGGGGGAATATTGATTAAGTAAAATATATATAATGTGGTATATATGTTAGTTGATGCTGATATGGGTGTAATCTCTTATAGTATATTGAATCTTCTCTTGCCTTAACCTAACTTAACTCTCTTAACTTCTGTTTTTTTACTTTCTTTTTTCTTTTCTTTTTTGCTGTTCGTAGTTTTATTTTTTATTTTTTATTTTTTCTTGCACACACACACCACTTTACTTTTTTCGGTTGTCTTTGTGTATTCCCGTATTAATCTTCTTTTCTCCGAATTCTTTTATTCTTCATTGCAAGTGTTAGTTTTGCTCTATACATATGTCTTACTTTCAGAGTAGATGTATACTTTAGACGAAAAGCTACAAGTGTAGACCTTGAATCTGGTTTTCTTGTAGTTTAAAGCTTAGCTCCATGCATGGCTCTCAGATTTCCCCTCCGTTGTCGCACCTCATCAGCCGTGAACGAGAGAGAGAAAATATGATGTCATGCAGAGTTCTAAAAGATAAAGTTACATGTACACATCGAGATGACGACGCAGTTGAATGAAGTTTAATGAGAGGTAAAATAAAGGCGATATGGTTAGTGGTTGCTTTATCTCTCTGTCTCTTTTGCTCATTCAGGTCGCCAATGCCACTGTTGAGATTTTCTAATATGGTTATGGACACAAAATGGTGTATAATAGTAAAACTCGCCACAACTGTCTGTCTGTGGACAGAGAATTTCAACAGAGACTTTATTTATCCCCTTTCAGCTTTGTAGTGGTTAAAACTTGCATCAAAGAGTTTATTAGGAGCGTCCAATGGGCATTTTGTTAATAATTGAGTTTGTTGTAATTTTTGCCAAAGAATTAGGTAAAAGAGTTCCGAAGACAAAAGTAATCCTTCCACACAAATCCTCCAACAACCAGATCAAGATATACAATTTTGGTTTTCAATTAAGCAAAAGCTTCATTTCAATTGATTGCCTCAACCATGGAGGTTCTAGAATTGAAACTGCCAAGCGTCCAACCATATGTTTATTCTTTCTTTTTGGTTTTTGGGGGGTACCTGCATATAACGCAACTTTCTTCCAGCAAGAAACAAATAAAACGATAAAGCGAGAGAAACAAACGAGAAAATAAAAACCAGCATTGTAAATTTAAAACAAGTCATTTGTTAGCCCAGTTAACGGTGATTAGGAAAGATAAGTTAGTTTATCAACAAGAAGTCACCAAAGACATAACAGAAAGCCAGAAATTTAGACACGTACACATACAATACTCATTTCACCTCACAAATCTGCTTATATCCATATAAATACTCACTCAATTAAGCAATCAATCACAATGGCAACCCCTGCACGACAAGAAGACGCAACAGCACAACGCTTTGTTCAATTCAAACTAGTCCTTTTAGGCGAAAGTGCCGTTGGTAAATCATCTATCGTACACAGATTTGTCAAGAATACATTTGATGATGCAAGAGAATCGACCATTGGTGCAGCATTCTTGACCCAATCAATCACAATACCCGAGACACAAACGACTATAAAATTTGAGATATGGGATACTGCAGGACAGGAGCGCTACAAATCATTGGCACCTATGTACTATCGAAATGCCAACGCCGCGTTGTGCGTGTATGATATTACAAGCCACAATTCGTTTGCTAGGGCCCAAGACTGGATCAAGGAGTTGAAGAAACAAGCACCCAGCGAGATTGTCGTGGCTTTGGTGGGAAACAAAGTAGACTTGGAGGATGCCAGAGAGGTACAACCGGAGGAAGTCGATGAGTACATTACTGAGTTGCAAAGCGATGGGTTCAAGATAATCAGAGCCGAGTGTTCGGCCAAGAACGGCGATGGGGTAGTGGAGCTTTTTGAAGCCATAGGTAGAGCTTTGCCGGTGGAAGAGGTCCTTGCAGCCAACGCAAATAGATCAAGGCAAGGTGGTGAGCCTGGAGGCAGAAGACCCGGTGGGGTTGACTTAAACAGACCTAAACGAGCACAAGCTCAGAGCAATTCATGCTGCTAAAGGGTAGGGTGGTTTATCTACAGATTTGTATGAGATAGTATATGATGTAGTTGAGATATAGATACAAGGCCTTGGTTTAAAGGTGCCCTAACTGTGGCATCCTGCATGTAGGTAAAAAATAACAAAAGCGCACGCCCTTTTTTTTTCCCAAGAGAAAATTTTTTTTTTCTTCTCCCTGTGAGTGTGCACTCGAACCAATGTGAAAAATTTTTCACTTCTTTCTACCAAGTTCATTCCCATCTTTTCTTCTTCATCACTTCATTAAAAACACTAGTTAAAAATGTCATCAAGACCACAAGTTTCCGTTGTCTCCGTTCAAGGTGAACAATCAAGCACCCAATTACCATTGCCATCAGTCTTCTCTGCCCCAGTCAGACCAGACATTGTCCACTCTGTCTTTGTTAGAATCAACAAGAACAAGAGACAAGCTTACGCTGTTGCTGAAAACGCCGGTCACCAAACCTCAGCTGAATCATGGGGTACCGGTAGAGCTGTTGCCCGTATTCCAAGAGTTGGTGGTGGTGGTACCCACCGTTCAGGTCAAGCTGCTTTTGGTAACATGTGTAGAGGTGGTCGTATGTTTGCTCCAACCAAGACTTGGAGAAGATGGCACGTCAAGGTCAACCATAACGAAAAACGTTATGCTACTGCCTCTGCCATTGCTGCTTCTGCTGTCACTTCATTGGTTTTGGCCAGAGGTCACAGAGTTGAAAACGTTAAGGAATTGCCATTGGTTGTTGCTAACGATTTCGAATCAGTCCAAAAGACCAAGGATGCCGTTGCTGTCTTGAAGGCTGTTGGTGCTCACAAGGATGTTGTCAAGGTTATCAAGTCCAAGAAGATGAGAGCCGGTAAGGGTAAATTGAGAGGAAGAAGATTCACCCAAAGAAGAGGTCCATTGGTTGTCTACGGTGAAGACAAGGGTTTGGTCAAGGCCTTGAGGAACATTCCAGGTGTCGAGACCTCCTCCGTCAAGCACTTGGGCTTGTTGCAATTGGCTCCAGGTGCCCACTTGGGTAGATTTATTATCTGGACCCAATCTGCCATTGAGGCCTTGGACTCTATCTACGGATCTGAATCAACCAAGTCCATCAAGTCCAACTACTCCTTGCCAGCCAACATCATCTCCAACACCGACGTCACCAGATTGATCAACTCTGCTGAAGTCCAAGCTGTTGTTAGACCAGCTGGTGAATCAACTCAAAAGAAGAGCCACGTCTTGAAGAAGAACCCATTGAAGAACAAACAAGTCTTATTGAGATTGAACCCATACGCCAAGGCTTACTCTGCTGAAAAATTGGGATCCGCTAAAGCTGAAAAATCTAAAGCTAAGCCATCAAAGGGTCAATTTGCTTCAGTTTTGAAAAACTAAGTGGGATAGATGTGTATGAAGTATAGGTTTTGTATAGAAACCATATGGAGTATTTTTGTCCTTAAAAGAAAAGATGATGTAGAGATTAAAGCTAGAGGTAAGTAGGTTTACAAATTTTGTTTTAAAACGAACGTAATATTGTACATTGATCTATAGATCGAACTAAAAATAACAAGTAATTAAAACTAAAAGAAAAAGCAAACCTAAAAAGAAAGGAATCGAACCGAAATATATCTAACGTCATTATTCTCTCTTGCAATGTAGGAATTGTATCAATCTTTTTTCACATTTATTTTTGCAACTGAACTTGACCAGAAACAGGACGTGGCACATTCTCTTCAAAGTATGACTTACCAGTAGTGTGATCAGTACCCACGATATTTCCCCTGCTATAGTACTCACAAATGGTGTATTGTCTCCAAGCATTATTACACGTGACATAAGCACATCCGACTTGTGAAGTAGCTTTCCAAACAAGTTGTGTAAAATGGCCCGTGGCAGATGAGTAGCCTGGCGAATCGAAATTGTAGTCTTTGATTTCGTTGTACCATGCATTAACAGGTTCATCACCACCTGGGTAACCAGCAGCCAAGTTTTCACCGTATGGACCACCGGAATGGACCAATTGGACATTGTCACATGAAAAAGTTCTGGCGGCATAGTCGGCGGCGTATTTGGTTAAAGTGTCGTTCCAAGCTAAGTCTTGAACTCCATGTAAGGCACGTACACGGTTGTGAGCGTTTAATATTGAGTTGGCAAAGGCAGTGTCAGTTGAAGGGGTTGACATTTGGCTTGATGATGAAGTTGCTGGGGTTGAGGAGGAGGTGGATGAAGTAGACGAGGAAGTAGTAGCTGGGGCGGTTGAGGAGGTGGATGATGTACTGCTCGTTGAAGGAGTTGTAGAAGTTGAACTTGAACTTGAGATTGTTGAAGATGTTGAAGATGTTGAAGATGTTGAAGATGTTGAAGATGTTGAAGATGTTGAAGATGTTGAAGATGTCGAAGGTGCTGAAGATGTTGAAGATGTAGTTGGGGTATCAGTAGGTGGTGGCCCATAAATGGTAGTTAAACCAGTTTGTGTAGTGGTTCCCGTAGTAACAGTGACCCAGTTAACGTGGGTGGTATCAGCAGTAACGTAATTGGTATATATAACTGGAGCAGCTCCAGTGGCTGCTATTATAGCAGTAATGGCAGACAAGGTAGATATTCTCATAATGAACGTATTATAATTGAGGGAGGTATTGATTAAGCAAATGAATGTGAGTTGATGATGAGTAAGTAATAAAGGAATTGATGAAATTATTTTGAAAGTAAAAGGAATTTTAGCAAACCATGAGGAACTATTTATATTCCAATTGAAAAAAGTCAGTTTTGCACGGCGAAGGAGGGATTTCGTACACTCTCCGGGAAAATAAAGTCAGATCACTTTCTTTGTTCTCATTTCATTTAAATTTTTGGGTTTTTGGGCAAGCTTCGTGAATAATAGAAAGAATGATTCTGACGAAGGTTAAGAACAAGAAGAATACAAAAATAAAAAAAAAAACTGTATGTTCGTTGGGAGATTTTGCAGTCAAAACTTAAAAATAATTGTTACTATAAGAAATATTACGTGATATTACACAATATGAAAAATGTGCTTATGTAAATATGTACTATATATATGCATTGCTGGTTATTATTAAACCATACCAGAAAATAACACTTTGTGTAAAAGATATTATTATATACAGGAATACACCCGAAATAGAATTTTCAACCAGAGAAAATTGAACAAAGAATCAAATGTGGTTATATCCACATTGGAGCAGAACCACTATGAGGAACAAAAAAAATTTTGACAGCTATGGCTTACTTACTCATTTACTACTTTGTTGTTCATTTTAGTACTTTCTATTTACTATCTGTCAAGTACTTTTCAAAAGCACACAAAGGATAACCTCAAGGCTCAAGAATACCTTATAGCAGGTCGCCAAGGAAGAGCTAAGATAGTTTCATTACCAGATAAGTGGAAACAATACAAGGAGATGGGAATAAGGTATACCGGATGTCCAATCAAACAGCTCTCTCTTGTCTACATCCTTTTTACTCAATGTGCTTCTTCACAATGCTTACCACATTTGAGTCAGAAGTCTATTTTTCCAGCTAACTATATGACTTCCATGCAAGCTTTCCTAATTAAGGTCTAATAACAAGTTTTAAATCAAACAAAACGATGTTAGAAAAAGAACCAGACACGCTATTGTAAATTAATGTTTGTTTGTTTGTTTGTTTAATTGTTTACGTGTAGTTTTGATGTTTTTTTTTGATTTTAGTTTTGTGTGCTTTTAATAATTTTTTCTTCTACGTTTTATTATTTTGGATTTTGTGTAAATGCAAGCCATGTTTCTTTACAACAATATTTGGGTTAATACAACCAGATTTTCACAAACAAGTGAGACATATATTGTTGTTCTAGAACATTTCAGGAGACAAAACTTCGTACTATATTTTCGTACCTCTCTGAGGTCTATGTAAAGAATACATATTACTCTACACACGTGTTGGGACTCCAGAGTTGCTGAGATGTGTGTATAGTTGAGGAGTTATTTAGTACACATTTTATTTTTTTTAGTTTAGTGCGATTGATCTACAAAATTCCATTTGGAAAAGTGCAAAACACAATCGAAATAAAGTTGCAATGCAACATTGCTGCGCTCTCATAAAACATTTGTGTAGACCAGTTTACAGGTCTTCTCCTCCTATCTAGATCCATATTTAAGAATGTATTAGGCGGCACTTGACGTCAACTTCAGATTGGACGATTCAAAGAGACCATTTAGGCCGCTTTCATTCAATTGGCGGGAAATTAACACCCATAGCAATCGAAAGCAAAAAGAAAGAGTGTGTGTTCCAACTTACGATTTAAACTTTTTGAAAGTTTAACATAAGTGAGCTCATAACCAGTTGAGAAGAAATCACGATACAAAGTTTATCATTGGACCAATTAATATGCAAAATGCAATTTTTTAGTCTCGCGTTATTTGGCATAAAACAAAAACAACAAAAAGAAAACCTCTCAATATATGCATACAATCGTTACATACTTGTCAAAAAAATGCAAGATTTTGCCATTGTATTTTAATGAGTTGTTCTTTGCATTGTGTGCTTTTCTGTCTCTCCTCATTTTTGATCAAATGAATGGTTAAAAATTTCCGAATCTAAATTTGCTTGGTACACTTTGTTTCTTTATTTGTTTTGCTTCTGGCTCAATATGGATGAATAATGTACCAAAACATCAAAAAAAGTAGCACCCAATGGTTAGATATATTCTACGAGATGTCCTTGAACAATGTGACTCTAATTATAGAAAAACTCACTTAATTGGTTGGAATTCAGAGCAGGCACAAAATAAGGCTCCACATGTCTTCAAATTCTTGTATTGTTAACCCCCCCCCTCCCCTGGTCTCCAACTATTCACTTTCTACAAGAAGGTTTGTCACCGTGGAGTAATGAAAAGTCAATTTGATTGAAAATAGGACATAGTTTTTTGTCTTTGAGAAAGTTTAGATGAATGGATCATGTACGTGGAGTTCCCCGGAAAACCTTAATGAAATAAAAATTTTCAACAAAATGATCGACAAAGTTCAAATAGAGCTCGGGAGTAGAGAGGGGGTTTCTTTCTCAACAGTAAACAATCCGTACCCGTTTTAGGAACGTTTACTCAACATAAGTTGTTCCCAATTTGGGACTAGGAAGAAAGGTTCGCGTTGTAATAAAGTCTCATAACCAATGCAGAACTTCAATTTAATCACGCGTTGAGTCGAAAACTGAAAAAAAAACCAAATTGAATGCTTCTTCAATTATGCAGCATCTATTAAAGTTTTCAATACGACAGATTCAATGACCATCATAAGATGCATAACCTCTTTTGTTTCAGCCGGGAAGTTTAAAAAGAGGTGCAGTAGAAAGAATTTTACCATCAACATCTGTTCAATGGCGATAGCTACATGAGGAAGGGAGAGAAAGGATTTTAAACCATTGCAACAGTTACCCATTTTGGCTCTTCATCATGGTGTTGCCATTGTTCTACAGTGTGGCTATTTTTGTGCATAGCTACTTAACCTATAAATTCCACTGCTGGTAATAGGAAATAAGTTTGTGTAATGTGCAAAAGATGTGCTAATCTCTTGGTATTATTATTATTATTATTATTAGACTCGTAATTATGAATCTCATCATTTTAGGTCAACAAAGTTTTGTGTGACACGTGCATCTAAACTATGTATGCTTTTTTTTCCGAATAGAATGTATTGTTGTTGTACCGTCAACAGTTGATTTGTCAAGAGCAGAACTTATGACGTAGTAGGGTATGTGTTTGTGAAAGTATCTTTTGACGTTGGGTAATAAGCGTCTTTCCTGTCGTACGATTGAAGGATGAGGTTTACTCTCCTGACTAAGATAAGAAGGTCATAGTGAACTAAAAAAGGAGCCATAAAGAAAAGTTGTGGCCGATTTGAAGAGGTGAGCTCAAAATAAACAGCCGACCATTCTCATTGAATTTGTGTTCAAGAACAGTGACCATGATACAGAGCTGCATTGAACTTGGATTCTCCGGGGTCGTTCGATATGGAGTGATTATGTGTAAATTGTATCACAGGTTGCTATATTTTACACATGAGTTGTTGCAACAATTTGTAAACAGGGTCACAAATAATACGAATATGCGACGGTCCCGTTAAGTAACCACTGCATTTTACTACGTTACAATTGAAGAAAGTGACAATAACACAAACTAATTCTCTCTATTCTTTTGAAACTACCAATGCCACAACCCTCCGTTCCCAAATATCTAAACTGACAGAAAACACATCAATCAAAAATCGATCATCAGACTCCGATACTTCAAATGCCCAAATCTTTTTAAAGTATTCATTCACATTGTGCTTTAACACATCGTCCAATACGAGTTTCAAACTATTGGCCACAGTGACGACATTCCATGTATACTTCAAATCATTAAATAAAAAGTGTAGTCCATCAATCTGGTCTTGATTAAATGTGTTGTTGTTATTATTAACGTACGGTAACTGGCTCAAAGTCTGTTTAAACTTTTCATGAAACTTGGCTCCAAATTCTGCATCAAACTCATTATCGTCCTTGATTGTGTCTCCATTTTGTAATGTTTGCAATAAGTGGAAAACTCTCAATATAAACAATACTGCATCTCGACACAAGACATCAAACACTTCCAAATGGTCCAAGCTTACATCGAGTCCAGCTTCATTCAAATCGCCTTTCCCCAACGGTGGCTGGTAGTGTTGTGGTATGGCAGTGTATGGGATCAACAGCACCACCTTGTTTGGAGTTTTGTTGTCTGTCGCTGTCTTGGAGCTGGGGTTCGAGAGCCTGAATAGTTTAGTGAATAGTTTTGTCATTTATGGCGTGCGATAGCTAATCAAATGATGGTGGAATAATATATAGCAAAAATGGATGATACCTAGGAGTAAGGCTAAGAGTTCAAAGTAGAAAAAAAGGGCAAATGTAACCGTGAAAAGTAGATGTATAATGATATAAGCATGTTGTGCTTCACTTGCCGAATCATTATTTTGGTATGTTGCAGGTGAGTTAAATTTTTGCACCTTTGATATTCGTTTGTGGAACATGAGAAGTTGTCTTAGCTTTCTCTTTTTGGAACAGCATAATATCAACTTATGAGCGTAGTCTAGTGTATTTGCTACGACTTCAACAGTGTTTTTATTTACCACCCGTTGTCGGGTGGTGAATATAACAAATATAGTTGTTAGATTGTAAAGTAACTATTGTCAGATTAGAAAGAAAATACTCTTGATTCTTATAAAAGAGAAACTATAAAATGAGAGGGAAAGACTTAACTTTATACTTCGAAAACTCTAGTAAAGGTTTAGTATGAAGCTTTTTTCAGGCTTGGAATATTGATTCTGAAACACTTCAGCAATTAATATTTGTTTCAGAATATATATCCTACTTCCTGACACCCTCAGCATTCTCAGCTGGTACCAATCCTCTCTTTTCCCAAATTATTAACTAGTTCTACTTTTGTGAAAGCAGAGCATCACCAAAATGCTCCCACTAGCTGAACGAACCTCAAAGTGAATTCTCCCTCGCTAATAGACATTTATTTATGTGTTCGTGAATATACTTAACCCATTCTCTCTATGCCACTCAATCTTTTTTCTGATCGCATGTTATCAAAGATAGAGATAAATCACATGCGGGGAGTACCTGCATATAATTGCAGGCATAGCTAAATCGTAAGATAGGGGAAAAAAGAATATGTTTGAGGGTTTTTTATTTTGTTTTTTATTTAATAACCGGCAAAAACAAAGCAGAATGAATAATCATCGCAATAATCTTCAGTTGCTGTTGCAAGTTGCTCCATTCAAGGAAGTAGCCTAACCAGTACTTCGCAGCTTTGATAAATTTACATTGCTGCAGCATTTATCCCCACCACTGGATAAATCGAAATCAAACCATTTCATCTATAATCGACGACGTTGGGAATCAGTGTTTATCACTTGTAATTTAGATGTTTGTCAGTTCTATCTCTCTCCCACTTGTCCTAGCTATGCCACAAATAAATTATGATTGGTATAAAGTCTAACGCCTTAATAAAAAATGCTTTCCAGCAAAGCCGTTTAAAGAACTAGCGCATGCTAAATCTCTCTGTTTTATTGCTTTTTTTTTTTCGCTCGTTTCGTTTCTTTTTTTACATTTTAATTTCCTGTTTTGATCTCTGATCGCTGTCGCTCGCTCGCTCCGCCTAATATTTTTTCCTAAACTAGACGAGATCAATAAATTTTCCACAACTCAACATCAAGAGTTGAAAAAGAGTGGTTGTGATCAAATACCCCTATTATTATTTCTACACACTATCTCCATAGCTTGAAACTACTCCAAACTAGTCATGTTCAAAGGTTTGAGAAAAAAGGCATCGGTTTTGTCATTATACCCTTCGACATCTAACCTGAGCACGGCAGAAAATGCCTCTGCCCTCAACTCCAGTAGCAACTACGATAGGATATTGAAGCAGGTGCATGATTTCGAAACTGCATTGAAAGCGATGGACTACCTTTTAGACGATCGTACTGATGAAGGAACGTCTTTGCTTAAAAAGGAGGCACAGACAGCGCAGCAGGATAACCTGCCTCGTGCCGTTTTTCCATTGGCGTTGGGTGTTATGGAATTTATCGAAGCAACGTTGGGGTTTGAGCCTGAAGTAATGGCTAAAGCGCACAAGACATTATCAGAGGCAGAGAACGCCTCTAGTAACAACTCCAAGTACAACACACGTTACCAGTTGGCGACATCCACCATCTACCCGCCAGGAACCGAGTTTCAAGTAACTTTGGCAGAATCGACCTTATTGAATGCGCTATTGATGCTATTGAAGGAAAATAATGGTGTCGTTGAAAGTGCAAAGGCCTTGTTCAAACTACGAAAAGCGTACCAGATCTTGGATTCGGTGCATAAAAGAATACAAGAACTGGAGCCAGTTTTTAACAAGAATTTGGCAAAGTTGAGAAAGAAGGCTACTACCAGTGGTGCTGGAAAGACCGATGGTGTGTTTTTGAACAACAATAACCAGTCCATCAGTACAGTGGACTTACCCGGATTTGAATCACTGTCCAACTCTTCAAGCTCCTTACCTCAAGATATCAAGTTGATGAAGGATTTAGAAAAGATATTTTTGATGCGCAAAGCTAGAATTGAAGGATCAAATTTGGGCAATACTGAGCAAATCAACTTGTTTGAGGACCTGAACAGTTCAGTCACGCTTGCTAAACAGACCATTCCTGGGCCCCTGGACTCACAAGACAATGGATCAGATGATGATGAGTTTGAAGATGCCATGGATCATTTGGCCGTGAGTGATGCCCCAAACTCGTTTGTTGGTTCCGGAGCTCAATCGATTCTTTCTTCGGTGGACACGTCGCCTAGCTCTCATGGTACTGGTTCGGACACGTACCTCCATGTTTCTACAACTGATGAATTTATTCATTCCGGAGTGCAGTTGTGCTTTGGTATCTTGCAAGTGGTATTATCATTAATCCCACCTGCCATTGGTGCTGTTTTATCCATTGTTGGTTTTAAAGGTAACAGGAATATCGGGCTTCAACTTTTATGGAGAACAGCAATAACATCGAGAAATGTACACGGTGAGTTGGCGTTGTTGTTCTTGTTGGTGTTTTACGATGGTCCTGTACAGTTTGTTGATACCGGATTTAGATTACCTGAGTCAAAGCTGGACAATAACGTGATCTCATTGAGTAACAAGTTGACTGTGCTGGAGGAGGAATTGGGGCAAATCATGGACAACCCACAACTTTATACCAACCAGTTGTTGCGGTCAGCACGTCAACATTTCCCGCATAATGCTTTATGGATATTACAAGAGGGGAGAATGTTGGCAGCTCAAGGTGACTTAGTTGGCGCTAGCACTCTTATGCAAAATTTCACTGATGATCCAAATAACAAGATTCAAATGAAACAGATTGAATCGTTGTTGGTTTTCGACCGTGCTGTTATCTACATGTACATGCATGAGTATGACAAAGCAGCAAGGGATTTGATTCATTTGATTGACATTAATTCATGGTCAAAAGCGGTGTACTTATTCATGGCTGCCTCTTGTTATCTTGAAAACTACAGAATGATCAAAATGGGTGTGAAGGCAGGGGATGCAGCAGAAGCTAAGAAATATGCTGACTTATTTTCCAAGTACATGAACCTCTCGTTGAGTTATGTTCCTGGACATGGCCATAATGCGCCAAAGAAAGGCGGCTTGGGAGGCAGTGGAAAACAGATGCCATTTGATAAGTTCTTGTTACGCAAACACAAGCATATTGAATCGAGAAAGAAACAATACCCTGATGTACAGTTGGCTGATTTGGTTGGCACTTCGTTGATTCACGAGTTGGTGTACTTCTGGAACGGATATAACCGAATGACACCAGAACATTTTGAAATTGCATTGAAGATGTTGGGATACTCTGGATCCCCCAACGCCGAGTTTTCGGCAAACTCCAGTGCCCACTCATTTGCCATGATCAAAGAGACGGAAGATGAGGCAATGATACGTTACTTCCTCCAGTCTGTTTGCTTGAGACAGTTGGGCCAGGTCAAGGAGGGGTCACGTCTCCTTCAGCAATACGTCTTATCAAAGATTGTTATTTCCGATTTCCCACAATTCAAATTTCACAAAATGACCTACAGTCCGTACTTGTACCCAACGGCATTTTACGAAAATACCATGTTTACTTGGGTTGAAGAAACGGGGCCCAATACGAAAGTCAGTGTGAAGACAGCAGTAGCTGAGAGTAAAGCGTGGTTAAAGAAAGCAGAGATAGTAGGAGACGGTGATTACGAGTTGAGTAATAGAACCAGTATGCGTATAAAGGCTGCTGGCGATAGACTAGACCAATTGGCAAGTGTGTAAAAAAAACTCTATAGACTATTTTATACAATTTTTGCCCACTTAATTGAAGTAAGTTTCAACCAATTTTGAGGCTACGTTGAATCGGATTAGGATTGTGAAAAGCCATGCAATTGCCAAAAGAGGCAAGATACCGGCTACCACAATCAATTGCAAGACCCGTGCGGGGTTGCGGTCATTCAGCTTTACCACGTTTGATGAGATGAATGGCAACGAGTTGAATCCGTAGAAGGTCACAACAAAATAGTACCCGATACTGCCAAAGTATAGCGAGTTGCCTAAAACCAATGCAATTATTGACTTTTTGATTCTGATGATTGGCAATAGAATAAACTGGACAACGTAAAGTAAGCACCAAATGATCAAAAATGAGTTGCAATGAATGTCAAAACAAAATCCCCACTCAATGTAGTTTGCACTGTACTTGTTCAACCCCACTTCTAGATTGAATAATTTATTTGTCGCCACCCACGTTACAGTTGCAATGACAAACCCAGTAAGGTAAAAATCAACAACCACCATGTACAAAATCAATTTAAATATATCCAAGATAGACGGAGAATAGGCCAACCCCCACGCAATTGCACTCACCGAGAGGAACCCAGTAACCAAAATCAAAAACGACGGGTCGTCTCTCGTGTATGACGTTTTCCCATCTGGTTGCTGTTGCAGTTGTTGTCGGTAATAGTAATGCGATCGATACATCTTCTTTGGATTAAGGATCAAATGGAATATCTCCCATATTGCCGTTTCAAAGTCTAATGTGCTCGGCTTGAATAGCCTCTTTACCATGGTATTTACATTTTTGAATTTATTTTTAAACTTGAATGACGTGGAGGAGTTGTGGTGGAATGTAGGACGCGGGATATATAGCGATGATGGTGTTGAAGCAATTGATCCGGCTCGCATGGAGGAGGAGCCGTGTTTGGTGGATGGAGCAGACTGGGGGAATAGGTCTTGCGTGGTATATGGTAAATTAAGTCGTTTCGTCATGGTGATTTACTAACTATTAGTGCCTGAGCCTTTCTATTTTTTTTTCCTTTTTTGCTTTGTTGATTCCAGTCGTATAGAAATTTCAACTGTGTGTTTTTTGTTTTTTACTTGCGCTACACTTTTTATTTACTCACTAAATGCAGAGTTTGCGTCTTGCCATATTTGTTTCAACAACGAATCGGATTCACCGACTGGTGTCGATACAGCCGGAGGAACACCGCCGTGATGCCTTTGAATGAATCCCAAGACCCCCACGTCACTTTCAACTTGGCGCAGACTAACTTGTCTCGAGGAGAATCGTAGTCTAATTGTCGTGTATTGTGACAGGATCGTTTCGTTTTGGATTTTCCAATCGTATTTCAATTCGGGCAACTCATTTTTTTCATGTTGGTAGAGATCTTTGAAATCGAGTAGTTTTTGCTGGGTTCGGTTAAGTTTTGGAGCGTTGGTCTCGGATGATTGGAGAGCGAGGTTGCGCACTATTTCTTCCAAATCAGGTTGCGGTTCTTGGCTCTCAACCAGTTCAATTTCATATTGAGTATCATTTATTCCCTCGTCGGTTTCGTCAGTTATGCTGTCATCAGCAATAGGCGAAGCTCTCGAATAAAAGGAAGCTAATCCATAAGCGAAATCACTCATTTTCTCATAAAGATTTGTCTTGGAAGGGGTTTCCATTAATGTGTTTTTCTCCAACTCCTTGAATGAGTTGTCCGTGCTCAAGTTTATGCTACTTGCTCCTGGGTGCTTTGTATTGTACTGATCATCAAGTATGGTGAACGGACTAATCTCTTTTGAATTGCCTGTCGCCTTTGGCGGTAGATCGTACGAGCTCCACCGCTTGAACTCGGGCCTCTGAATACCACAGTATTGCCCCTTTATGCTCTGAGGGGGTGCCTGAGTTAGAGACCTTGTACTGGAAGACCTATAGCTTACTGCTTGATGGAGTAACCCCTGCCGCGAGTGTCGCGTTCGTGACTCTCCCTTTGGTATTTGGAAATGTGGGTCAAACTGTACCTCCCCCGATGACGTTCTACCTCTTTCGTTCATCAGTTTGTGAGTCAATATAATGGGCTGACTGGGATAGTTTTGAGCCTCAGCGTAACCCGTCATTAACATGATTTCCAGTGAGCTCAAACCAATCTACCACGAAATAATTTCCAACATATCTTTTACTTTATCAGAAATTGCGAAGGGTCCCTTATCTTCACGTGACCAAAGGGCAATTTTTCTTATCAACGAATGAGAATTAAATAAATCATTGAAAATTTCCTAAACAAAAAAAAAAAACAACTACAAGATAAAGAGATTGAATTTTATATTGGATCAAGACGGAGTAAATTTTCCCTTAGATTTTCCTCTGCGCTCTTGACCAAAGTTTTCCTTCGCAAGTTGACAAACTCTGCAAGGTTGATAATGTCTTTTTTCTTCTCCAAAATAGTCTCTACTTTATCCGGCTTATCAATGGCGATGATGTTTTCAAACACTTCTGACAAGTCTTCCACTGTTTTGTTTAAAAAGTCTTGATTTGTTTCAAAAATCTGGGAAAAATTCAGTTGCGCTAAGTAGAAAGCAAAACAGTATGTCCACTTCAACGTCTTTCTTCCGTTTTGCAAAGCCCTCATTGCGTCAGGAAGAAATTGTACATCGTTCCATGAAAGGTTTTGTTGGCCTTTTTTTCTGCACTCCTCCATGTATAGTTTTGTAACATTATCAATTTTTTGCAACGTCTTTTGATCGCCCTTCATTGATGATTCATGGATAGCGTAACGCTTATAGAAATGTAAATATCTTTCCAAAGTAGCCCTACTTTTGTTTTTCCGGATTTCATCCTCCTTTGTTGTATCGTTGAATCGATTACAGGAGTAATTGTTTGAGTGGCTGCTCCAATCACCAAAACAAATCCAGCAAAATTCATGCTTGCACTTTCTGCATGTCATGTGGTTGCAGCCTCCATTCTTCTCAATCGATGTGTGGCACTTGGGGCATGAATGGGTATTCGCGTCAATCCAATTGGCTGTTTCAGAGTCATCTTCACATTTCTTGATCCATTTCCGAACCAACCAACAAGGACATGGAAGATGATTCTCGTAATTGCATTCAAAACAAAATTCGTGATGCTCGGCACATCCAACAATTGGAACTATCGTCAAGTCGGAGGACTCTGTGCTTTGTTTTACTGATGATGGATTAACAATCTCGGTAAAACTAGTGCAATCGGTGGCAGGACACCATTTGAAATTGATTCTAGTGTCGACCCACTCTCTTGCAGACGTAATGAGCATTGGGTTCTCTCGAAGTGACTTGTCAGCCACAATCAAAGTCTTTTCTGCTTCAACGATGGCAATAATATGAGCAATGTCTTGGAACGGGATTGTGTACTTGCAGCTCGGTTCCATGCACGATATTAGACGACCATTATTGACTTCATTCAGAAGGTACTGGTAGTAGCACTGAATACAGAACTGGTGATTGCACGTTAGTGAGTAAACTTGAGTTGATGGGTACGTATCGCAACAAATAAAACACGTAAAATCCTTGACGGTTTCGAAAGAATTGTTGGCTTTACACGGTAGCCCACATTGCTTCATCAAATTTTCTCTATCTCCAAAATATGCGTCCAAAACTTCATCCAGTTGCCATTTTTTCACATGTAACATAGCCAACAAGTCACTCTCTGTACATCTTTCCAAATTGAAGCTCTGCAACTTCTTCAACGCGTTGAGAAAGTGTGATTGGATGAAATTGTCCATGCTCCAAGGATGATACGCCGTTCCATTGTACCCGACATTGACGGAGTCATCAACCACCACTTTTGACTGTGGAGTGTCCAAGGACTTTTCTGTGTCAAATATCTCGCCACCATCTGATTCAAACGATACATCTGAATCCTCTTCGTATTGCTCTTCCTCGGAATCCTCAAACTCGAAGTATTCATATCCTTCTTCTTCCTCATCGTTAACTTCTTCATTGCTGGAATCTCTGTCTCTCTCTGTCATGTTGGGTTGGTTGTGGACTAGTTGGTGGGAAAAAGATTAACAAAGTGTTAATAAAAGAATAGGAAATTACAAACGGGGAAAAAAAGGAAAACCAAAAAAATACAAAAACTCTCCTACTGCAGACTAGAGAGAGTGTATACAGGGGTCATGTAGAGAAATCCAAGAGGCATGGTAGTTAAGGTAAAGCTACTTATTATCGATGGCTATTACTGAGGGAGAAGTTTGTAGACTTTGAACCCCGTTTTGGATCATTTTGAATAAATGGTCTGTGCTTTTGCCCGGCTGTCGCAATTTTGTCGCAGCTTTGTCACAACCATTATGCGACGCGACATTGTCAAAAGCTCCAAAAAGAAAACATCATCGGACGCGGACACTATATGCAGGAAGGTTCATCACTATTTAACGAACAACTTTTTCAACCTTGAAAATTTTTACCCTCTTTTTCTTCTTCTTTTCTCCTCAACATCAGTAGTGTTAACTAAATGATTAACATATTACATTTATAAGAGAAAATAGAATGCTGAATTGGAGATGATCTTTCGATTCTGTATTTCTACAAAGATTTATAAACCCAAGCTAGTCAACTATAGCAACGTCTAACAAACGTCCATTGTAGTTGACTCGTTTCATCTCTTTAGAAAGATATGAACTTAATGCCCAACTCGATAGTGGTTTTTTACAAATGGAATTCACTCTTGGACATAGTTCTACATTTATATAATCAGGTCTTGAGTAGGTACAATTTGTAGTGTGAATGTCTCATCGAAGAAGGTTCTAAAGATTGGCAAGAAAGGGTGCAATTAGTTTTTAGTCTGGAAGTTCAAAACAGACGAGTCTTGGAGTATGCACCTAAAGATATCTTCAAGTCAGTATCAACTTCTTCGAGGTTGAACTCCTTGGCCCATGACTACAGTTCAAAGTAACAGGTCTGCTAATAAAATGATTACGTAACATATTACGTAATCCACAGAAGGAATAATTTTTTCTTTGATGACAAAATCTCTCAACTTCAGTTTTGGTCACAGATTGCCTTTGACTGCTCATCCCCCAAACAAACTTTAAACCATGGCTCACAGATTGTTGGTAAATGTAATATTCACCGGTGCATCGGTATTTGGAAGAGCATTCACGGAAGCATACAAACAAGCCGCTAAAGCTTCGGCTGCCGGGGCCGCAGCAGGAGGACCAGCTAAAGCAGCTTCCCAAGGAGGTATATCCACCGAGGAAGCGATGAAGATTTTGAATCTAGAGAAAAATGAGGTCTCATTGGATAAGATAGAGGAAAAGTACAATTACTTGTTTGATGTCAACGCTAAAGAGAAGGGTAACTCATTCTACCTCCAGAGTAAGGTGTACTATGCGATGGATACATTGAAGAAGGAGCTAGAGTATTTAGAAAAGTTGAAGGAGAGCAAGAATGGAGCGGCGTCAGGTTGATGATGTGTATATAACTGTAAATAGAATGAAAATACAAGTGTAATAAAGCTAAACGATATCGTAAAGGATTTTAACCAAAACACAAAATATTTCAATTTTTCTATACGAAAACAATTTAAACAACAACACCCACACCAAGACTAACTTTCATTTTTGCACAATCCATGGGTAATCAAGACGAAGACCAACTACTAGAGGATGCGTCGACATTGTTGATGTTTGCCACTGCGGCTGCACAGCAACAGTCACCAACAGAGTCTGCGGCCTCGCCACCGCTGGAGCCTGCTAATCAAGCACAACAAGAAGTGCCGTCGCACATAGTTACTATATCAACGTCAAACCAAGCTCCAAAGGTTCAGCAGCTGGCCCTGGCACCTAAGAAGAGCTCTATTCTCAGTTTGATGAATGATGAGCCAAACCAAGATACAGCGCCAAAGCAAGAGACACAGCCAAAGGCAGAGCCAGTTCCCTCACGAAAGACTGCCTCGCCTCCGTCAAACTTACCAAAACAGGGTGTCTTTAAACGAACACATGAAAGAAGTCGGTCGACGCCAGATGCACAGAAGCACATGACACCCGGGTATGAGCGTGGCATTGATTTGAGGAAAGGAGAGAGAGACGGTAATAATGCTGTAATAGCTGCGGCGGCATTGACAGCTGCTGCTGATATCCCCTTCCCCTTGAAGCAAAAAGAACATCAAAATATCCCTCTGTTGGAAATGTATCAAGTAGATCAGGACTCGGGTATTATTGGATGTATTTGTGGCATAGAAGACGATGATGGGTTTACAATACAATGCGATATATGTTATAGGTGGCAACACTGTGTGTGTATGGGATATGAGAACGGACAGGAAGTTCCAGAAGACGAGTACAAGTGTTATTTTTGTGACCAGTTAAAGTGGGGTAAATTCGACCCAGCCATTGCCAGAGAAAAGACGTTGGCCAGATTGGAAGCTGAACGGATGGAGCAAGAGGCAAAAGAAAAAGCAGCAGCTGAGGAAAAAGCGGTAAGGGAGGTGAAGGTAGAAAGTAACAAGAGGAAGCAGCCGAGTGCTGAGAAGGGAGACAAAAAGAGAAAGTCAGAAGAAAAAGTTGTTGTGAAGGAGGAAGAACCCAACGAGGTGAATGATGATTTACCGAATAAGGACAATGAATTATTGGAGGAAGGAGTAGTTGCAGAACCTTACCAATCCGTTTACTATCAACTAAAAGAGAATGATTACAAGAGACAAGGTGTAAAAACGTTTCTTAATCATGTTGGGATAGAGTTTTACAAGGAGTATCTCAATCTACCAAATGAGGAACAAGAGAAGCTAAACGTTGAGGTGATGCCGGTAAGTCAATTCAAGTCACTTAAAATGAGTAGGATAATACGGCCGAGGTTGGCCAGATATCTCCAAGAAAACAACAGATTGGAAAAGAAAAAGAATTTCAACAAGACCAAGATCGAAGTCAAACCTTATACAGATAACCTGAAACAGAAGTTTAACGGTATTTCAAAACTTTCCTTGTTTATAAGCACGGCCGATGAATCGTTAATAATACCCGAAGAAACTCCAATTATTGAATATTTAGGAGAGGTTGATTTCTTTCAAGATTACTGCCTTGACAAGATAAATCAGTATGCCCATTGGGGCACCACTAAACCAAAAGTATTGAAAACAGAGGTATTGACAACGGGTTTCCACCCCGTTGAAATGGTTGTGGACTCAAGGTTTGTTGGTGACGAGAGTCGCTTCATTCGAAAGTCTTGCTTTTCGTCGTCAAATTGCAAGATACGCCCCGTATATCTTCCAGACACCAACAAGTTCAAGTTTCTTGTTGTTACATCAAAACCTATAGTATTAAAAGGCGAGAATTCCGATGAGGAATTGCGCTTACCTTGGGAATGGGATCCAACTCATCCGATTTTGAAGCTATATGAAAATAATAGCACCGAGAAATTTGAAAGCTTGACCAATGAGGCCAAATCAGCTTTGATTTCTTATGTTGATAATATTTTGCAATTTGTTGAATGTGGATGCTCGACCAACTCCAACTACAACAATTGTGCTATATTTAAGATTAAGAAGGCAACGAGTTACCTTATGAGGTCTACAAGGAAAGCCGCCAATTTGAACAACACCGCAGCTAAGACTAAAGAAGAGTTGGTTTTGCCACGTCCAAGTAGGAAGTTTGTTAGCTGGGAAGAGCGAATAGTTGCGCGTGATTTACAATTACAAGAGAAGTTGTTGCACAAGGCTGGCAAGACGATGAGAGTAGAGACCAGTGATCCTCCCAAAGTCAAACCTAATGTGTTGTTTAAGATGCCGTACAAGCAGGAATTGTTATTACGAGCTCGCCAGCAACTAGGATCTACGGTGCAGTTGAGAGTAGAAGCAGAAATAGGAGGTGAAAATGAGAGTAATTCGGAGAAGGAAGAGGAGGAATATGCTAATGGAGATGTAAATGATCTTGCAATCCCAATTGTCCCCGAACTTGTAACTAATATCGAATTACAAGTGTGCCTGGAATTGAACTTGAATGAGAATAACTCTAGCAAGGTAAAGACTGAGCACGAGGTGCAGCCATTGAGTCGACAACAGCTGCAACTGCAGATACATGTAATGAATGATCGGAGTAGACCAGCATCTGAAGAGACTAAACCAACTAAGAAGTTATCGCTTGCTGAGTACATAAAGACAAAGTCATAGTAGTAGTATAATCCATTGATCAATAGACACATTTAATACTTCTTCAGACGCCATGTTTTAATGTAGCAAAGTCTGGATGGGATAATGAGTGGCGATGTTTATAGCATACTTCAACCACCACTGTCAAATCAATGAAGATAACTCGATGATGGGTTACATTTTGTATTAGCTGCATTACCACTTTTTGTTTAAAATAGTAGATTTAATTTGATCATGCTTTTTTCCAAAATCGTTACCAGGTTGACTTGACAACTGAAGAATATATAGCACGCTTCCCACCCATCATTAACAAAAAAGATCAAGAAAACAAAGAGTGCAAATTGAGGGGAAAATATTATTACACTAAAACGCAGAAACTCAGTTTTTTACAATAAAGAATAAAGCAAAGCATTAATAAAATATGTATATAGTAGCCCAATAAGTTAGTGTTGTCAGTTATACTGTACTTGATTGGTGTAGTTGGTTATATTATGTTATTTTATAATAACTTTCTTGCTTAGTTGATCCCCTTCTCATTATATTTATTGGGATTCTACTGCTCTATTTATACACTTTTCTCTCATACCATAGATATAGCGCTACCAAATGTTTTTGCTGTAATAATCACATTGAAGAGATCAATTGCTCAAATAGATGATAGATCACCAATCAGTTTTTCTTACAAACCAGTCATTCTAATATACCCGTGTGTAATTAAAAGCTAAATACAAAAAAAAAGAATATTCTATACAAAATACTAAAACAACAAAAATAACCACAAACTTTATGGTTTAGATTGCCCCAAAACTAGTTTCCGCCCCCGGAAAACAAAACAATATAAAGAAAGGAATGCAAAACAGAAAGATGGATCACAACTGGTATACTATGTATATATATATGTGTGTGTGTGTGTGTGTGTTATATGAATAAATGGCCCCCCTATTATTCATACATATGAGCATCCAATGTGTGTCCCTCTTATAATTCTGCATTTGCCGAAATGAAATCAAGCAAGTTTAAAAAAAAGAATATTAATGAATTAATGAGTGAATGAATGAATAGTGATAGTGGTGTTAGATGTCATTAGTCATGTAGGTTAGCCGGATAGCTTATTCTGATTCGTAGAAATGAGAGCTGGGATTGTTCATCTATGTGTGTGTGTGTGTGTGTGTGTGTGTGCGAAAACCAACCCCAAAACCTCCTTCGTAAAACTATCAAAGTCTATACCGACATCTCCTTAGTGTGCTATCTCTAATAGTGCTCTTTATTAGCTTGCACCAACTTTTCCGATTCGACATCATCTGAACCTTCAACGGCAACAGTTCCATTTCCTCGAGCATTTTGAGCAGCAGCAGACTCTTCAAAACCTTGCAATTTAACTTTAGCAAACAATTCCTCCTTTTCTTTATTACTCAATTCAAGCTTCTTCTTACCCTTGATGTGATACATTGGGTTCAATTTGACCAAGGTCAACTTCTTGGTGAATGGCAAGTGTCCGTATTTTTCTTCGTAAAGCATCAACATCAAGACGGCAATAACGGCAAGCCAATAGATATTGTATCCGATAACTGATCCATAAGTGGCTGAGTTTTGCCATCCTAAAATTGCATTAAACACATCCCAACCATTATCAGTCTCTGGGTTACAGCAATTGACATGCCACACTGACTTGGCAATGTCATAAGTACCTGGACCAGAACCATTTTCAGAAGCGTCACCACCAGTGGCTTGGTTGTATTTGTAAGTTTCAAAGTACCAAATACCTCTCGAGAACAACCCGGCAGCAATCAAATACAAAATACCAGTCGAGATGATCAAAAAGATTTGCATTGACAAACTGGATCCAAAGTAGTACAACAAGGTACCAACGGCAATACCAGCGATTAAACCAACAATAACAGGGATAGGGAAACTGGTGGCTGGTTTGTCCAAACCAACACCACCAACGAAAACAACAGCTTCCAAACCTTCTCTTAAACAAGTAATGAAAGGCAAGATAAACAAAGCATAACGTTGAATAAAATTGGAAATTCTTAAACGTTGAGCCCATGATTTCTTTTCACCATTCTCCAGCTTAGGTTGCTTAACCAAGGCTTGAGCCAACTTGACTCTCCATTTTTCCTTCATCTTGTTGATTCTCAACATGGGAATACCCATCAATGAAATCAATACAGTGGCAATAATACAGAAAATACCTTCCCATAAATCCTCCGATTTCGACCAAATATCTTTACCCAAACCATAGAAAGCACCAATAAAAGCACAACCAATAATTAAACAAATGATAACTCCTAGAATGGCTCCTAGCCAAATTTGTCGCCGTAATTTCTTGTATACTCTTGGATCATCGTTGGATGAACCTAAACCTTGTTTCAAAAAGGCAAGAAGCACTGACACGACAATGACTGCTTCCAAGGTTTCTCTAAACACAATGAAAAAGATTTGGACGTTGAATACGTTAACCATCTTTGCTGTAGTTGTGTATTGATATTGGTGGTTGCAAAATAATTAGTCTAACTCCTGACAAGAAAAAAATATATAGTGTCGGTAATTAATATTTTCTTAGCTCCTAGGGGTATTTTGCAATCAAGTCAAAAAAAGCCAACTAAAAGAGTGTGTGTAGTGTTATTAAGGAGAAATAAAGTACCTCTAATCAATTGATAGGTGGTAGTTTATATTATTATTCCTTTTGGTTGTATTGGTGGTGGTTGGTGGTTCTAGTAGTATACAGATGATATACCCTAATGAGTTTAGTTAGTTTTTTGATGTTAACTGGTTGAGCAAATTTAAATTATCTTCTTCTGGGAGAGAGAGAATTTAGAGGATACTTATATATTATCTACTTTACAATGGCACCAAACCCATGTCAAAACTTCTATAAAGTGTTTTTTCAAATAAATCATCTCACTTTTGATTTTTTAACATTTTGTTATTTGCAAACTTATTACAAGTTTATTGTTTGTATGTTTTATTGTTGTTGTAATTGGTTTGTGTAAAATTAGCTTTTCTTTTAGTGTGCACTGTTTAAAATAAACTTGTTAATAAATGAATATGATTGGATGAAACTTATTAATAGTATTAACAAAGAGTAATAAGGTGCATAAAATAAAATTGACTTTTGACAAAATATTTTGAGGTGTGGATATGCATAAGAGTGTATATGCATTAGTATAAGTAAGTAAGTAAGTATGTATGTATGTATGTAAAGTTTTTATCAGTTCCATCAATTGACTAACATTAGAATTAAAACTAAAAGAAACTAAAAAGTTCTAATAAATGGTTCTATTGTTATGCATAACTGCATAAATGTAATAGTTACAACAATAATATATAATAGTGACAATGGTAATCCCCCTCTGTAAGCGCTTTGATTTCTTTTTCCATGTGGGTTTTATGAAAGGGAGAGGGATGTAACATCAAAAGGGTGCGTCTGTCTTCTATTAATAACCCAGATCAAGTGATTGGTGTGTAACAACCACGTTGGAGCTCGTATTTTCTTGCCTTAGAGAACAGAAGATGAAATTAACTAGAAACAGTAATAGTAGGAATAAGGGTGATTCATCGTCTATCTTTGTTTAAACGTTTTGGCTATTCATCTTTTATTTTTCTCCAGTGCTACAGGGCGAATGGATTACGTTTCATTATTTTTATTTTTTTGATATTTATGGTTTACGATTTAATGCGAATGATTGGAAGAAATAAATGCAATGCAGAAGAGTTTATACAAAAATTAGAGGGGGTAGTGACAAGAATTTTCTTTAATGTGGTTGGAGTGTCTGATTTCTACTGATGGCATCTGATTTGATGAAAAAGATAAACCTCCCAGAACCACACTTTGTGGATATTCGTAATGCTAAGAAAAAAGCAAAAAAAAAAAAGAATCAAATGGAAATAAAGCTGTCAAACTGCTTTGTGCACAACAACAACAACAACAACAACAAACAGTTTACACAGTTGGAAATGGGATGCGGTTGGGGGAAGGAGGGGTGTTGTTTTGAAAATATTGTGTGGTTATTGGCTGGTTTCTCCTGAGACTCTCTTACTTCTTTATTACTCTTTGTAAGTAATAGTTGGGTATTTGGGATGATGTACCAATTTGTGTAATAATATATTGTGAATAAACAGTACCTCGGTTAAATTTAAATTCAAAATTATTGTTTTGTAGTAGCCGCCTTTGTTTTGGTTAACAACAGACAAATAAACAAAAAAAAAAAATCCTTTTTTGCTTTTTCGTAACCAGACATTGTTCATTTTTTTTTTTTATTTTTCGTTTGTTCGTAAGTTTCCTCTATTCTTCACTTTTTATTCTTCTTCTCTACTCCACATACAATATCGTATTAAATAGGCTTAGTTAGATCCTTTTTAGGGGTTATAAATAGAACCAAAAAAATAAAAACCCCTTGTTTCTAAAAAGATTTTCGTTAAGGACATCTGTTCAAATGCTACAAGACAATACTGAAGATTCTACAAATATTTCCTGTTTGTCTGTCTGTCTGTCTGTTGGGTAATTGTAATTTATTTCTCCTCTTTTTCTTGGCGGGACTTTTTTGTTTTTTAATTCCCGCTTTTCGGTGTGTGTCTTTTAACTTTCTTGGCATTTTTCTGTTTTATTACAAACAGACACAAAAAAGTATATGCAGTCTGTTTACAGTTGAGACCCACCGTGATTTCAATTCTTCCAATAAGCCCACCCGACATACTTTTACTTAAGCGGATACAACAAGCTCAAAGTATAAAGCGCTCAACATGCATGAAGGGAATTTGAACAATATATATATATATAGCCTATAATATATTGATATCAACGTCTTAGGAGGCACAGGTGACAATTACATATGTGGGGAGAACGGCGTGTATATACCTCCAGTCGGACCCACAACCATCATTGCCGTGTAGTCAATCTTTTATAAGCATGACCGTGCGAATCAAAATTAGTAAAGATGTTTAGAAACACAGAAAATTCGGTTAATAACAGTTTGGCTGAATGTGATCCCACTTTCGTCAATGATTGCGAGTTAGTTAGCTTTGTTAACCAAAATTTAATTAGCTCTAAAAGACTCAATACATAGTGAATTACATGGTATAGCGAAGAGAAGCATATTATGTTTAAAGTTTGACAATCACTGGTGTATATAAAAAGGTTGGAAGGTTGATATATATTTGTAGAGTTACTCTAATATGGATGTACCAACCATAAATTGGATTTGCAGCTAGTTTTGATTGTGTGTATTTACCAAAATAACTTACGAGCAAATAAGTGAGAATTAATCACAGGTCAGAGAGTACCTCTTCCTACAACAAGATAACTGATCGAAACCAAGTATGAGAGATTTGTTGCTTACAGTAGTGCTTTTGCAAGTTTTTGCAAGAGCAGAACAATACTTCTCTCATACAAGGCTATATGACAATAATGACACGTTAATGATAGGCAGTAGCCCTGAGTATGTTGATAAGGGAGATTCTGGTACATGTCTGAGTGTGTTTTATACATTGCAGCTACTCAACGGGTCGCGCATGGAAACGTACATAATCGATACGTTTCCATATACGCCTAGTGAAGATGGCAATTGCGACACGACGGCTAAGGTGGAGCATTTGTCCCATATATTACAACGACGTTTACCTGATATTGATGCTAAAGATTGCTGGCCAGAGTTGTGCTGAGCTTTAAATAACGGTGGAATATGACATGGTGATGTGTTGTTGGCATTATTGGATGATGCAGAAGAGTATGTTGTGAATTCCTGGCTTATTCCGTGTCTGAAAACTAAGTATTCTGAATAGAATGTATTATATAGAACAACACATATAAATGAATCGAAAGAGGAAAAGGTCTAATAAAATAAAATACTATAGACTGGGAATGGGACTAAAATGGAGCTCACGTAGTTTTGTAATTGGTGACGTCATCGTCAGTGATGGCATATCCTCACAAGTTGCAAAGAAGTAGTTATCCGCCCAAGAATAACAACTGTGGAATTGAGTGTTAACGTGTACTTATAAGTAGTTCATTTCTTGTATCCGTAATAACTTCTTAGTCTTTATTAAATATATTTTTTTGGTTTCTTTTTTGCAGCAAAACAACCTTTATTCACAAATTGCAACCTACGAGTATATTACATCCCTACTCAGGAAATATCAATTATGATACCAAAATTTAAAATGTACTTCTACTTTGCTTTTTCATTCTTCAATAAAGCTTATTTGACACTAAATACTTCTCATTATAATATACCTTTTCCTGCACATTATCGTCTCGTAACTCACACTCACACAGCGCAAACCTAGACATCTAATTCCAACTGTAGATTCATTGACACATCTTGTTCTTGCTCATTACTAACATCAGCTGTGTTGTCAATATTAGTGGCATTAATAGATCGGTCTTCACCTTCACCTTCACCTTCACCTTCATTTTCTCCTCCTGCTGTCTCAACATCAACATCTAAATCCATTATTTGATGTCCTCTTGGTATATCTCCATCAGCAGTCCTATTTTCAACATCCTTTTCTTGTTCAGTCAATTTATAATATACTTCTCCCAACTTACCAGCATTCTTCTTCAATCGTTGATAAATGTCATTGGAAATTAATTGTAATTTCTTCAATGATATTAATTTCAAGGCGTATACTGATAAATCTTTTTCCAATTGCCATATTTTGTCTTGCTTCATTTGTTCTTCTTTGGCCTTGAAAAGACGTTGTTGTTTCTCACGGCGAATTCTCCTCTCTTCCTCGTCATCATCGTCATCATCACCATCCTCTGAAAACGCAGTTGCTTCTTCATTGGCACCCATCTGGACATCAACATATTCTTCATAGTGTACTCCTTCCTCATCATCTCTGTCTAATTCAATTTCAAGTGCACTAGCCAATTTAACTTCTTTAATCAAAAACATCTCCAATAACTCCATTTGTAAATCGGGTTTAATCAGAATGACATATTTATTCAGTCGGAAATACGATTTAAAATGACTGAAGTTATTATCATCATGAAACTTGGTATAAAATAAGCGAAACGAAATGATCAAATTGATATACTGATAAGTCACTTGACATTTGAAACCAATCAATTTTGTTAAATCTTCTTGATTATGTTCAGCTATAGTCATATCCTTTGTTTCATCAATGTATCGAATTAAATTACTGACAACATCCCCCACCATCTCCAACTCCAACTCAATGTCAATATGTTGCTGCTGTTGATTTGGAACATCAATTAATTTCTCAAACTTCCATCCCACAATAATAAATACCAATTCGACAATCGATATAAAAGCCTGCGAAAATTGCGGTAACTGCAATATAAAATTATGTTTCCATTGGTTTAAAACCACATTCAAATCAAATTTGTTAAGTATTCGATTGTTGAATTGATAAATTAAATCATCAATTTGTTCCAAATTGGCAATGTTTACATAATGGCTAATCAATTTAATCTTGGATACCAAAATGGAGGTTTCACGACATAGTTTAATCACATGTTTCTGTCGATTCGTCCACAACACAAAATCATGATCCATATCAACTTCCTCGTTGCTATTGTGTAAATTGATGTCACCTTCTTGCTCTTCTTCATGACTGTCTCGCAAATACACGATGGTACTCCCAACCAATTCATTAACAATTCTCTGTATTTCAAATTTAATTGATTCAGTTAATCCTCGCAGATTAAACAATTTTTCAAAAAATATTGCAAATTCATTGACTAAACTAAATTCATAATAATATTGCAATATTGAATGAATCACATCCTCATATTGATCAATCTTATCCAACTTGATGTAATAATTGAATATACAATTATGTTTATCATCGATCAAATCTTGCCAAATGGATATAAATATCTTGTATCGATTGTTTGATTTGGAGCAAAATGTTTGCAACTTAGGGATATAGTCAATGAACTGGGTAATAATTGCTGACTTTGTTTCCTCCTCTTCTTCTTCTCCTCTTCGCCCCCCACCCTGTTTGCTAGATTTCTTTCTCAAGGTGGCTTTAATTATACCGTGTATAGCTTCAAGTAAAGTTTGTTTCTCAAAATCATCAAGTTGAATCAATTGCTTAACTTGATCAAGATCCAGGTTCAAATCGTCATCATCGTTGTCAGCATTTTTATCTCTCAACTCGGCAATATCAGTCAACAAATAATCAAGAAAACATCCCAACTTTGTCGAGTAAACCAGACTCATTGCAATCGACTCAAATATCACTTCCAATGGCTGTTCCTGTTCAACAAGAAAACTCAATTCTTGAGCCAATACTTTTATCAGCAAGATATCCCTCACATCATGGTCACGTAAAACAAACGTATTCTGATCAAATAGCAATTGGTTTTTTTCCAAAACTTGTTTTACTTTCTCTTCAGTAGCCACTTGGATAAACTTGACAAATTCATTTTGCAACTTCAATTTCGTTGAAGACTCAAATGGGAACGCTTTGATAACTGAGTGTTTATTGTCACCATTTAGGAATCCCATCTTGATCATTTCGGTTAAAATTCCACAACAATGGGCTCGAACATTTGTATCAGCATCAACGGAACACATGGCAACAAATTGTGGTTGGAACTTTGCTGAAAACTGGGCTAATCCATCAACAATATCCTGATTCTTGTTCAACTTGTACAATTTTAGTAAATCACGAGTGATTTCGTTGCGGACTTGATTTATCGGATCAGATAATAACCAACCAAAATACTTTAAGAATTGCGATTGGCAGAAATACGATGGATAGGAAATCATTGTATCAATCAAGTACTTGACCACACCAAGCCTAATCTGAGGATCAGAATCTTTGTATCTTTGTGAAACAACCGTTGAAGTGATTTCATCAAAATATTCATTCAATGTGTTTAATTGCGATTCATAATTGTCAATGGTGGACTTGATCGTCTTGTATTTGGTTGATCTCTCATCTGTCAATTTATATAAGTGCTTTCTTGACCTATCGAGATTAGTAGTGATTGATTTACCAATTTTACTCAATTCCAATTGCATAGCTAGGGATATTTCTGTACTTGTAAAACGCAATGATCTAACAGCAGATCCACAAAGATTGGTTGCCCATGTGATTAAATATGACATCAACTGGGACTGGCTCAGGGAGCTGCCACCATCGTCGGCGTTGGCTTCTGTGTATGATGGATACAATAATCCCTTTTCATGACATATTTCAATAATATGTTGGAAAAATTGCAACACGTTCTTTTTAAAAACGGGCACAAGTTTAAACGGGAACTTATGGGTAGATTGGTTACCAAATGCCAATGTAATCTCTTCAACTGTACTACTAGCACTTTCCAAATTTGTTAAATCATGGGGTTGGAAAAGGTGGAATGAACCACAACTTCTTAAAATTAAATTGATCAATAACGTGACTGAGGTTGAGTCTGTGTTGGCCAGAGCTGATTCTTCTTCATATGTTTCAATCCATTCTTGTGCAAGATCAAGTATGTTGATCTCGGGACTTGATAAAGCTTGATACAAGTAGTTCTCTTCCCAGTCATCCTCCAACTGTGGTTGTTTATTCTTTCCTTTACGATTTTTCTTTGATTTAGTGTTAGATCCTTGATGAGTCTGCTGGTGGTTGCTTCTCCCACTAATTCGTTGCCTCTTTGACGTGTTTGCGCTTGTGGTGGTGGCGTTGGTGGTGGCCCTTCTCTTGGTTGATTTGGTAACGTGATTGAGTACATTCTCTTTATCCTGTTCTTCTGAAGGGACATACGCCTCATTATCCTCTTCTACATCACTTGACTCATCATAATGCACGGGTCTCTTGTTATTTCTAGTCAGCCTTCTTGTGGTTGACATGGTGAATAGCTAAAACTCTTTGGTGTTGCAAATCGGGGTAGTTAAAGAAAAACAACAGTTGAAATATAAAAACAAACAACAATATTCACACACTACACGCACACTACGCACACAACACACACACGCGTCAGGAATAGAAAAGTAAAAATATAAAAATAAAACTGAAATTGGTAGCTCTGCCACAAAATGGTAGTGTACTTGAGTCAACGGAAAAGAAGAGAAAGAAAAAAAAAATTATTCATATTTTGCGAGAAAGAGAAAGAGAGAGAGAGAGAGAGTCAAAACCAAAACGATTAGATGGAAAATTCGCTAAAGCCGATAAATCTGTAAATCAACATCACTAGTGGATCTGATACTACTCAACAATATACACGCGCATTACATCAATCACACATTATTATGTCGACTGAACCAAGCACGCAAGAGAATGGGTCTACACCAGTAATAGACAACCATCAATCTAATAGTGAGCAACAGCCAGAACAACAACAACAACAACAACAACCGGAAACTGAACCCACAGAAGAACAGAAACCTAACGTGGTCGATATTGAGCAATTACAAAAGGATTTTCAAGAAAAATCACGCAAATATCTCGCTGAACAAGCTCAACATGTAATCATCCCATCCTTTGCCAAATGGTTTAATCTCAATGAGATTCACCCATTGGAAAAGAAATCTTTCCCTGATTTCTTTAGTCAAGACTCGATATACAAGACGCCACAATCGTATAAATATATTCGAGATTTTTTGATAAACACGTTCCGATTAAACCCCAAGGAGTATTTGACTATAACTGCCGTTCGAAGAAACTTGGCAGGGGATGTCACCAACATTATTCGAATCCATCAATTTTTGGAAAAATGGGGGTTGATTAATTATCAGATAGATCCAAAGACTAAAGCAACTGCATTGGGACCACAATATACGGGACATTTCCAAATCACTTTGGATGCGCCTGAAGGGTTGATTCCATTTGTGCTGGAGGATGCCAAGTTGATTAAAGAGAAGGCAGGAAGCATCACAGATGGAGGAGCTAGTCAAGAGACATCTGTGCATCCTACTATCAAGAAAGAAGAAACCAGCGTTGGTAATGCATTGCCATTGAATATGGAAATCAGAAGAAATGTCTATTCAACAGGCGAATCTAAATTCGATTTCAAGCCTCAGCATAAAGTCTCCTATGCATGTAGTATTTGTGGTAAAGATGCCACAGAAGTCAGATACCACAACTTGAAACTCAAATCATATTCATATAACCCCAACTCCACTATAAATAACGCAAGTATATTATGTTCAATATGTTATGACCAAGGATTATTCCCGCTGAATTTCACATCATCCGATTTCGTTCAATTTAAGGAATTAACGGAGCGTGAAACATGGTCCGAGCAGGAAATTTTATTATTATTAGAGGGAATTGAAATGTTTGGTACTTTTGAATCAACAAGTAATTTAATTGCTGGATCAAACATTAATGTCAATGCTCAAAACCAATGGTCGAAGATTGCAGAACATGTAGCTACAAAGACCAAAGAAGAGTGTTTGACAAAATTTTTGCAATTGCCAATTGAAGATAAATTTTTGCATAAATTAATCGGTGAACAGAAACAGCAGCCAGGTCTGCAAGTGTCCCAAATTGGCAATGGGCACCACAGCTCTCAATTGGATAAATCAAATTTAGTTGAAGAAGTGGTTGCAAAACTAATTCAGTCGAATGAAGGTCAGGAGGTGCTTACCCAAAATTCAAGTGAGGCCAAACAACAAGCCATTACCCAACAACAAGATTTAATCAATCAAATAACTGACCTTACTGTGGAAAAGGTTAATTTGAAATTAGCCAAAATTGATCAATTGCAAACACAATTGATTTCCACGACTAATCAATTGCAGTTGGAACGTAAACAGGTACAATTGACAAGATGGGCCCAATTGGATAAAATCGCCAAGTTGAAACAAAGCCAACCTGAATTGGGTGACATCTTGTCCGATTTGATGAAGCCAGTTACGATTAGCGAGATTAACTCTAGCTCCAGTGTGAATGGAGCTGGTGATGGAGATCAGAAGGAGAACAATGCGATGGATGTGGATGTAGCTGATGATACACATGGCATTCACAAGAGTAGTGGTAATGATGATGATTTTGGCCCAATTAGTGTTTCAAAACCAAAAGAATACCAATTCTGGTCCGGTTAGATAAAAAGGAAATCAACATTGCATAATGAAATGTATGGCGACTCGCTTTAAAAGAATATTGTATAATAAATGTACTAAAACCCTTGAAATAAATATAAAAGTATAAAAGCTATATATAGAAAAATCATAAAATCATGTTGTGGTTCTTTATACATGGGGGTCGGGGAACATTATCTCATGAACGAATCGATTCACTACTAATCTGTGAGTGCAAGTCCGGCTGAAGTTGATGATGAAGTTGATGTTGATGTTGCTGGTTTTGTTGGCCGGGTGGTAATGGTAATGGTGATGGTGATGGTGATGGTGATGGTGACCGTTCAGGTTCGACGATTTGGGGTACTTTAGTTGAAGCAGTGCGCATAGAGACAGGTTGTGGGTAAACTGGGTACGTATCCGATGATTGTATTGATGTTGGTATTGGTGTCAGCGTAGAGGATGTTGCTGCTGTAGCGGCTGCTTGTGCTGACGATGCAGTGATTGGCCCTCTTGGGATGACGTTATTGGTACCAAATTGCATACTATAACCAGGGTTCTGTGGTTGTGGGTGAGGATAGTGTGCAACATGATGCATCTGATTTCCTGCTGGAGGAGTCACCGGTGGAGCTGGGACTCTAGCATTGTGACTCTGGTTAACAGTCTTCTTCAAACTGGGGAACATCTCCTGATAGTGAGCTTCGGTGCTACCGTTCTTGTGCTCCAATGTAGCCAACGACGATGAACTATGTTGTTGCTTTCTCCTTGCATATATTGATGATGGGATCACATGATCAGTTTCAGTAGTGCTCGTTGCATCACTTTCTAAAGGATCGAATTCATCGCCATCTTCTCCTAATTTATCATCATCTTCGTCAGAATGGATATGTATATCAGGTTGATGAAACATACCATTATTTTGATGTGATGAAGGAAGATGTCTCTGTTGATAAGTGTAGTTACTCAGTGATGTAGTAGTTGATGCATATGAATCGGGTGTAGGAATTGGGGCTGGTCGATACTGATCATTAGTTGAAAATGATGGATTACTTACATCAGTTGAACTCAGCCCGCGTTTAGATGAAAGGATTGATCCAATTGATCGTGATGATTCCAAGTTACGCGAAATACTATGACGTTCACCACCCAGGAGTTTTCTTGATGGCCTGAAATTATGGCCAATACTGCCATTACCTCCAACGCCGCTGCCATAACTGATACTGCCTCCACCTGATTTAATCGAATTACTTTCTGGTGAAAGCATAGCTGATGATTTATTTTGTGCTTGGCATTTCTTGTATAAATCGATAAATTGTCTTCGATAGGAGCTGGCAATGTCTTGACGAAATACTCGAATTAATCCATATTGATCAGTAGTGACAATTATGTCTCCTTCCCCGGGGCCTTCATCAAACCTAGCACCTTCTTTGCTGGAATGGTCTGCACATCCAGGCACTGATGCACATATACTCGGATCCATCTTGCATGCTTCACCTCGTTTCTTCAAATCAAATATCAAATCATCAGATAGACTCAACAACGTCTTTGTTGACTCAGGCGCAAAAATAGCCACATTACATCGAGAATGATGAGCGTGAAAAGAAGCATAACTATTGTTTTCATTAGCCACGAAATCATAACGTAAGCTCTCATCATCACCGTTATCAAGCAACTTGCCAATTAGTTTATTCGAATGAAACAATTTGGTATATTTCTCATGTTTATGATGAAATTGATTCATGTGCTCTTTACCATCAATGACAAACTCTTTTAATGATTGTCTAATCTTGTTATTTATAATTCGATTATTATTTTCCCAAACATAACAAAAGTGATCTTCTGAACCGGATATTATAAATTTGTGGTTTTCATTTACCGACGCAGCAATTGATGATGAACTATTGGTTAACCCTTTGAAGCGTGTTATTAATTTCTTTTTCAATGTGCTAACCATTCTAATCCGCGAGTCATTAGTCGTGATCAACACAGTCCATTTGTCCATCGATATGTCTGCGGGACTATATGTTGCATCGTAAGTTGGATTGAGGAAAACCTCAATACCAGTTACTTTATTACCACTCTTGTCGTGAAATGCATTGACAATTGACCGTTCTTTAATTTCAGCTCGATGAAGTATATGCAACCCTTTAGTTTCTAAAAAGAATATCGATCCATTGAAACCTCCCACGACACAGCTTACTCCATCAGGAGTAAATGCCAAGGCTGTCACCAATACTTCTTCACCCAAGTTACGCCAATACGATACTGATTTTTCCAAGATTGACCATAATCGGACTTCATTGTCTAATGAGCCACTCAAGAAAAACCGATCATCTAAGGGGTGAAATTCAACTGTAGTGACAAAATCTTGATGCTGAAACGTTTGCAAGCAATTGGGTCGATCAACGTGCCACAACTTGGCAGTTTTATCCATACTTCCACTTATTAAGAAATTATTTTTACTCCATGCAAGTGATATAATGCCACTGGTATGTCCTCTTAGTTCGATTGGTGTTTTATGGAAAACAGGTGCTGAATCGAATACGGCATCTCGTTTATTACTTCGAATAGGGGTAGTGTTACGTTCACTTTGGTTGAATTCTAGTCTTCCCAATGGTGATGAAATAACTTTCCACACCCGTATTACTGAATCTCTCCCCGCCGCAGCAAGGTATTTCCCATCTCGACTAAACTTCATGACAAATATTTCTTTGCCAATACCATTACTGCTTTCAAAATTAGGAGCAGCATCTTCGTCTTCCAGAACTGGATTCAGATAGGTGTGATCTTGTTCTGCATCACTACTTTCGTTTGATTTTAAGCTTGAATTGTTGGCTTTATAATTATCAACATTTAGTTCCTGAGCAAGGAAAAGATTGTTTATAATTTTAGGGCTTTGTTTTGTATGACGTGACGTTCTAACGTATTTGGGAATTAAAAATGATTCATAGGTTAACCCATTCCAAGGTGCATCATCTTCGTTTGCTATCAGTAATGTAAGATTAGAATCGTGTATAATTTGATCAAGATTGGGGAATGCAACTTTGTCGTCAACATTGTGATTTAATATTGTACTTGACCTCTTGTGATTGGATTTAACTTTGCTCAAGATGGAAGGCGATCTGCCTAATGATACATTCAGAGAAGTGTCTGAATCATAACCCAAGGTGTTAGTATCGCCCTCTTCATCCATACCGTCGTCGTCTTCATCTCTATATAAATAGGAGTCATCGTCATTATCCACATAAAAATCTCTCCCCTCTGATAAGTCTCTTTTCCGGCTGCGACTACTACCACGAGTAGATATCTTTTGTAGCTTATCACCCTTTGATCTGCTTCTTGAAGTATTGTTGTTTGATCTTATTGACCCCGATCGAGACGTCTTGGCATTGCTATCATTGTCAGCACCACTTACACTGTTTCTTCCCCCACCTTTTCGTTTTATGAATCGATTTAGTAGATTGTTCTTCTTAGTGGAGCCAATAGTGGAAGTTGGCGACAGTGGAGGGATTGACGGAGCCATGATTGTAATAAATGGTGGAATTTAGTGTGAGTTGATTGGTAGTTTCAATTTCTCATGTGCTGTTGCTACTGTTGGTGTTAACACTTTTAATGCTGTTGATGCTACTTGTTGGTACTGTTGAAATTATTATACAAGCGGGAATTTAAATTTCTGTTACTATTAATAAATCCACCATATATAAAAAAAAGGTGTAGTCGGATCGAGTCACTTCAGCAACACAATCAAAAGTAAATAAAACCCTTTCAAAATTTCACAATTAAACGATGGGTGATGATTGTGGCAAGTAATACAAATATAGGAACTACTCCTATATGATGAGGCAGTGGTCTATCTATCTTGTGAATAAAGGGGTGGCTAACCGGTGGGCTGTGTGTGGGTATATCTGTTGCAAAAACTAAGAAAATACTCACTGAAGAATGTGTGACAGCAATTTGACTATATATATATATATATATATTAGCGTATATACATATGTCGTTTAGAGAAGTAGAAAAAAGAAGGATTAATAGTTTCTTTGTGAAAAGGAAAAGAGAAGAAGAACAAACCTACAAGACCAAAACAGTCATTCACTTTGTAATTGTTAGGTTACCCCCGTGAGTTACGATGCAGAGAGGTTTAACTATTGTGATACGTGTGTACTTGTATGTGCATGTGTTGTGTAAGGAAATGTGATGTGTCGTTTAAAAAATCCGGGAAAAAAACGGAAGATGCAAAGTGTTGCTAAACTCCGAAAAATTAAAGAATAAGAAAAGAAGAGAGAAGGATTATGTAATACAGCTAACGCCGGTCCGAAGCTTCTAAATAGATTATCTCCGAATAATTTCACAAGTACCAAACGATGAACTGAAACATGAGTGGAAGAATAGGTAAAGTTCAACAGAGACCCATCTTTTTGAGTCAAATGGTAAACAATATGTGGATACAGATCATTCAGCATCCTCCTTCCTTTACCATTGCCTTCTAAGGTTGTATAAGTCGTATATGACTTGTCAAACTTCTCTTTTGCTTTAGTGGATGTAGTGGCTTTTAGTGTCTTTAGTTGTTACTTGGTTTGGCGTTAGATATTTGCCAAGAAATACATGCAATGTTGTCTTTTTTGTCGAAGCCAATTTAAACAAGCCTCCCCTTGTCAAGGCTTTAACAATAAAATGAAATGAACTGCAAATGCGTACAGTGGAATCTTTCACAAAAGATGACATGGAGTTAAGAAGACACCAGAAACAAGATGGAAACTCTGGAGATAAGATGTAAAGTATTACACACACACACACACACGATAATTAACCCCAGGTAAGTCAAGTCACAAATTTTGCAAAACATAAGCAGCCATCTTCTTTGAAATAGAGCCATCTGAGCTATACGAAAGCTAAAAATAAAAACACACCATATGGGCCCGGTTTTTAATTATTCATCCGTATAACAAAATCCTATCCCGAATTTTTTCACACCAAAGACACCCCCCTCCCCAAAACAAAGACCGAAAGCAAACGCAAAATTCGGAGAATATTACTTCTTTCTACAGTTATGTCCTCAGAATGTACTCCGTGTTTCCTTTCTTTCCCAAAACTCCGTATATTTTTTACTAAACTTCAAGGGTTTCTAACAAGTATATCCAAACATCGCAAATAGAAAATCTCACAGCACACAGATATTAGAGATGACTGAAAATCTACTAACTCTTAACAAGTCCTTGCTCATCAATGCTTGTCGTATACACTTACACTGCAGTTCTCCTCTTCTACGTAGTTTTCTTCTTCTTAGACCATTCCAAATGCAAAATCAACGAATGGTAACCTTTACCATTCAACAAGTCCAAAGCACGTTGAGCAATTTCTTCAGTAGCAAAACTAACATAAGCAAACCCTCTACTATCACCAGTTTCCCTATTTCTAACCACAGTAACTCTTTGCAATGGTCCAAACCTGGCAAATAATTCATTTCTCAACATATCTTCATCAACAAAAGTGTTCAATTGCGATACCTTCAATGTAGTTGAATCATCTCTTGCTTCTCTTGTTGGCAAGTTACCGCTGGCATCTGGTCTTAAATGTCTTGGTACATATCTTCCTGGGCCAGTTCCAGCACCAGCACCGCCTTCACCACCAGCACCAGCACCGGCTTCTCCTTCTTGGCCTGGCTCTGGAGTCGAGCCACCTGGGGTCAATCCAGCTGCTGCTCCCAACGTATCCTTGAATGGACATTTAGAAGTATAATGATCACCTCCACATACTCTACATTTAATAGTCTGTATAGCAACAGCTTGTGCTCTTTCTTGTTGTTTATCTTCCTCTTCCTTCTTTTCTGCTTGTTTCCAAGAAAGTCCCAATTTCAATTCGACCTTTTCACCCAATTGTGTCGTTGAAGTATCAGGACCAGCAGGTTTCTTGCTGTCTTTACCATACTTGTGCCAGTTTTTACGTTTAGCAATTAAAGGATGGACTTTTTCTTGTACGACAACTTCTTTGATTCTTTGCGTTACTTTGACTTTTTTACCTTCTTGATTGGTTCTGAATGTAATGACAGTCTTGGTGCCATCGGGGTTATTTATGATATCGGGTGGTGCTGAGAATTCATCTCCTGCATCGGCCCATGACTCTATTATTCCGGAGGACATTTGTTTTCTAGTAGGTGAGTGTGTTTGATAGCGGGCCAGGTGTTGTTTGCCTCTTTTTGATGGGTTTAGAAAATTTTTCGTCTCTGGCTTTGCAATTTTTCATAAAACCTGCATATAATTAGACACGCAAAAGAAAATATCCCAATCGTTAGCATCACCAAGAGTAGCCACTGTTGAAGATGTCCACATACAACTACGGGGCTCACAAACTACAACAATTCAAAGTATGGAACTACAGCCCCCAAAATAAACATACCTATATCTATATTCATGGTGGGGCATGGCGTGATCCCAACAATACTTTTGATGAATTATCCCCCGTCGCCAACTCCACACCTGGCTGTACATTCATAGGCATCAATTACCGGTTATCACCTGAGGTCAAGCATCCGTTCCATTTAGTCGACATCGCTAAAGCAATGATTTATATTCTCGCCAATTTCAAAACCAACGAGAAACATCTATTAGGTTACTCAGTAGGATCAACATTGATACTCCAATTTTTACAATTTAAATTTCATTTCAATGAGGCAATAAGCTACTATGAGACATACACCACTGATGAGAAAAATATTGGAAACTTTAGCGATTCATTGGTTACGCAAGAATTGCTAGCATACGAAGATGAAGATCCAGTTTCCCAATTGGATAAACTAATAACGCAGGGGCAACTATACTTTAGCTCGATTAAATTCCTCGATGGTATTTATGACTTGCCTGAATTACTCCACGAGTATCCCGATTATGCATCATTTGTTGAAGAAGCTTTCCCTAGTGACAAATTAATCAAGTTGAATTCAGTATCAAACGCGACAACCCGCGACAACTATCTTGCATTTTACAATTATAACAACATTATTGACGCCAACACCAAGATTTACATTGTTCATTCGTTACAAGATGAATTGCTATCATTGAATCAAACTCATTTGCTTTGGAAGTTTTTCAATGAGACTTTACACTCAGGTTGTATCGTATTGACAGGAAATTGGGGTAAACACGATGATATTTATGGTGAATTTCGTAAAGAAATATTCTTATACAAAGAAGCAAAGTGAAATGACCGATATCATTCTTGTATAAGTGGTTATATGATGTAGGTAACGGTTGGGTTTTATATACTGTGTACCTTGTACTGCTCTTGTTACACAAATAGCAAAAGTGAAACCAAAACTCTTTCAAAAAGAGAGAATTTTTCTTTTGCCCATCTGTCTCCCCATCTTCTTTTCAACTGTAAACACTCCATTTTTTTAAAAAACAATCAATCATGGAACAAGCCCCGACCAAACAGTTATTCGTCAGACCCATCAGAGGAGACGTTCTTGAAAGTGACATTGTTGACTTTTTCTCCCCAGCTGCACCAGTTGTTGAAGTCCGTCTTATGGAAGGTTATGCTTTTGTTTCGTTTGACAATGAAGAAGATGCCGGTAAAGCATTAGATAAGTTTGTTGGAGCTGAATTTAACGGTGAACAGTTACAAGTTGAATTTGCCAAGGAAAGAAAAGAAAGCACCAGAGGTAAATACAGAATGAAGTTAGGTGGGTTACCAGAGGGTACAGCATGGCAAGATGTCAAAGATTACGTCAGGGATAAAACTGGAATCCAACCAAACTTTGTTAGGGTCTTTAGAGACTTTGATTCTGGTGACACTGTTTGTAGCTTGGAATTCGAAAGTGCCGAAGACTTGGAAAAATCAATCCCGTTATTAGACAAGTCAAATTTCAACGACGTTACGATCACTGCCGAGGAAGATACATCGCCCTTTGTCCCACCTCCCAGAAGAGGTGGGTTCCGTGGAGGAAGATTCGACCGCGGTGGGTTTAGAGGAAGAGGTGGTTACGATCGTGGTGGGTTTAGAGGAAGAGGTGGTTTCAGAGGAAGAGATGATTTCAGAGGAGGAAGAGATAGAGATGGATTTAGGGGTGGTAGAGGTGGTTATGGTGGCAGAGGTGGTTATGATCGTGGTGGTTATGGTGACAGACCTTACAACAGGGAAAGATCACCAAATAGATTTTAAAATCGTTAAAATTCCTGAATGTTTTAATTCTGTATTGTTTAAATAGTTTAAATGGTAGTAAATAAAAGTGGAATTGTTCAATAGTCTAGTCTTTGATTGCAAGATATAGTGTAAGTGTACATCGTATTTTGAGACAAGTGATCGTACTTATGCCTTCATTCTGTCTCCAAAAAGTGGGGAATGAGGCTCTTAGTTTGTCAAGAAAGGAGTAGCACTACAAGGATGATATAGTCACTTCTCTTAGTTATTATGGATTGGAGACAAAACTCTCTAAGATTTTGCAGTATCTCACCGATCGAGGCGAAACAAAATAGCGCCGTCCGCACGGAGGTGCATTACCTTTGCACCTGATCAGCACGTTACATTTTATACTAACAAATCAACAGTTTTATTACAATGTAAATTACTATGAAACTATATAAAAATTAAAACTCACTTTCTAGAAAATAAACTTCTGAATCCTCTCTTCTTCTTCTTCTTCTTCTCCTCCTCATCTTTTCCTTTATCTTGTTTCTTTGTAGTTTTGACTGGAACACTAGTGACATCCTTTCCCTTTGAACTCGATTGTTTATCACTACCCTTTGATGATCCCTTTGAACTGACCAACTCTTCTTCTGGAACAGCAACTGGCTCGATTGTTATTGGACCTTTTTCTTGAGCAGCCAATTCAGCTTCTCTAGTAAGTCTTTCTTGTTCAGATTTAGTTGGTTTTATCTCCTCAAGAGTTACGTCGTGACCTTCGCTGGCCTCAACGGCAGCGAGAATGTCATCTTGGTTACCCTGAGCGATAATGATTTCCTCCTCTTCATTGTCGTCCCCTTCATCGTCGACAACTTGAGCTGGGGCTGCGGCACTGACTCTGCTCTTTGGAGCTGCTGTTGCGTGTGGAACATCGTCCTTGGCCACTGGAGAAGCATTCACTTCTTTAGCGTCTAAGTCTGAACCAGTGATTGGTTTCACATCGGGCTCAGCTGCAAGTGTTGATGGTGCAGTTGTACCAGGAGCTGGTTCCTCTTGTCCAGCCTTTGGATCCAAAGTTTTGGGATGCTTATCATCAACAACAACTGGAGCAGTAGAGTCATGAGGATCGGCAGATACTGACTCCCTGGCCTCCTTTGCAGATGAAAAGGGGCCATGGACCGAATCCTTATGTACGATACCATCTTCAGGTTGATCTGGATGAGCATCCAGAGCCAAAGCTGAGCCTAAGCCTGCACCTCCTGCACCCCCTAATGCTGCTGCTCCCAAGACTTTAGCAGTTGAGTGGTGTTTAGGTTGATCATCTTCAGCAGAAACTGCGGTATCTTTGGTGGCTACCAAAGGTTCATTCACATCTTTGTCCTTTGGTTTTTCATACTCATCACGCACCTCCTTGTTAAGTTGATCATTCTCAGCGGCCTCATTCTTCAATTCACTTGGAGTAACTTTTGAATCATCGTTGACGTAGTCAAGGTTGGATGCCTCGTTCCCAGTTTCAATTGCTGCTGGTACAGGGACGAATTCGGCATCTTTTGAAGAATTGGGAGCTGTCTCTTGGTCAAGGACAGTGGCATCTTTATTTGGCTTAGATTTATACTGCACCCTCTTGACTTTTCTCAATTTCTCTCCCTCAGTCACAGGAGGAGAAGATGAGGATGCGTTGGTGTCATCAGTACCAGCGCCAACACCAGCGGCACCGGCTGCAGCAATAGTGGCAGCAGCAGTGGCAGCAGCAGTATCATCTGGAACTCCACTAACTCCTGCAGTTACATCTTTCGATTCCGATGGTGATGGTGCTGTTCCAACTTCCTTGACATTCTCGTTAAGAACTTTTGGGTCAGTGTCTTCGAACTTTTCAAATGCTGCTGTTTCCTGTGGAATTTGGATCCCTTGGTTAAAGTCGTCTGTCTCTGTGTTGGCAGTGCCTACTTCTTTAACATCTTTATTCAATGACTTAGGATCGGTTGATTCATATTGGTCAAAGACAGCCAATGATTCCTTGTCTTGAGGAATTTGAATACCTGGTTCTCCAGTCAAGCTTGTTTGATGTGGCTCTTCTTTGGGCAATACTGTATGTTTGTACTCGTCCAGAGATGAGCCAATTGCTGCACCTCCTCCAGTAGCTAATCCTTCATTTTTATTGGTAGTCTCATTTGTGGTGGATACATCTGGTTGTTTCGATGTAGTACTATCGTGATTGTTCAGACCATAAACCAATCCAGATTCTGGAATTAAAGCTCCGGGAATACTCACCAACTCTTTTAAATCTTCAGGATCTAAAACATTATTTTCATTTCCCTCGAAATCCTTGGTGATTTTTTCGTCTGGGTTTACTCGCCATTCCCCATCGACAATATACTTGTACAAAAGTGGTTCATTATTAACTGGCAATGGCACTTGTAAGGTAAATGTACCATCAGCATGTTTGAAAAGCGGGGTTGACTTTGACCAATTATCAAGAGTACCTGTAACAATAACTTCTTGTGGACCTTTGGGCCTAGTGAAAATTGGTTAGTAATCTCTTCTGTTGGAGAGAAACCACAAACTGTGGCTGGATTGTCATGCCACCCTCTGCAAATGATCATCGTCAATGATGAGCATGTGAACCAAAATGTTGACAATTGTGTTCCCTATGCTCTCTAATGTGAGACTACTCGGTTGTGGTTGTCAATTAGCAACTTAAGATGGCCACCCCAGCTGGTCAGGAAAAAAAAAATGCATGACGTAGACGACGACAGCCGTTTGCGGAGTTAGTGTACCAGGGTTTGCGGACACTCTCAATGGTGTAAGATATGAAAGACATACCACTTGAATTCGTAATGAGCTGACATTAAAAAACAAGTCAATTAAGATATATAGTCTGTTGTTTGTTTGTTGTTTGGTTGTCAAAAGAAAAGAAAACAAATTTAAGGAAATTAAATTAAAGACAAAAAGAAATGAAATGGAATGAAAGAACAATTTAAAAGAAACAAAAGAAGCAAAAGAAGCAAAAGCAAAGAGCATAAATTACGTCACACAAAAACTTATACGGTAAGGAAAAGAAACAAAAACAACAATTATCAAGCGGCTGTCGAGATGTTACCTCCGGAGTTACTACAGGGAACAGCATTGGTAGATTCATTCCATTAGGCCCCTCTGTACCTTTGCACTCCTCCCTCCCCCTTTTCTTTTTTCTCACATACTTGTTTATCCAGGAGGTACGTATTCAACATGTTGCTTATCACTAGCTGACTTCTTTCTTATCAATAGAGTACTACAAAATTCAGTTGAGGAAGAGGTCCAATACAGAAGCACTTGACTAGTCTGCAATGTCGGAAGCTCTGTGACGGGAACATGAACTAATTTGTTCCCTATCGACACCTGTAAACTCTCCTTTGAAAACTATGCTGCCTCAAACAGCTTGAATATGTAACACACTAGCTTGAAATCATTTAAGCACGGGGAGTTGTTAAATTGTCCATAAAAGTCTACGTCAAAAAATTGGACCCCTTTGCAACAGCTACTGAATTCCGTTTGCAACAATTTCCCCAATTGATACTATTTTTATGTCTCTCTCGTCACCTAATTAGGAAGAACTGTCGACTAATTGGGAAACTCGAACAAAAAAAAAGGAAAATTGCTTTATTTCACAAAAGTATTATGAAAATTAACTATAATATGCTATACTTTTTCAAATTTAATCACTCGTGTCCAACCCAGTGTCATCGTAGTCGACTTCTTCTCGCGAGTCATTGTAGAATTGGTGTCCTAATTGACTTTCATCGTACACAATTGTATTTGACTTGTTCAAATCACCAAAATAACTCAAAAGAATAGGCAACAAGACCAACGCATGTAATACTGATATAATAATCAACAGGAACCACATTCTGAAATAGTACACTTCGAAAATTTTTGATCTCGTGAATGCCAAGATCGAGATACCAATCAATTTTGTAAATGTGATGCCACCAACGATGGAGCCACCTACAGTTACAACTGAATTAAACGCTTTCAGGTACCTAATCTTTGCGTTTAATTCTTGCACTGATGCTGAAGTTGAAGAATTGACACTGTTGTAATTGATAAAATTTTCATAAATATCCTCTTCATTTTCATCCTCAAATATGGATACCTTGGATACAGTGTAGGCGCGAGTCAAGTGGATGGTGAATTCAACGGCTAATCCACAACAAATCACCAAATTAACTAAAGTGACAGCATTTAGTGACACATCCCATACCGCCAACACACCACCAATGTTGACCATAATCGATGCAATAGTTACCGTCATTACCGTACTTGACCTAACTGAACCTAATAAAATGGTGCAAACAACCCAAATTATGGCAATGGCGCCAACGATAAGACTAAATGTTAAGCCAACAATGTTCAAATACTGCACGAAAAAGATGTAAAATGGCGACCAACTGAAAATATCCAACCCAGGGATCAACTCTTTTATCTCATCAACAATTCTTATGGAGTTACGATAAGCAGCAATGAAATCATCTTGTGAGCGTAATGGAATGTGAGAGCTCCTGAAGTAACTAGCATCAATCTTACTTTCAGTACGTGAAATGCTATTGCCATAGGGAGCTTTTCCTCCTAACGGACAGGGATCACTAGGTTCTTGTATCCATTGGTTGAAATAAAACATGAAATCCTCGCCCTGTGGGAAAGCATTCATACTAGCATCATACGGAGGATCATGATTAGCGAAACAAGTTTGACATTGACGTTCAGGATCATGAGGTCCACAAAATTGAGGTGTCTCAAAAAGGGACAGTTTTTTAAATCGACAGCATTGGTCCAAATCAGGGTTTAACCAGGTAAGAAAATCATCAAGCCAATTACTAGTCGGTTCAGCAATCATGGACTTCTTCAGTCTTTTAAACTCTTGTTCCAAGATATTGGCCAAGGAAAACTTGTCGCAAGCGGAGAATCGGCCACATATTTGCTGTTGATAATCACGTTGTGTCACATCTAAATCTCTAACGACGAAAAATACTGGTGGTCCTGAATTGAAGTAGTCATACACTGAGTTGAAATAATCAACAAGGTATGAGTCCTTAGGTATCGCGATTCTTTGATCAAGTCCGAAATTAATACCCGGGAATAAGCTGAGGGAAATACCAAGCCAAAGAATGAAAAAGGTTAATATCTTTGGCCGCGAGGTTTTGCCCAAGATATAAGGCGCATACTTTTTCTTTATCCAATGGGAAAAGTCGTATTCGAGATGCTTCTCTTCGGAATCATCTAGTTGCACGGGAGGTGGTGAAATTGCAACACATGGTACACAATCAACTCTATTCTCTTCCAATCTTTTTTGATCCAATGTCAACAATGCAACAAAACATGTCATTTGTAAAATAAAGTTAACTGCGACTGCTCCAGCACTATATATGGCAAAGTTCTTCACAGCAGGCATATCCACCGATGTAGCTAAAACAAACATTGAGATTTGCAAAATGGCACTTATGAAACACGAGGGTCCAATGTTTCTCATGGCAAATGATATCCTCAATATCAAATCCAACTCAGGTTCATGTTCAGTGATCTTGTGGAGTTCATGCACAATAAGGAAAATGTTATCGATTCCAATTGCTAAAACAAGGAATGGAATCACTTCAGCAATGATTAGAGTTGATTTGAAGCCCAACATGGAGAAAAGTCCCACCGACGAAGTGACAGAAAGTAGGATGATAATGATACCGCTTAATCCCAACATGAACCTTGACTTGACCAATGATTGTATCGATCTTGTAGGTAGCTTACCTCCGAGAGCCAAGGATGCATAGATAAACATGACAACATACGATATGGCTATGATCCTTACATCGGTGTTTGACGATTGATTAAGTTCCTCGGTAAGTGAAACTTCAGTGCTGAAGGCAACATTTAGTCCCAAGTCGTTATGCTGTAATTGTTTGGCCCAGGCCTGAAACGAATGTTCATAAGACACAATATCACCAACTAATGTATCGTTGGACGAGTTGTTGTCAATCAACACAGTAACAGTAAATGCAGTCGCATTCAACACATCCGCTTCATCAAACAACAACGTGGGCTTCAAAGGTTGTTGGAAGGTAGGTAAACAATTGACGGGTGAATCGGCACAACCTTGCAACTTACGGGCCCAGTTATCCTCATCTAACTGGTTGAGATCGCCATAGAAATACTGCGTGAATGATTCAATTGCACATGCGTCTCCCAAGGGCTTGAAGCAGATATCAGACAAGTCGATATTAGAGTTTAACTTTTCAAGTTGCGACTCTTGGTTAAACCACCATTTGATAGTGTCCCAGTTGAAAATAGGCTCCCCATTTTTAGTACTCACAATAACCTGCTCTATCCTAAACCACTCGCCAAAGTTTAATTCAAAATACTGCTGATTGATATAAGCAGGCTCAGTAGGACTGACCCAAAGATTAATGGGACTGGTTTCTATATCAAGTTTAAACATACCAAGCGATAGCAACACTGACACTGTCAAAGTCGTACCGATTGTGATTCCAGGAAATGACGAGCAAAACCTGGCCAAACTTGCAAATCCATCCTGCACTTGTGAATTCAATTTATCGGAGAACCGACGCACAATTGGTTTGCGAACAGTTACATAGTTCAAGGGGCTAATAATCTCGTCGTTGTTTTCATCCTCATATGACCCCCGGCGTCTAAACTCGCGTTTGCCATTTGCTAAATAAACGTGGTATCCTCCAAGTAGTAAAATCAAACATACCAAAACCATCCAAACAGAAAAAGTGAAACATGGCACTAAGCCCACCGTGCATTGCTTTCTCAAATTCTTTGCGCTTGGAAGTTTGGGACATGATGCTTGACAATCTGTACAGGCACAACTGTACTCTTGATCGCTGCAGGCATACATTTTATCTTGTCTCAATTTCAACCCACTTTTTTCCTGTTTATCATCCAACGCGTATTTGAAATTGATCTGGTAGGGTGACCCACCAAGCAAGGGCTTTTCATCTCCCAAAAACTTCAAAAACTGAGAATAGTTTTTGGCGCCGCCGCCAATCAAGTCCATGGCAAACCCATTGGTGGCCAGGAATTTCACCTCCTTGCATGAATCGAAAAACTGTTCGGCTAATTCTGGTGACACATACTGGTCAATTTCAGTGACAATCTCTTTGCCCGTATCTTTGGCTATCTCAGTCTTGACAATATCAACAAATGTCGACTCATTAGGTGAACAACTAAACTCACAAAAAAAGTCGTAGAAATTCTTGTAGCATGCCGGGCATGATGAAATGATTGCATCAACTCGTTTCAAGTTGGATTCTAACTCATCAATTTGTTGAGGAGAACAGCAAACGTATTCAAACTCCCTGCCACATATTTTTTGTAGTTTTGCTCGTGATTCTTGGCTTGGTTCTGATGCTGGAACGAAATTGGCACACGGCAATGGTTTACCAAATACCGACTTTTTACCACAAGTGTCGAATGTGTTGCAGTAGCCAGCCGAGTGATTGGCTTTGGCGAACACTGTAGAAAAGTGTAATAGGACAATGTAGAAGATGGGTAGTAGATGCATTTTTAGTGGTGGAGACAAGTTACAATCCGGGGAGGAAAGTATGACAGCGGCTACCTAAAAAAAGAGAAAGCAATCAGTTTCTAGACCCAGCTTTGGTGTCGTAAACATTTTGTGTCGTGATAAACATACGACATTGAAAATTAGGTCCCGCCTTAGAAATTTAATTTTTCACAATTTCTTGGATCCATTGTGGGTATTGCAAAGGCGGTTTGAAATTTTTTTAGAGCACCCACTACTCTTTTCCCTCCATAAGGAATGTTGATCGGTATATCAGGGACCCTTAGCTCAGGAAAAACCGAGGTGGCGCGGTACTTGACTTTTCAAGGGTTCAAGGTGTTGCATTACCAACCACAACCAGCGGAAATACCAAACGAGTTAAATGTGTGCACTCCGGAGTCAGATGATATCAACTATGAAATGGAGCAACTTGCAATCAAACAGTACTCAAATATGGAGAATTACAAGGTGTTCAAGACGTTGGACAGTTTGTTGGAGTTTGTTACTGTAAATTGGAGAGACAACTATGTCATTTCGCATATTGCCGATATCTCCATGTTGAAGGCGTTGCAAAAACGGCCATTTTTCCTCCACATATCGATTGATGCTCCATTGAGTATGCGGTACAAGAGGTATGCCAAGAAGAAACAGACGTTGGAGGAATTTGTCGAGCATAATGATGATACTTTGTTTAATTCAAAGTCGCCATTACTCGAGATCAACAATCAAGCACAAGTCAAGATTATCAACACGTCTACATCAATCAAGGACTTGTTTATCAAGTTGTCTGAGTTGAATCTACTCGATCCTTCGAGATTACGCCCAACGTGGGACTCATACTTTATGCGTCTTGCCGATTTAGCTGCCCTTCGTTCAAACTGTATGAAGCGTAGAGTAGGATGTGTCATTGTAAGAGACAAGCGCGTCGTTGCTACTGGGTATAATGGGACACCAAGGCATTTGACCAATTGTAACCAGGGCGGCTGTTCCAGGTGTAACAAAGGACATGGAAGTGGTGCATCGTTGTCAACTTGTCTTTGTTTGCATGCCGAGGAGAATGCCTTGTTGGAAGCTGGCAGAGACAGGATTAGAGATGATAGTGTATTGTATTGCAACACATGCCCCTGCTTGACTTGTTCAATAAAGATTGTGCAAAGTGGGATCCGAGAAGTTGTTTACGCCCAGAGCTACTCGATGGATAAGGATAGTCATCGTGTCATGAGCGAGGCGAATATTATAATACGACAATACCAGCCACCAATAGATGGTATATTCATATAGAGCGTGTATATAGAAAAGTATTAAGTTTCCTTGTACTCGTAGTATCCTGGTTTGGTCTCTGCTTTGAACTTGATAGTTTCAACAACTTTACCACCAACAGTCAACACGGCTTCGACTTCATCTCCGTCAACAATAGGACCAACACCTTTTGGAGTCCCTGTCAAGATCAAATCTCCCTTTTCCAACGTCATAATGTTTGACATGTAACTCAAAATTTTGTGAATGGGAAACAACATCAAGTCGGACTTGTCCTGTTGCTTGACTTGCCCATTGATAGTCAACTTCAATTCGACACCATAAGGATCAGGAATTTTCTCCTTTGGTATGAATGCCGACACTGATAAAAATGTATCGAACCCTTTGGCAATTGACCAAGGCAACCCCTTTTTCTTGGCTTCATCCTGAACATTTCTCGCAGTCATGTCAATAGTTAATGCATAGCCATCAATGCTGTCAAGTGCCTCTTGATGGGAGAAAGTGTCGGGCAAGTTTTTCAATTCACGATTCAATGTGAATGCTAGTTCGACTTCATGGTGTACGACAACACCCTTGGGGATAAGAAATGGACCCGAGTTTGGTTTCAAAATGGCGGAAGATGGTTTGAGGAAAAAGAATGGTTGTTGAGGTTTGGCGCTGTTTAGTTCCTTTATGTGGGCGGCATAGTTGCGACCAATACAGAGGATCTTCCTTGCGTTGTCGAGGTACTTTAATGACATTGCTGTGGGTGATGGGTGGAGTGAAGTGGAGTGGAGTGGAGTGGAGTGGAGTGAATTCGAGAGTTTGAAAAATTGGTCTCGGAGATTCTCGAGTGGGAAAAACAAAAGCCACTTCCCCACACACTTGGATTGCAAAGTCAGTACAAGATACAAACTACAATGAATTTACCAAATATAGTTGATTTTGATGGTGAGAGCCTCTGAGGGATCATAGAGGATAGAGGTATGTAAATTAATCTGATCTCAATGGTTACTGTTTTAGGTACTATTATGAGCCAGGTTACCTTTCATCGGATGCTACCAAAATGGATTTGCGAAAAATTTACAAATCACATTTCCGGGTGCAAGAAGCAGAGATGCTTGCTGCACGCCACTTAACGCAAATAACGTCGAAATTGCTGCTACGGCAATCACAAGTGAGACCTTACCACACCCATCCATCACCATATTATCCCAAGCTCAACAGGCATGCTTTACCCTATGACCCCCAGGAGCCACGAAATATTCTTGCACCCGAGCAAAACTACATCCAACGCCAACCACAGGTCAACGACACCATAGTAGTGGCCATGTCATCGGGTGTTGACTCTTCCGTCTGTGCCGCCTTGTACTCCAAGTACCCCAACGTGCGTGGAGTGTACATGTCCAACTGGTCGCAAACGGCGACATGCACTGAACGCGATTGGAAAGATGTAAAACAAATTTGTCAACAGTTGGGGATCCCTCATGAGCGTGTAAATTTTGAATCTGATTATTGGGATAATGTTTTTAGTCCCATGATTGACAAATATCGTTTGGGACTAACTCCCAATCCTGATGTTGGGTGTAATAAATATGTCAAGTTTGGTAAATTAGCTCAATATTTTAATGACAAGTACGGTGAAAATTGGTGGTTGGTGACGGGTCACTATGCACGCATCATGCAAAGTTCATCATCAGGTGAGTTCCACTTGCTTCGTGGATTAAGCACGCGTAAAGACCAATCGTATTACCTTTCGTCAATCCCGGCAAATGTACTTCATCGAGTCATATTCCCACTTGGTCACTATTTGAAATCGGAAACGAGGCAAATGGCAACCCAGTTTGGTCTTCATGTGAAAAACAAGCCCGACTCGCAAGGACTATGTTTTGTCAATCCGCAACAATCGAATTTCCGCGACTTCCTCAATGAGTATATCGAACCTAATCCCGGCGACATTGTGACTGAAGATGGCAAAATATGGGGTCATCATCAGGGGCTATGGCATGCGACAATTGGACAAAAGTCGAGTGTGTCGATGCCACAGGGAGATCCCAATTACAAGGGTGTCTGGTTTGTTGCTGATAAAGATGTGGAAAAGAATCAATTGATTATAGTTCGGGGACATGATAATCCTAAATTGTATAAGTCTAGAGTCATTGTTAGTGACGTGGATTGGGTTTATGATAGGGAGAAGGCTGTCGGTTTAGATCCTAGCATGGTTGAGTTTCAGCATCATTCTTTATCAACACCAACGAGGATTAAACTGTGGAATATAACTGATGGAAATGTAGTGGAGTTGGAGTTGGCCGATAGTGTGCGAGCATTGGCTCCTGGTCAAGCAGGTGTGTTTTATCATGGTAATCAAGTGTTGGGTGGAGGCGTGATATCAAAAACGGAAACATAGCATATCCTGTTCATAGTAATTAATAGAGTGACTTTAACTACGTTTCTAATGCAAGACTGTTTTACATAGTTGTAGCATGTGCCGGCTCTATGGACTGTAAGTTAACTAACTAGATTCAAATAATTCTGAATATTTGAGCAGCAGTGACCTATACAAATTAGAGAGGCATCAGTAAAGTAAAAATAAAAACTGTAAACGTAAAATTAACACATAATAGTATACAAATAAAAGGTATAAAGTACATCATAAATGAAATAAAACCAAACACACAAAAAAAAAGTTTGACACTCTCTAGTCTTACCAACATCAAAAGCATAGCAAACAAAAACACCGAAGAACAAAACATCCACATCACACCATCATTGTCGCTCACAACCAATTTTATCTTCAAACTCTTCTTCTTCTTAAAAAGCAGTAATGGTTGGATACAACTTCTTTTCACCATAAATTGAATCACGTTTGATTTCATCATCTTCTTGCTTCTTTTCTTCTTGTTGTTGAGCCTTAATTTGTTGTTTCAACACTTCAACAACATGATGAATCAAAGCTCTGTGTCTAGCAACTTCTTTGAGGTTGTAACCGTCAACGATAACTTCTGTTTCTTCTTCTTCTTCTTCTTCTTCTACCTCTCTTGCTTCTCCTCCATTCAAATTCAATTTATCAAACAATGAATCAATCTCCTCTTCGGAATAATCCTCAGAGGAAACTTCACTTGAACCATCATCATAGTCCTCCTCTTCTTCTTTGTCTTCCTCATCACTGGTGTCCGACTTTTGACCTGCTTTTTGATAAATTGAAACCCCGTTAAATTCCAACCCATTAGCATGTGGCTGTTGTTGGCCATATGATAAATTATAACCCATTGGTCTATTGATTTGTGGGTATGATGACATGTATCCATTGGAACTAGTATTAATTGCTCCGGAAGAAGCAACGCCGTGGTCCTTAGATCCGATTGATGTTGATGGCAATACAGGTAAAGTAGGATATACATGTGTTGAATGTTGTTGCTGTGGTTGCTGTGATTGCTGTGATTGCTGTGATTGCTGTGGTTGAGATTGTTGGTGTGCTAGAGCACTGTGGGTGTTATTATTACTATTAGTTGACTGACTGCCATGTCCCTGTTGCTGTTGTTGTTGTTGTTGATATTGGGATGACAAGTTTTGATATTGCATATCGATTGAACTTGACAATGAATTGAAAAACTTCTCTGCTTCATAGATATTGCTATTGTTAGACGTGTGGGTATACGATGGATGTGGATGTGCTTGCTGTTGCTGTTGTTGATAATGACCACTTCCTTGAGGTCCATGGTGTAATTGATCTTCCAAATGGTTCAACCTGTTAAACATGTCCATATTGTACTCCGTATTTGGCTTTACCCTCTTTGCATCAGAGTGTTGCCCCTGTTGACCTTGTTGCGTGTATCCACCATTTGGATTGTTATGTGCAACTTGTTGAAAGTTGAAATCATTCAATATACTATTAACAACATACATGTTGTGTTGAGAATTATTATCAAATCTTCTCTTTCTTGATTCATCCTCATGGCCATTGGCCATAGTGGCAAAATAAGGCAAGTCTCCATTACCCTTGTTCAACTTCATTTGTTGTTTAGCCTCCTTTTGTTGTTGTTTCAACAACTGTCTTTGCGCCTTCTTCAACTTCTTTGGGTGATCATCAGCATGGATTTTAGAATGCTTCTTCAAATCTTGTGGTCTCTTGAATGCCTTAGGACATAAATCACAACGGAATGGTTTTAATGGCACATGTACACGTAAATGTGAAGTAATGTGATCTCTTTTAACAGTTGTAGTTCCACATTTTTCCCAGTAACAAGTCAAACTAAGATTATTCGAAGATTTTCTACCAACATGATCATCGCACAAATGATCATACAAAGCTTCAGGTGATTCAAATATTATATTACATTCACCCCATAAACACTTGAATGGGCCGCGTAAATCAGCTTCTGTAATCTTTTTATATGTCTTTTTTGGTGGTTTAGCAGAATAAGCATTAAATGTTGAGCTCATTCTTGCATCATTCATTTGTTGTGGTGCTAGTTGCGATTGCTGGGAGGTAGTAGTGCCACCATTCAAATATGATGATGGATGATAGTGCTCACCCGACAACTCTTGATAAACACCACCATTTGGATAAAACTGTTGTGCTGGTTGATTGTGTTGCTGTTGTTGCTGCTGATGGTAGAAGGCATGGCTATTGTAAAGTGGATTCAAACTTGGGTGTAGTTGTGTTGGTTGTTGGGGTAAAACTGATGGTGCTGAAGTGCTGGCAGCTGCGATATTGCTGGCTGAAACCAGCAAAGCTGAGGTAGTTGATGCAGCAGCTGCAACTGCGGCTGCAACTTCACCATGGTTTACATCCAATACACCAGTATTATTGTGGCTATTGCTGCTAATGTTGGTTGATGAAATTGGTTGTCTAGCCTTGGCATCATCATCCATCGGCGAGTTGGCTAAAGAGTGAGATGTGAATGAAGAATGAGGTGATGCATTACCGTGGTTAGTTCTTGGTGAATGAGATGAGGTTATCGAAGATGGAGAAGTGACATTATCCATTTCTAAATCAGTTGAGGGTGATTTCTTGGTAATACTGTTCCCACGAGACAGTTGTGGGATGTTCGACACAGATTGTGATTGTAAATAGGGTTGTTGTGGTTGCTGTGACTGAGAGTGTGGCTGTAACTGTTGTTGTTGTATTTGCTGCTGTTGTTGTTGATATTGTTGTTGTGGCTGCTGTTGTTGTGATCTACTTGGTGCACCGTTGTTAGTGTTGTAATTGTCTGCATTCAAGTATGAAACAGGGTGTACGTTGTAATTCATTGTAGTTTATTCTAGTGTAAGGTATATCTCTAAATGTATCTGGTTGTACTGTCTAAGAAGAATGTTTTGAAGGACAGATATAGTGAAGGAAAAAAGAAAAAAAATCAGGCCAAAAATAGGGATTATAGTGATATATATATATATATTATATACTATATATACAGGTGTAATGTACAAGTACAAGTATGTGTAATATTCGCTTGTTTCAAAAAAATCATCCTTTTCCTGCGCCTGCCTGTAACCTAAAAACATCCATTCCCTTTTTTATTGTTCTCCACCACGATCCTACCGCTCCCCCCTTCCCTGCCAATACCTCACGGGAGAATAAAAAAAAAAAGGACGAAAGATGAATGCGTTAAACTTTGTTATGACAAAATGCCAAGACATTTTTTTTATTTTGTTTTATGATTTCTTTTTTTTTTTCTTGTCATTTCATTTTTGGAATTTGTTCTTTTTTTCTTGTCTGATTAAAAGCAGAAGGCCATTCCACTTTCACTACATTAGCATTTGTATATAATAATATACTGTGGCTATGTCATTTATAGAGCTCCTTCTTTTTCATATACTACACTTTTTCTTTTCTTCATCATCATCATCTTCTTCTTCTTCTTCTTCCCTTTCTTCCTTTTCTTCTTCTCCGTCGCTCGCCCTACATTTCCCCAAAAAATTGCGCTCGCCTTTTTTATCGCAAACACATGGTCTGTCTGCCTTTAATATACTCTACTATTGTGTCTCATTTCGTAACTCTCTTACCTTTTTGCGTTACTTTTTTCTGGTCAAAAGTACACTACGTTTCGACACCCACGCATCAATAGACAAGAATTTTATATTTTTTCTTAGGTTTAACTTTCTTACATGCAGGTCTCTCTCTAGACAAAAAAATTGTTATGTTCTTCACCATTTAAAAGTTTCTGTATTACGAAACCAGATTGAGAAGTAGAGAGATAAAGAGTATCTCTGTGTGACACATTTGGTTGTAGAGTTATTTTATAAGCATTTGTTGCAAATTCGCATCGATGCATCATTTACACTAGGTTTTACCGTTTCTCCATAATTCCAAAGAGCCTTACTCATTTAAGCTTTTTTCCTTTCTCTTTTGACAGAAACAAACTATCAACGGATATACACACTCACACATAATCACTTTCACTCTCTCTCTCTCACTCGCTCACCTTGGCGTAACACAGCCCTAATTGGAAATGTTCTAGATTAACCTCCATTGCATCATCCGCCATGGAAGCTTTAATCTTATGTCATTTGTTTTTGTGTTAAATCTATTGCTGTGCTGCTGTTTTACGGATTCGTTTTGTTCGAAGTGGGGCGTGTGTGCGTTTTTCTAACAGGCTTTTGTCTTGTAAAACGTCATAATTCTCTCCTTCTTATGTCCGAAAACGGCAACCCATGTACAATTTTTTTTTTGGTCTGCCCATTTGAGTACATACATATATATGTGACATTATCATACATGCAAAATAGTAACAGAAGATATATGTATGTGTACATTTTAACGGTCTCTGTAAGGTTTATTTTCTTTGTATCTTCTTAATCATAATCTGTATGGGGATTGATATTGTGATATAAACAGCAACAAAAACGGCCACTTTAGTCCAAGACTTTCTTTAATCCCTCTGTTTTTTCCCTTTTAATGTTCTATTATTGGCTATTAGTGCTATTATATCTTAAGCTTTCTTGTCTTTTTGATGTCCTCATAACTTACAAATGTAGGGACAATGATATACCGAGGGTTTAGTATGGCTAATGCGAGGGATTTGCTTTTGTTTTGAAAAGTGTATCTACATCTTGTCTAGGGAGATATGTTGCATTGTGGAACGGTGTCCAGTCCCTCTTTATAAACATAGATATGCAAACGTTAAGTATGCAAAGATCTACTAGAGACGGCAACCGTTGCTTTTGATCGAGACTACAAGCACGTCATTCAATTTACTTACTTCTTTTGATCTACAAACTCGGTTTCTCAGTTGATGGAAAAACAAATGATGTGCATATTATACCCCCACTTAGTTACATCTTTATCCTGCTACAACTATCCAAATAATTAAGAGGTATAACTTAACAAGAAAATAAATCTTGTTCCAAGCGTGGTTGGCATCTGATTTCAACAGATCATCACCTTCATTATCGCCATCGCCATCGTCACCTATTTCACTCCAGGAATGTTGTTTCTTCAGTTTAAATTTACTCCTTTCCCTTCTCAATTCATCCAATGATTCATCATCGTTCTCCATCCATAAATCAGAACCAGTTGTATTAATTACAACAATACCACCACCACTATCAGCACCATCATCCCTGTACAACCGAATAGTACCATAACTTCCATTTACAAATTCATTGACAATAACATTTCTGGCATCAGCTGCTTGATCATGCGACAACATTGAAAACTTCTTCTTTTTGCTTCTTCTTGCCCCTTTGGCCCATCCCCAGCCATTTTCATCGTCATCGGATGAATCATCGGAGCTTGACTCCCACATGGTTGAATGTCCGTCACCGATCGACTTTTCAAGATAAATACCAGCATTTATTTGCCAACCGGATGAAGTACTTTCGCGTTCTAATTTAGTTCCTTGGATTAATGCAAATGTCTTGTTATTGTTATTGTTGAGGAAAACAGGTGGTGAAGATGTTGAGTTGTGGTGAACTATTTCGTCCAAGTTGTTATTGCTAATGTCTTTGTTGATGAAGTTGGTGGCTGGTCCTGCTGCCGCCACGATGATTGTTGGTAAAACGAACAATATAAGATAAAGCGTTAACATAGTATTATTAGGTGATCGAGACACGATTGACTGTCTGGTGCTGGATCTGAGAAGCATTTTGCAAATTTAAGGGGCGTTGGCTATATTATGGTGTCTTGAAAAGGAAGTGCTTTTTTTTTGGATATGTATTCGGGGGGGGGGGGGTTACCTAGTCAAAAATCTACTCCTACTTAATATTTTTATTTTATTATGCTGCAAATAGTTTAGGCTCATTTTTGTTGCAAAAAAATACGCATAAAAAATGACTTATGTAAATTGGGAACTCTTAGAACTTTATTAAGGCAAATTATCACTAGTTCATCTTGACTAAATGTCTTACTTTATAGTACTACCCTAATCTGATCTTGCTTATGTAGTTACATTCGGTAGTAAGGGTTCTCATGCACTTCGTAAATATAAGTTCGACGTCACATGACCTTTTCACTTTAACCGAGACTTTTGCAAAAAATAAAAAGGCTGACAAAGAGAGAAAATGATATGATAGCTAAAGCAAAGACCACACAAGTATTACAACAGATATAACAAAAGATACTCGTATATTCATAGTCACAGCGATGCAGGATCAACAACCTTCGAGCAGCAGGACACAAACGCAAGTTATACAACCGACAAACAATGTTCTTCGTTTGCGTCCCTCTGAAGAGCAACCGCAACCACAAACGCAACAAGAGGAGCAAGAATCACCCACTTCGGTATTGAAAACAACCAAGTCTAAGTCCAAACAAAAGAAACCAAGAGTAAGGTGGACGCAAGATGTGGTAGATAACGAGCATATGAATAAGAAGAAGACGAAAATATGTTGTATATTCCATCCACAACGATCGTTTGATGAGGAAGAGGCACATGATCATGATGGACATGAGTGTCCTAGTTCGAGTTCAGATTCGAGTAGTGATGAGAGTGATGCTAGCGATGGAGAAAGTGGGGGTGGCGGTGGAGGTGGAGAAAAGAGCAAGAATGCTGGAAGTGGTGCTAATGTTAATGCTTATGAGTATCAACCCAAGTATGAGAATCAATCGAAATTGCCATCTGGTTCAGGCTAAGATGAGAAGAAGCATGTGCACTTTACGAATAGATGGAGATGACTTTTTGCATTTAGAGTTCTGTTGAAGGAATCTTGTTCTTTTATATATATATACACATACTGATTTGATACAATTTCTGAGCTTGAAAAATGAGGACAGTAGCCTTTACGCTAATGCAAGTCACTTTCTTTGTGTGTGTATTATACCAGCGTTAATCATTGATCCTTCAATATAAAATGCTTTTCTTAAGCATATGATTTACGACTCTTCCTCCAGCACTACCTGTTTCTCATGTGAGGATTTATTTGGGTAGATACCGTAGAGCTCGCGTGAAAGAGTAACATAGTGAAGAGTGGAGGAAGTGAAATATAAAAATGAAAACGTAGTATTGTATAAAATTAGATATATAACAATTGTTCTTGGTATTTAAAAGTTAACGGGAATAGTCCGACCAGAAAAGAAACCATTAGGAATTGAAATAAACAGAATGAAAAACAGACAGACTAATGGAATGTCAAGGCAACGTTTAGGAATTAAAAAAAAATAAAAATGACTGGAAGTATCAGATGATTAAATGATTAAATGAATGAATGAATGAATGTCATTGAGTCGTATTATGTGTGTAAATGAATGGATGACTTGGTCTATTAAACGACTGAGTTAAATCTTTGGAATAATAAAGCGAATGCGACAAAAAAAAGATTGGACTGGTTGACTAGCTCACTGACTGACTCACCAGCTCTGTAATTTTCTAATCTGGATTGGCAATCTTCAAAGTACCACTACCTCCATTATGATTATGAATATCTTCAAGTGATTGGCTACTAAACATAGGTTGATTATTTTCATCAATTGGAAACATGATAATATCTCCATTATCATCAGAGAAGTCTCCGCCATTACCCATGCCACCGACACCACCTGGTGCACCTCGTAACAACTTCTTGCGCGACAAATTACGATTAATTCCCAGACCACCACTGCTTCCGTAATCGTTATTATAATAGTAGTTGCTATTGGCATTGGCCTTGTCTTTGTCAGTATTGTGGTTTGAGTTTCCACCCATAAATAGTGAAAATAGTGTCTTGTTTGAATTATCTCGTTTCAACGATGAGAATGACGATTGTTTACTGTGTCGATACTCTGGTGGCGGTGGGTATGTATTATTTCTTTGTTGTTGGTGTTTATTGAAAGCAACTACTTTCTCATGAGTAACGTCATCGTCAAAGTCCAGTGAGTACCGATTTTCTTCATCTGATGTATCACGATCACCTCCACCAGTACCAGCACCAGCACCAGCCCCAGCACCATTACGTTTACGACGCCCAGCGGGAGTACAGCAACAGCAGCAGTAAAGTATTGCTGATACTATTCCTAAAACAACCACCCCTACTGCGGTGAATGTCCCGGCAACTTTTCCAGCATCGGAAAAGAATGCATTCTTGTTTTCGTTCTCTGGTGGTGAGGAGGATGTGGAGGGTGAGGTGGTTGGTGAGGAGAAGGAGGACAGATCTGTTTCAGACGATGAGTTTGGATTGGAAGTTGATGTAGCTGCTACTCCTGCAGCACCAGTCAGGTCTTCTAGTGTAGTAGCTTCGCCACCACTGCTACTGTTTCCAGTAGGCTGGGAATCGATTGATGTTGAGTTTGCAGACTGTGTTATATACATTGTGCTAACTTCTTGTTGACTTTGGGAGCCATTCACTGTAACCACTGAATATACAGTCGACGCTTGAATTTGGGTTGATATGAGTACAACTGTTGACGACACAATTTGGGGTGAGCTTGATTGAGATGTGCTGGAATCGGTGTCCAGGGTGGATGAAGGTGATGGAGTGACTGTGTAGTATTCAGTGACTTTGACCACATCATTTGACAGATGAACTTGAGTCACTTGGGTTGTGCGTGTAACCATTGTTGTTGGCTGTGATGTTGAGGAGGAAGTGGATGAGCTTGAGGTGGAGGAGGAGGTGGATGAAGATGTGCTGGTTGGGGACGTGCTAGTTGAAGATGAAGATGAAGATGAAGATGAAGATGTGCTGGTTGATGTTGAAGATGAAGATGAAGATGATGTTTTGCTAGTTGATGAGGTACTAGAAGTAGAAGAAGTCTCACCAACAGTGGCACTAGGTTCGCCAAACACCACATATCCAAAATGGTCTTCATCACCACATTTTTCCACCGGATACCCAGGACAAGAAGTATCACATTCACTCAAGTCAAGTTGATCTTGAGGTACATCATTAGAACAATAACAATCAAATCGCGACACTATAGCCACGGCGTAGCCCAATTTTTGACATCTAGTTTGACAATATCCATTGGACATGTATTGGTAAGATACGGAATCGGAGCCCAAGTTTTGTGATGAGCAATAAGTCAATGATAATGAAAGGCATTGTGGAGTAAAGAATGACAATAGTAGGATAATAACAATATTATATAGGTTTGGAATTGTTAGTTTTGTAGTGATCATCGGGGGGGGGGGGTGATGACGATGATTATGAGGAGGAGTGGGTTGTGTTGTGTTGTGTTATGATGAAAGGAGTAGTAACAACAAGTGGCAGAAGGGATGGAAAAATATCCCGAAGGGAACTCTATTGATGGACTAGATTAGACCGAGGAAAAGTAGGTAGGTAAGGGCGGTATGGTTGATGATTGTAAAATTTGAGATCTGCAAATAATAATTACCCAACACTCTATTACTTCGGTTGTTTCAACTGTTTGGGTGAGAAGAAGTTGGTAATGAGATGAGAAGTAAAGGTTGGTAAGGAAAATTGTGGGTTTTTATGACTTCTATTTGTATTGTTAGTAGTAGTTGTAATTGTTTCCCTATTGGTATAATGAAAGGGCATATGTTTTGTGTAACCTTGTTCTATTTTTATTGCCTTTGTTGATTTTTCTTTCTTTCCCTTTGTACGTAATTGCTGTGAAATTCTCTATGTCAAGGGTTATTACGTATGTATTGTATGATGATACCACCAAAGGATAGCAATTTCTTTCATAATTGGTTAACTATGCGTTTTATATACCAGTGTCCTAGCTGTAGGGGGAGGGAGTGGGCTCATACAATGTATGACCTACGTTTTCTCTAGTCGTCTTACCCACTCACTCACTCATTGATGCCCTTTTGACTAATTCCTTTTTGTAAGATTAGTTAGTAGTTTTTGTGTGATATACAATTATGTATATGTGTGTTTGTCTGTAAGGCGGTAGATTTTTAATGTACGTTTGTTATTTCCTTGGAATTGAAAAATTGTTTAAAGTATGTGCAGAGTGAGCTTTTCTTTTAAAGTGTATAAGTAAACCAGGGATATAACCAAGGCGTACGTGGGTGGGAGGTACAATGTAGTTTTGATAAGAACCACCGGTCGCTCCGAAGACTGATTTGTTTACTATGTCTGTATAGATCTTTTGTATCTTTTTGTTTTCTGCTTTAACACGTGGTGGGTATGATCAGATTTCGTAAAAAAAAACAAAACCAAAACAATACTGACTGTCCTTTGCAGAAAAGAAAAGCAATTTTAATACATAACAACAACAAAATAAGGGGGTTCCGGACTTAAAATAGATTTTTTCTCTACAAAGAAAAAGAATGTAGGTGCATGCAGGGAGACAAAGTATTGAAGAAGCGAAGGGGAGCGAGGGAGATGAGTCGCTCTATTCTGAATTTCCCTTCTTCGACAGTCAACTGTGACAAATCACTAATTAACAACCTATTGTCATGAGAACGTTTATACATATTCCTTTTCTATAACTTATTTCCACCATTTCTACCAACAGTAAATTGCAAAACCACGCCTCACCCGTTAGAAAGTTAGTTTAATTACTAATTGAATGTCAGTAATTACGGGCCATCATTATTGTAAGGAAAAAGATTTACTAACAATTAGCCACTGGCTAACTACTATCTGCTAACTGCTGATCTGATATAGGGAGTTAGTAGATATAGCAAGTGCTTTGTTTGTTTAATTGGTTAGTTACTGCTTATGGTTATGGTTAATTTTTGTATCCTATTGTATCTTTATTTTGTAATTGCTTTCTTATTGTTTTTACCTTTCTATCTATTGTTCTTGTTGTACACTTGCCTCTCCTTTGATTGTTGATTGTGTGTACACAACCTTTTTTCGGCGTTTACAGTATAAGTTTAGTTTAGTTTAGTTTGATTTAGTTAGTGAAAATAGTAATTACAGGTTAAGGAATTGCGCATATCAAAAATAGGACAAAGTTGGAGGCTCTTTATCCTTTTCACTTCATTTCCTTCCCGAGGCGAACTGGTACTTTAGGCATTACGAAATTAGACAAAGAGAGGAGGTGTTGAAGGAGGCAAAACGTAAATTCTGTTTAGGAACTATTCAGGATTCACGCTCTCTTACGGAGCAACACCCAATGAACTATCACTGACAAGGAATCACGCCTTATCCAAATGATTTGATACAAAACTTTTCGAGGAAAGCAATTCAACTCAAAAGAGTTTGTGGACAATAAACAGCACACAAAGCAAATAAAATCAAACAAGAACAAGAATGTATACGCCGAGAAAGGTGTGTATGTGTGTGGTATTGCGTCATAGGCACTGACTGGAATGGAGAATTTTGTTCCACATTGAGCCACATAACTTTTTGATTGAGTTGGCTATGGGTTAACGTCGGCAATAGAAACAAATCGACTCAACAGCATTCGTCAGTTTTTTGTCTTTTTCCCAAGGATATTTAATCTCCGAGGCTGAACAAGGAAAAAGGGAAAATTTGACTTCTGATATTAGATCCGTCCCATCCATCCCGTGAAATATAAAGTAAGACATTCTCAAAACTGTGTTTTGCTTTTGTTTTCCCATTGTTCGGTTAGTTAGTTTGTTTGTTTGTTTTTTCTTCTATTGTTGGTTGGTTAAAAGAATGTTTTATTACATGCATTTAGTGAGATTTGGGGCTTATTATTTTGAGAGATTACTTGATTGGGTAACTACTTTGCCAATTTCAGAAACGTCGTGCGAAATGGGAACAAAAAATAAAACCATAAACTCAGATACATACCTATAATCAGTGGTTAGTAAAGATTAGACATATAACCAGAAGAGAATGTTATTTGTTTGTAGTTGCAGGATATGGATGGATCGGATAGTTTAGACTTTGGTAAAACCATGAAGATGCAAACATTGTGAAAAAGGTAAATTTCATAATCGTCCAATTCCTGTTCTTTTCTTTAAGTGGATTTGCATTGAATGTAATAACCTCTTTAACATACAGTGCATACATACAATCAAAAGCGAAGAGATAAGATGTGGAGGTATTTTTTTTATCTCATTTCGCAACAATGTAGGAAAGTTCATACGTTAAGGATACGTTTTCCGTTGGTGAAGGATGAAATTCTCAATTACTATTGTTGTCTTTGAACAATAGGTTTAAATCCCTCAAAAAAAGTATAATTAAAGTGGTTGTGAAATCTATTGCTTAAAATTAGAATAAAGGAGGCAACGGTAAGAGGAGGAGGGGCAGGGGCTAATTACAAAGCACTCTTTGAATGTTAAAATAACGGTTTATTGATTGAAGATCCTTTGAAGCCAACAATTATGGCAACCTCTCGGGTTAGCTGCTATCGGAGATCAAATTTTTCTCAATTTTCATACTTTAAGTGGGGTTCAAAAACCTCCTCATTTATTGATTTACAAATCTAGTATAGTTGTCATTTAATGCTTCTCCTCTATTAAGTACAAATATCTATTTACATGCGGTCTAAATCTCTAATCATCTTTCTATACAATGCATCAGGTATGGGAATCTTTTGATGTTCCATCTCCTCAAGAAACTGTTGTTTCAAATATGGCGAAATCACAATATCATAAGTTCGCGACCACGTCGTCAAATTGATTTCAACTCCGGCATCATTGGCCAAATGCAAGTACTTTAAAACCAAGGCCAACGAATTGGCGCGTGATCGTATTCGCGATTGTTGGCGAACTATATCTATCATGACATTGATCGTGTGGGTGTTTATGCCATGGCCATCGCGGTTCATGCATACAATGAGAGCTCGTGCCAAGAACGATTGGTTTTTGAGTACGCCAAAGTAGTGCATAAGATGGTTGTAGGTTGTTGTTGATCGGAATGGGGCCATCTTGTAATTCGACAAGTTATGCGAATCAAGAAGGATTTGCGGTACAATTCCTGATAATTTGGAGGCGCGTTGCCAGTGGTGAAGTACATGCACCAAGTCATGAATATAATTGGTGAAATTTTGTTGCGTTAATGGTTGTGGCAAGTTGGGTATGGCACCATAATTGTGTAGTTTATTCGATGAATATAGTTGAGAGTTCAATTCTTGAGTTAGTATGTGACGTTTATAAGTTTCACTTTGAACGTGTTTCAAATGTGGTGGTGTAATGTCAACTAAAAACCGAAGCATCTTGTGGAATATTTGGCGGTTTTCGAAATATACTTCTAATTGATCTTGGGTATTGGTTGATTTGCGTTTAGTCCAATTATGTTTGGCATCAGCAACGTCGTATTTATCATGGTGGTTTTGTTGTCTATTCAGCTGGTGGTGGTGAGACACATATTGCTCCTGGTTGAATGTTTTCAAATTGGGCATATCCAAAGGCTCAAGAAACTCTCGAAATAGTTGCTGATAGGGCAATCTACGATACGTGATGGGATACGGTATCGATGGCGCCTCATTGGCGAATGTGATTGTGTTTTGGCTCCTAGTCGATAGTGCAGTTGTAGTGGTGCCAGTATGACTCGCTTTTCGTGGTAATGGTGCCGGTGGGTGTGTATTAGGTCGTAGGACATGTCCAGGCACTGGCTTGGTTAGTCGGAGTATAGTTTCTTTCAATGCATTCATATCATTTCGATCATTAATGGAACACCGACTATACACACATTTTGACTGATTTATCGATAATTTTTCAGTTTTACGAAATCAAACAAAGAGCGGAAAAAAAAAAAGAAAAGAAAAAAAAAAAGTTCCACAACATCATCACTTCCAAAGTCTACCTCTACTACTAATAAAGCGATGGCATCACCACAAAGAGAAGGATTCACTATCCCCACATCGATATCACACGCTGCTTCAGCTCAAGTAACCAACAAGTCGCTTGGTGTCAAATACAACTGTGCCCAATGTGCCGCTTCATTTTCGTTGGGTAAGAATGATGCTATTAGATGTAAGGAATGTGGACATCGTGTTATTTATAAAGCTAGGACAAGAAGAATGGTTCAGTTTGAAGCTAGGTAGGTGGAGTTTGTGCTGGAACATGACATGGTTGGATGTGCGCGAAGGAGAGATAGGTGGAGAGGGTAGACGGAATTGTGTGGGTTGGTTTGCCACTGTGTAATTTTAGGTATCTTGTATAATAGAGAGGAAAAATGGTATAAATTTGATTTGATTTATGAGGAAGCAGTAGTGTATACATTTTTTTGTGAGTTATTCATTACTATGTAGATTAACTAATGGTACTATAGACGGCCGACCATGAGCACATTGAAATGGTAATTTACATTTACTCAATTTATCAATCAAGTCTCGCATTTCCAGTTTGGATAATCCATCACCAAACATAACTGCCGATCGACAAGCTCGAGAATTGATTACATTGATGATAAATTGTGGCACATGAAACATTATTGTAAACCAATCGTGTCTACTGTCATGGAATAACTGATTCTTGACATTGTTTTGCAAATCGTAGCAATGTTGCAACAAGGCATTTTTGATAAACTGTTGGTCACTTGCGTTATTCATGAGAAGTTGAGGTACGTTTGTCACTACCAAATCGTTATCTCCCTCATCGAAATGGTAAATTATTCCCCATGATTTGAAATTGGCCAGGTATTGCTGCAAGATAAGATGTTCACTTGATGTCACATTTATTCGCATTGGATGTGCAAGTCGTAGATTTTGCGGCAAGTTCGAGACAAACTCTTGCATCAACTCTTCAACCTTGATTCTTTCGTCAGTGGCATGTTGGTCCAACACAACTAACTTGTTGTCAATGACAACAAGGATGAATTTCTTGTCAATCTGTTTAATGATTCGATACTTTGAAAGACGTAGCTTTGCAAAATGAGTTAGTTCATAGCCAGCTGTCGTGGGAGAGTCGCTTTGGTGCTGTTGATGGTGATGATGATGATAGTTGAATCGGTGAGTTGTGATGGTGGTTCTTGGTGGTTGCAACCGCGGCTTTATATGATGCGATTTGCCACAACTAACCATGCCTTCGATTTCTTTACTGTTGACATCACCCCATCGGACATTTGTATTTAGGATAAATTTGTCCGTCTTTGCTCTCTTGGGACATGGCAGAAGAGTAAAGACATGCTCATTCGTTAATGGTTTTTTCAGTAAACCCATACGTACAAATTTGGCAAACACTCGCTTCAACAAGTCGATTACAACCAGCCACGAATAGGAGTCTTTAGTTACTTCCTTGTTGCATGTTATTGACATTAGAAATGTGGCATAAGCTTGCACAGTCTTCCTCTTTGGACTGGGATCCTTTTCACCAAAATCTTCAAATATATCATTGATGGCTGCGACTTCACTTTTCGACAATGGCATCAACTGATTGTTTACAAACACGTATTGATGACCTTTGGATCTTGTTGTTTGTAATCCAATTACCCCGTCAATGTAATAGTGTTTGAAGCTGGCTTTAACTGGCTTAAATTGAACTTCTATATCGAATAGATCTTGCAACAACTTTACCTCAGATGCTGCATTTGTTGACACAATCTCTTCAAACTTGAACTTTTGCAGATTATACAATTCCAAATTGACTTTTTCCACTTGATAATTATTAAATAGAACTTTAAGTAAAACCATCTTGATTCCATCTACGATTTTGTACACTGGTGTTGCCTTAAGTTGGGCTTTTCTCACTGGTAAATTGTTGAAAATGTTGGACACAATATATATAGTACCATGGTGCCCCAATGGATCTAGATTACAGTAGCTAGTGTTCAAATCGGTCGTTTCACTGCATAGTTGAGCCTTGGGGTTTTTTGTGGCGATGATTTTGTAAGGACAATTGTATTGCTGAGACTTGGAGATTATTTTGAGGTTTGATACAACTTCAAGTCCCCCAAATTTGTTGCTGGTGCAAAGCTCTTCTAATTGTTCAGGTGTCAATCCAACGTCATTGCTTTGCACGAATATTGCAAGTGATTGGAAATCAATCTTTATTTCGATTCTTGTGGCTCTGTATTGAAGGCACTGACCCAAAATTGATTCCACAATTGAGTGGAATGTATTAAAGTGAAGATGGTACTTGATTTGGCCAATCACTGAATCATCAAGTTTGTGTACTTTCATTTCGTCATCATCTTCGTCATTGTCGTTTTCTTTTGCTAGAATGTTGTAGAATGATCTAGTGTATGATTTAATAACACAAATTTTTTTTTTGCCTTTACTTTAAGCGAGAAGAGGACCAATAGAGAGACTGTCACAAAAACTATGGAAATGGTTTACTTTGACTTGAATGAGACTGTAATGAAAGTAGATATTATAACAGCCGTGACTTTACAGCTCTGGCTTTACACTGTTTTCTAATCTGTAAGCTTGGAGAGACCAGGAGAATGCAAGACAATGAACCTCGCAATAGACATATCACAGAAACCCGAAAACTTTACATCGGAGTAAGAGGGAAGGGTTTTTGTGTTGCAGTGGAACAAAGAGAATTCCGTGGAAATTGTTTTTTGGTTGTGACAGTTGTTGAATACAATTTGGGATCGTCTCAAGACCGTGAAGGTTGCTTTGTGAGGGATATATTGTTTTTTTGTAGTGTCTACTTTGTTTATGCTTTTCGTTAGCAAAGAAAATCCAGCAATTGTGGCTCATAGGTAGGACCCATAGTTGTATGTAATTGTAAACCACATCAATGTGCCAAAAATAGCCACGGGCTCCTCTCTATCATCGTCATTCAGCAATTGATATCTAAAGAGAGCAATAGCTTTGCCTATTGAAGAAATGGCAAATGGATCATAGCCAAAGTGCCAAAGTGTCACAAACTGAGAGCTTGTGACACTTATTATTGAAGCGACATAAGAAAAGGTCATCCGATAGAAATTAATCGAATATTCCATTTAAACTAACACAAATATCTTATATGCAGTATGGGTGTAACTATTGCAGCCATAACTTAACCCCCCTTTAACTTCATTCATAATAATAGCTTTATACAGATATACAGTGAGAGAGAGAAACAGCAAACTAAACGAAAAAAAATTATATTATAAATACCAATTGACTTTTCCAACTTTTACTACTAAAATTTTGACACTTATTCTCTTTTGCTATCATCAATTGAGTTAGAAACTAAAGAGATTAATTCATTTTTTTTAAAAATATGTCTAAAGCTGTTGGTATTGATTTAGGAACCACATACTCCTGTGTGGCTCATTTTGCAAACGATAGAGTTGAAATTATTGCTAATGACCAAGGTAACAGAACTACCCCATCTTTTGTTGCCTTCACTGATACCGAGAGATTGATTGGTGATGCTGCCAAGAATCAAGCTGCTATCAACCCAGCAAACACTGTTTTCGACGCCAAGCGTTTGATTGGTAGAAAATTTGACGACTCAGAAGTTCAAAATGATCTTAAACATTTCCCATTCAAGATTGTTGATAAGGGCGGTAAGCCAAACATCCAAGTTGAATACAAAGGTGAAACCAAGGTTTTCACCCCAGAAGAAATCTCATCCATGGTTTTGGGTAAGATGAAGGAAACTGCCGAAGGTTACTTGGGTGGTACTGTTAAAGATGCTGTTGTTACCGTTCCAGCTTACTTTAACGATTCCCAAAGACAAGCTACTAAGGATGCCGGTTTGATTGCTGGTTTGAATGTCTTGAGAATCATCAACGAACCAACTGCTGCCGCCATTGCTTACGGTTTAGACAAGAAGGGTTCTAAAGGTGAACACAATGTCTTGATCTTTGACTTGGGTGGTGGTACTTTTGATGTTTCGTTGTTGGCTATTGATGAAGGTATTTTCGAAGTTAAAGCCACTGCCGGTGACACTCACTTGGGTGGTGAAGATTTCGACAACAGATTGGTCAACTTTTTCATCCAAGAATTCAAGAGAAAGAACAAGAAGGACATTTCTGGTAACCAAAGAGCATTGAGAAGATTGAGAACTGCTTGTGAAAGAGCAAAGAGAACCTTGTCTTCATCTGCTCAAACCTCAATTGAAATTGACTCATTGTATGAAGGTGTTGATTTCTACACTTCAATTACTAGAGCTAGATTCGAAGAATTGTGTGCTGATTTGTTCAGATCTACTTTGGACCCAGTTGAAAAGGTTTTGAAGGATGCCAAGATTGACAAGTCACAAGTTGAAGAAATTGTTCTTGTTGGTGGTTCTACCAGAATTCCAAAGGTTCAAAAATTGGTTTCCGACTTCTTTAACGGTAAGGAATTGAACAAGTCTATCAACCCAGATGAAGCTGTTGCTTACGGTGCTGCTGTCCAAGCTGCCATCTTGACTGGTGACACTTCATCCAAGACCCAAGACATCTTGTTGTTGGATGTTGCTCCATTGTCATTAGGTATTGAGACTGCTGGTGGTATCATGACCAAATT